CGCTCGGTCTGTCCATCTGTTTCCGGGTGAAAGGCAGTAGATAGCAGGCTCTTAGTCTTTAGGCGGGTCGTCAGGTGTTTCTAGAACTGGCTTATAAACTAGGGGCCTCTATCAGATATAATTATACAAGGGAGTCCATGTAGCTTCTAGATGTGTTTCAAGAACAGGCAGGCGAGGTCTTCAGCGTTATAGGTCCCGTGGTAGGCCAGGAAGTGTTTCATTTTAGTCAAGCGGCAGACTACTACCAAGATTGCGTCAAATCCTTGGCTCTTGGGCAGGTATATGATAAAGTCTATTGATAGATCTAGCTAGGCGCGGGCAGGGATCGGGAGTGGTCGTAAGACTCCTTGATGGGCTTCTCGGGACGGGGTAATTCTGCGATAGGTATGACAGTTTTTGGTCTATTGCTCGATATAATAGTAGAGGTTCGGCCAGTAGTACTCGCGAGATATAAGCTCGTATATCTTTGTGCGACCTAGGTGTCCTATTGCTGGGTTGTTATGGCAGAGTCGGGCTAGTTCAGCTTTAAGGTCGTCGTTATCTAGGACATAAATACGTCCTTGGTATAGCAGGTTGTTCCTATCTCTCACATAGTGCGCGAGCGTGATATCTAGGTGCCGGGTTTTCTTTTCGTCTAGGGCACTTAGGATTAACTGTAATATCTGGTCTCTTTGTAGGGCAGACTCGTATGCTTCCTTCACAGCGACTGGTAGTTCTAGCTGTAGTTTATCTACGAAGCGTATACTTCTTACTGTTTCTGTATCAGGTAGAGGCGGGTTAGGTTCTAGGCCTATTAGGGTGTCTAGTTTTAGGGTTAGAGGGGAGTCAGGCGGTGGTGAGGCAGGCGGGGTCAGTATTCCTAGTTCTCCTTGGATCTGGCTATCTAGGTTTTCGCGCTTTAGGATTATACGACTCTGGTGCTTTAGTCGTTTATCCCCTTCCTTAGGTAGATCTTCTGACCTCCTGGTTAGTGCATCAGGCTTCGCGCCCTATTTACCTAGGCGGTAGATAATCGTAAAATTGAAATGGGATAGGAACTTAGACTAGCAGGCTTGTCGGCGGTTTAGTAACTTAGTGCTTATGAAGTATTCTAGGTTTCGGTGGTCTGTGATAACCTTGATTAGGGAGGTCGTGCCCTTAAGTTCAGGGCGCTATTCTTCGAAACAGTGTACGATAGCTATAAGTTCCTTATTATAGATTTCGTAATTATACTTAGCTGCTGAGTGCTTCTTAGAGAAGAATGCAATAGGATATAGTATTCCTTTTTTGTTGTACTAGGAAATAACACCTATAGATATATAATCAGACGCGTCGGTTTCCAGGATCACATCTTTAGTCTAGTCAAATAGTGCTAGGATCGGGGCGGATATAAAGGCTGTCTTTAGGGTCTTAAAGGCTTCTTCGTAGGCGGGAGTCTATTTAAAGGCAACATCCTTCTTTATGAGTTCGTTCATATAGGCAGTTAGTTTCGAGAAGTCTCTTATAAAGCGTCGGTAGAAGCCAGCAAATCCTAGGAATGCTCGGACATCAGTCGCGTTCGTCGGCGATTTCTAGTCCATGATCGTCCGGACCTTCTCAAGGTCTATATAGATTCCTTCGCCTCCTATAATCAGGCCTAGGAATTTGGTCTCAGAAACATAGAACTCGCATTTAGCTAGTTTCACGAATAGCCCTGCTTCGCGGAGGCGGGCGAGGACCTTACGGACGTGTCCGATATGTTCCTCCCTTATACGACTATATATTAGTATATCGTCAAGGTATATGGTATAGAATAGGTCTAAGTAATCTCGTAGGGAATCGTTGATAAATCTCTGGAATGTAGCAGGGGCGCCTATTAGGCTAAACGGCATTACTAGGCTCTCGTAGAGACCTAATCTCGTACGGAACGCTATCAGGTACTCCTGCCCCTCCTTCACCCGAAGGTTATTAAAGGCAGAGATGATATCTAGGCGAGTAAAGTATTTCATCCCCTTTAACTGGTTCAGGGTTTCTTTAGTCAGGGGTAGGGGATAGCGGTCCTTAACCAAGATCGTGTTAAGGGCTTGGTAGTCTACATAAAATCGGAGACCCCCTCCAGGTTTCTTCATAAATAGGATAGGCGAGGCAGTAGGCGAGGAGCTTGGGCGGATAAACCCTTTCCTTAGGTTCTCGGAGATCCATTCCTTCAGAGCTTCTAGCTTAGGGCGGGATATAGCATAGAGGGGCCTAAATGGCAGGGCCTTCCCCTCTATTAGTCGAATATCATGGTCGTAAGGTCGGTGTGGGGGCAGTCGTTCAGCTTCCTTAGGGGAGAATATATCTCTAAAGTCTTTAAATTCGTCAGGTAGGGCAGGGTCAGGTTTCGGTTGTAGTATCTCGTCTAGTGTCTCTATAGACGCGGAGAACAAATGATAGCCCTTCTCGCTTCGGGCGTATGCGGCGTAGGCCCTTAGGCTTATAGACTATATATCTAGGCCTTCTAGGACAGAGGGGCGATCAGGCAGGTTTATAGGGCGGGTTTTCTTTAGGACATCATATAGGGCTCGGATCTTCGGGGCCCTACCAGGGGTGTTACAGAACTTCTGGCAGTATAGGCTATTTAGCTCGAGGGTATGGTTCGCGAAATGAATACTAGGATCGTGGATCTTAAGCCAAGGCAGGCCTAGTACAACAGGGTAGTAAGCGATTTTCGTGACAAGGAATAGGGCCTTCTTCTTATAGTAGTTCTCTACCCTTATGTTCATTCGTACGAAATAGGTGATATAGCCCTTCTCGGGCTCTCGGCCGTCGAAGGCCTCTAGGCGGATAGGTTCTTTCAGGGTTTCGAATATAAGGCTCTGGTCTCGGGCCCAATCTTCATCGACGAACCTCTTCCCTTCTACACCACTATCTATCATAGCGTATATAGGGATCTGGGTCTCTTTCTAGGTCAGGGTTATAGGCAGGATAAAAGCGTCGGCGCGGAGGTTCTCTTCTTCGATAGAGTCTCCTAGCATAGCTGCGGATAGGCGGAGCATGTGGTTGGGTTTCACCTGGTCGTGATTTAGGCTAGGCTCACTCTATTTGTTGGCTGGAGTATAGAGTAGTCAGACTTAGCAGATTCAGCGTAGGCAGCGGAGTCAGCCTAGGCGGGGTTCTCTATTCGGCTAGAATATAGGCGGGCAGGGGAACGGGGGCGGGTGTCAGGTAGCAGGCAGTCCTGGACTAGATGATCCTTGGATCCGCATCTGAAGCACTCCCCCTGGTCACGCCGGGTGAGCTTAGCCTTAGAGAGATCCATAGGTTCGCTAGGGCCTTGGGCGGGAGTCAGGGTCCTAGGTAGTATATTCGTTATCGCGGCGGCTGCGTACAAGGTCCTTGCGATTTTCTCCTAGGGTGTACTACCTAAGGGCGTGGGTTAGCGGGCACGGTGTGTCTATTACTAGTATTGGCGGAAGTGGTTATCGAGCGACTGAAGATGGGCTGTATAGCTATAAAACTGGCGGGACGGAGCTGGGTTATGCAAGAGCATATCCTAGAGCTCGTTCGAGATAGCTTGTGTTAGGAGGGGAGTCAGAGCTTCTTTGTGTAGTTCGCCCTCTAGGGCTAAACGCTGGAATTCGGATAGGAAGGTGTTAAAGTCGTTATTCTTCTGGCGGAGCTGGTATAAGTGGTTCTGGGCATTCTGGACTCTATCAGGGTCGCCGAAGGCCTTCTCGAGATATTTAAGCATTTGCGGGTAGTCTATAAACTAGGGAACTCCGTACAAGATCTTTAGTAGTACTAGTTCGTACGCTTTACTAATAAGTCTCCCTGCGACATAAGTAAGTCTGACAGTGGCTGTCGGGAAACGGTCCTGGTTCGCGTTCATCTTGCTATGGATCTGCTATATAAAGTGGCGGAGGTCGCTGCGAGTTCCATCAAACTCTTTCAGGTCAGGGATTCTTTCACTAAGGGAGGCAGACCAGGGACCTAGGGTAGGAGTCGGTGCAAGTTCTCGCGTAGGGATATCTGCTAGGTTCTTAATACCTTGGGCAGGAGTGTTTTCGGTTAGGGGGGTTCGTACGGCAGGCAGGGCGGAGTTCAGGATCTGATTTTTTTCGACTTCGAGCCCAACAATCTTGTTGTATAAGCTGTTGATGCGCTCTTCCTGATATCTAATAACGCCCTCCCTGCGGTGCCGAGTCTCCTCGCTTTCAGTCGCGGCTTGGCGGAGGGTTTGGTTATCTTTCTCAATTTCTTGAGAGTAGCCCTCCATAGTCCGGAGGTATAGCACCTAGACGTCGGGGTGTTCTTGGACGTGAGCCAGGAATTCTTCAATAGAATCGGCGTTCAAAGGCGGTTCAGGACGGGGCATGCTGGCGGGTGGCAGCTCTAGTATAGGGTAGAAGCTACGTAGTGTCACGGGGCGGGCAGGTGAATAGAATTATACTAGAACTGGACAGACAGTATTGCATTGACTGACAGGCTAAGACGAAGACGTAGCTTGAAGAGCTACATTCAGACAAGGTTCTGAGTTTACATGAGGTTGCGGGTCACGTGGCCCGCACTATCTAATCAATCAGTAGTCGTCTAAGCTGGCACCGTGACAAAAGACTAGAAGTATAAGTAAAGTAAATGACCTTATTAATGATCTAGAGCCTACTTCAACCATCCTTGAACTAAACCCTCTTCAGAAAATTCGTGTTCTTACTATCTAGATTACACGGAGTAATCTTCGAAGAGAGGACTAGAGACTATGCTGTGAGAGATCCCAGACAGCAGTGAAATATATTAAGAAGGATATCGATACTCGTTAGAACTCCATATTTTGTATGTTAGAAGATGCGTTAAAGGTATGATATATTCTACTTATATCTAACCCTACTAACTTCTGAAATATTTTTTGAAAGGCCAAGAAGCCGCTGAACTTGTTTCTTCAGATATGCTCGCTATAATCTAGACCCTTCTCATCAGCAGACTAGATGTTTTTAGAGCATCTTCGAAATGTCCTTTCTGTGTTTAAGCGCTTAACCCGGAGGGTCTTAATACAACAACCAAAGATGAACCTTGCCTCCTTTCTCTACTACTATCTTGATGATATGGTTGATGAGATGGTAAACCAAAAAGGAAAATTTGCTGGTCTGCCACCTGAAATTGTGAAGGCTATAAAGGCATGCCAATCAGTCTATAAGAAGTACTTTAATAAAATGGATACATCTGATATCTATCTTATTGCTATGGTACTAGACCCTCGCATCAAGACACGCCTTTTAGAGGCTTACTTTGATGACGCAAACCATGTCGCTTCTCTAGTAGAGGGAATTACGAAGAAACTTGAGATCATGTGCCCATGTCTTCCTGATCCTCAGAATTCAACTTTTCAAGAAGGTTATCTTCAACAGAATGGAAAGCGTCGCTATCAACTTGAAGATGATGATTTCCTCAAACTTGGGAGGAAGCGGCAGCGAGCATCAGCTTCTGAGATTACAAGGTGGTTTAAGACAGAACCAATTGATGGTCCTGAGCCCTTAGAGCTAGGTTATGAGGATTGGCTTCTCAATTGGTGGCGAAAATATGCAGATGAGTACCCCCGATTAGCTATTGCGGCCCAGGCTTTTCTTGGTATCCCTTTTTCTGAAGTTGCAGTTGAAAGGCTATTTAGTAAAGGGAGGGATATGATTGGAATCCGACGGTACCAGCTGAATGGTCAGTCTCTTCGAGTACTCATGAGTCTAAAAGATACTTTTACCAAAGAAAGAAACAACGAGGGGGAAATGGAAGAAATGGGAAAAGAGGAGATAGAGCCAGAGGAGGGGGAATTATAGTCTTTGTTTAATGTTTTCTATTAATCTGTATTACTTCAAAGCTCTCTTTCATAGACCCTCTGTCACGGTGCTAGCCGGATCGACCTACACTGCCTTTACCGTATGTTGACTAGGACCGAAATAGCAGATATGGCAGATAAAATGGCAGATAACATCCCTATTTCTCATAATAACACCCCCGTGTATATTCCTAGCAGTGGTTTCATTTTTGCTGAATCTATAATATCACACAATCTAGCTCTTCTCGCCCAAAGTACTCCTTAACTTTGAAAATGCATTCCAAGCTTGAGCGAGCCTGTCCGGGCCACGGTATAGATAAACATTATATTTACGCGCATCCATAGAAATTCCAACAACTAGCCAAGGATGGTTAGAGCGAAAATGAGAGCTAACCTTGCAAGTATCAGCATTAGGATGGACTTTCTAGGACTATTATTCAAAGAACGGGAACGGAAAGCTTGATGGAATTGAAGTTCCAATATCATTCAATTGAAGCTCGTGATAACTGTTTCATTTGAAGGCTCTGAGAGATATGCCTCGAACCTGTTCATCAAAACGACGTATCACCTCGAGTTATCGGCGCACGACCAAGCAGCCGAGCCCCCCGAAGCTTTATAACTATCAATGATACTAACAATAGACCCATAGGTCCCTCCAATCATCAGGAACGTGCCAGCAACAATGACAAAAGCACACCATGCAACCATTAGCATCCATCTTGTAGACCGAGAAGTATTTCTCTTGTTCCAGTTATCATAGAGCCACATACCGGCCATCGGCTGGAAACAAAGCGGTGTACCGAACAGAGCTCCAATGAGAGAAACCAGGTCGCTGAATACTGGAATCGCACTGGCTATGATGTATGCAACGAGGGCAACACCGATAGTACAGCTGAGCCAGACTGCCCAGTGCGTGATGGTATTTGCACTTAGGTGTCTAGAGCCTTGTAAACTGCGGATGAAGATAAACTTTGCTGAGAGCTAAAATATCTTAGTTCAGAGTACCTAGGTAAGGTAATGACATGGCAGGTGGGGATATGGCAGGAAAAGGATCTTACATGAATGAAAAGCAGTGTACTGACTAAGAGGCCAGGAATTCCAAATCCATAGCTAACTTTCTTCATAGTCGGACCCCCTGATCCAAGAGCCGGAGATGAAACATATGATCCACAGAAATAGTATACGACGATGCCAATCGCTAGGTAAAAAATTGTAACCACTGACTGGCAAACCACAAGTGATCGACCGTAGTGCTTAGGCTCACGCATCTCAGAAACAATAGAGAAGAAGGCGGGTGTACCGGCATATGCAAAAACCATTGTAGATAACCCGGTAGCGACTTCACTGAATGATGGCTTTTTAGTAATCTGATAGTCAGATACCCAAATACCAGTTTGAGGTGCAGCTGATGGGCGATCTTGAACGCCGACTGCGATGGTGACACTGAGAACTGCGATCATAGTTAGATTTTAAATATATCGTTGCGTATGAGGCAGTTTGTCCAGAAAATATAATGAGCTTCGAAGGATATTTACCTGCTGTGAGAATACATATCAAACCAATCCATGCAAGCCAGGAGATTCGACCAAGAGTTTGAATACTAGATAGAGCAGCAGTAGTAGCAGCCGCAATGAACACATAGACAGCAGTACAGGTGGCATGGGACGAAACCGCATTCAAGCCAATTGACAAGCCAAGCATTCCTGATCCAGCACAGAAGGTCCACCCTATGATTAGTCAGATAAGGTGCTCCTAGGTAGAATTTAAATCGCAAACTCACAGAGAACAAAGGCAGTGCCGAGAATAGCCTTTCCTGAACGACCCAGAAGCATTCCACCAACATCATCGATCCCATATACCTCACAGTGGCGAAGTTTGAACACACCGATTATGTAGTCAGACCAGGTCGTGATGATAGCGATTGCTAAAAGGCAAATTACACCTGGAACGAGTCCTATCGCATCGAATGCACTTGGAATCGAGAGAACGCCGAGTCCAATTTGAGCCTTCATCATTAGAACAGAAGTTCCAAGCCATCCCAACTATTGAACATCAGCTTTCAGCACAATATCATGACTGGGGATTGACCTGCGCACATTGCGGTAATTTGGGCCTTGCCCACTGATTTCTCCAAATACAGCATCACGAGTAGTTAAATCAGTATTGGATGCCGTCCCAGATCTATATATCGAGCTTTCTGACTCGTCTTGCTTCTTTTCTGACATTTCTGGGTGCCCTTAATGACCAGATGACCTGCGATGCAAATATAATGGGGCTACTCCTGGGCAGGGGCGCATTTTAAAGTAGCCAGTGTCTAAATGTCTGGTAACAGGGTCAAGCCCCTTGCATATTCTAGGGTTGTGGCTAATGCTTGTCTTACCCCAGATATCGCATCCAGATATAGAAATAGACTCATAGTTGTAGTTCCATGGGGAAATTAGCACAACTAGTACTACTTCCCCCGCATTTAGAAGGTTTGAACCACATTCTTCATATTTTATAGACCCACATTCAATCTTAAAGCATCTATATTGGGAATTGATTGACAGGCTTTGAAGTGGTAGCGGGTTGGGTACCCCTCCCGCCTTCCATTTCCGGATATAGTGACCTGTTCACGTTTTGCATTAAAAATAAACTCATCTTAGTTATTTGAAGAAGTATAGAGAAGCCGAATACCGCTAATGACGAGAGTGATGTAGATCAAATAAAGATATTCAATGAGAAAGAAAGAAGAAGGGAAGTTATGTTATTAGCTCGAGATAATAGGTGCACAGATATCCAAGCTTCAAAGGTGATGATCGTAGATTCATCCCTTAACCAGATATGTACATCTTCTAATGACTTCGTGACACATTCATAGCGTTGATAAAGCAGATCTCAAGCGCCCCTAGCACTTTTCGAGCTTATCTGCCACATCTTCGTTTAACTTGGCCAGGTCTGTCGTGAAGATTGCGACTGCCACCATCGCAGAATCGCCTCCGTTGGCCGTATCGGTCCTGATACACATCCACTCACCATATCCGAAGTCAGATACGTTTCCAGCCATGAGTTGCTTCTTCATCTCTGCCGTCTGTGTGTTGTTCATCATGTCGATAGCATATAGACTGTCCCAGTCGCCGCCGGGCTTTGCAGCTATCCGGAAGAATTCTTGTGTGCCACCAACATCCACAATCTCGCTCTCCTCGCACTCCAAATCAGAAGTTAGCCTGAATTGAGTATCACGTCGCTGTATGGTATTGCGGCTAGTGAACTCGTAGTCGGTAGGGGTTGAGTAGATGTTGTGGATAAGGTCTGTGTTGCCGACGTGTCGCTTCTTGCCTCGCTGTGTCGGGGCCTCGACTGAGAGCCACATTCGATGGCAGTGCTGCTTGTCACAGTTTTCATTGAACTCCTTAAGTAGGTGAGGAGGGTCGTCAACAGAGCGCCTAGCAACGCCGATCTGGTCGAAGTCAAACTTGAAGTCATTCTGAATGGCATTATTGATTTTGATGGTATCTATCAGCTTGTTTTGGAGAGCAATGACTGATTTTTCTGCCTTTTTTTGCAGAATATCCAGATCATCCATGGATAAAACACCGTCAATTCCTTCAAGTAATTGACTCAGGGTAACGCTTTCTGCGGTGTAACTCTCTGCAAAGGCTTCCCCGGCCTTGACAGCTTTCGTCACCAGAGTTCTGGCTTCTTCCACAAGAACTTGTAGCTCTGGAACATCAGAAGTAAGAGTGATATAATTATCGAACTTTGGTTTCCAGACATTTATCCAGCTCCTTCGTTGGAGAAATTGCCTCTCTCTCCATAAAGCGAATTGATGCATTTCCTTGTCATGTCTGAGTGTCTCTGCAGCAATTTCCAACTCTTGCTGGCTGCGTTTAACTTGATTTGTCAGGAGTTCCATCTCCAGAGCGTTTCTCCTGAACTCGCTTGTGGCGAAAATGTATAGCGTATAGCCGAGGTACGTCACAGCGAGGGTGACGGTAGTGCCCCAAATAGCGTAGCATTGATAAATAGTTAGATACTCACACGTTCCAGTAAGCATTGTCGACAGAGCTGTCAATGGATATGCATTCATATATGAGGTCCACGAGGACCGGGCAGCTAGAGCATCTGTGTCGATGTGTGGTTCATAGAAACCCACGTGGCCAGGAGCTCGAACTTCAATATCAGAGGAGTTTGTAGGGAGAGGACTGCCAAGAACACAATGGAGAAGGATCAGTGAAAGCACACTGTATACTGGGCGGAGGAAGTGCATGCCCGCGGGATGGAAAGGGCTCGACAATGATGTTGTGTTATCTTCAGTACCAAGAAAGGAATGTTCTTGGAGATTGAACAAAATGAAAGTCCAATTTTGGGGCCGTAAAGTGCCAGAACGAGAGACTTGTATATGACTTGATATAATCACTTATAGCATGTGAGTTAGGACTAATAATGCATCGTTCAACAGCAAACGCCCGGAAGGATCACTATTGAACGTCGTATGCAGCAACATAATTGCAATCAATTCGCTAATTTGAATCAGCATACAGAGTTAGTTGGAGCGTTTTGAACATTTCAGAGGATTGATCCTTTGAAGATAATGTGAACCGCGTTGATTGACACTGGTGGAAATATCCCGCGGATGCTGACGGGGCACAGATAAAAACATGGACCGAGCGTTGGATATAACGATATAGACCAATGTGCAGGGATTATTGGTCATCTAAGCGCAAACTCAATAAAAGTACGTGCTTAGATGAGTTCATTTGTACGTTAACTAATAATGAAATTGAACTTATCACGCGTCACACAAGCCTATGCTCCTAGCAGTTCAAGAAGAATTGTGGGTCATCTAGTTATTCTCAAGTACCCACATCAACGGCATACGCTTGCAGTATCAATTCGTCCGCACCAACAAGATCCGCTCTGGCTGTTTCTAGCACGATACATATCCTACCTAGTGTATTTACAAAGAGGGGAAGATTCTAAAAATACAGTGGGAATGGTCAAAAGTACCTATCCGTTGCGGAAGTTGGTACCAAATAATTGGTCTTCGAGTCAGCCCTGAATAACACTAAAATTCTTATCTAGACGACACCTCAGCACACCGTATAAATCTTTGCAATCTGACTACGCCTTTTTTCTGGTGTTAATAAAAAATCTAGTAGACTATACTGTTAGAGACCAAACAACCGTTGAAAAATTGAGAGTAATTAAGTAATCCCGAAGGATTGGTGACAAAATGGGGCTGGATGAGAAGAAGGAAGAGACGAGCCTGATAAGAAGATGCTAGAAAAAGTGGAGAACCTACCTAGATACGGAAAGAAGTTGTTTCATGCTGCCAAGTAAATTGAAGTAATCTTTATTCTCATTCACCGGGGAATAGGTTTCGGGACTAAGCCCTCAAAAGCCCAAGAATTATGATATATGGCTCGAACAAGTGTAGTTTCATTATACTTCTCGCCAGAATGTGAAATTAGAATCGAATTCTGTAACCATATCTAGATACAATTTCGAGGGTATGATCACTGTTCTTCCGGACCTCTCGTCCGGTGACAGTGTGTATGATGATGCCTTATGTTCTCATGCCCATAGATGTATATGGGGCCATTATTGGAAGGCTGCTAAGTTAAGTTGGCGTTTAAGGGGAGGTTCCTGCCTGCATGTATTGGCTAGTTGAAGCGACGACCGTTAGAAATGGACCTTTGCTCTCATCGATCTCAGTGGTGGGGTTAATCCTTCGAGATAAAATTAATCCTTCCAAGGCTCCTCGGTCAGTCGTACCATATGATCTACTCATCCTACTCAACTTTAATTTCGAGTTTTTAGTATTACTCAGCAGCCGCGCTAGTCATAATTGCTTCCTGGTGGTGTCTATATATCCCTACAGAATGTAACCTTTACAAGGCTGCATGGATATATGAGAGATTTATTTCCAAGTGATAGGTATATTCACCAATACACGGGATATAGCTCGGGCGAGATCATTTTGTACGGATCTATGTTTCAGACCATATGTTCTATCCTTCTTCATTAGGTATAAGCATTAGCTCTGGGTATTGTGGATCCCAGCGAGCCTTGTAACTATGGAAGACCCGCAGGGATGAGAACCTTTGGGGTGTTTATGCCCTCATTTAGCGGCTTTTACGTCACTAAAAGCTATCATTAGACCTGAACAATTACTCATAGAAATTAATGACCGCTGTCAGCCATGGAGTAGATTGTCATAGCGACAAATTGTACCTGGCCATAGTCAATCTATGAGTAAAGGCACCATAGTGGTATAGCATGGGCGAACAGGAGACGCTATTTTGCTCCTAGAGATGACCTTTACAGTAGCATGGTAGGATTTGGGCATGTGGTATCCATTATGTTACAGTTTCGTTCCCGAAGGCTTTAAACGATAGATGCGTTCTTATTAGACTTTGGTCTAATGCGAGTTTTGGAACATTAGGTTTAGAGCTAAGAGGGAAAGTAATCAGCGGATTCCCTCAAGGGTGTATATTTGTGGCAATTGATTGGAGCAGTAGTAGAAGCACATCATTATACATTGTTATTAGCTCTATTCGATCCCCAAACATCCAAATTCACCTATAAGTCGAGTGGATTGCGCACAAAGCCTAGGATTCTCATGACTCGTGTTTGTACCTCGATCCATCCATGGACAAATTGGCGTCTTCGGGCCATGGCTAATAGAACTAGATGTAGGAGGATTATAAACGCTCAACTCTGATTTGGTACGTACTGATTATTGATTCGATAGCTCCAACTAGTCTTATAAGTATTGACAATGAGAATGATGGTAGTATAGCGGATAATAGGCTAGTCAAGCTATAGTACTCCTTCAAGCGACGTCATCCAGGGCACCCCAGGCACTGGCTAGCCCATCCTGGATCTGACTGCAGCACATGGTATCACGCTACAAGGAGGTCCTTCGCAAATTCGGAATTATGAGTTAAAGATCCAAGTCGAAAATAGATTTAACGGTCACGGAACACCTTCCAAAAGATAGGTTTTAACATTCCAATATGTGAAGTTAACAAGGTGAAGGCAGCAACTAGATCGATACAATTACAGCTTTATCAGTGCTCGACGATTGAATTAATTGCCAAGCTTGAGGGGGAAAATGTCGTAGTCCCTAGCGATACCAGTCGCACTTTCTATGGTAAAGCTGAGCCTCACAAGTATTAGAAGGGGGGCATACTGCCGGTAGCCTTTTAAAGAACAAAGTAGTTGAAATACCCAAATCATAACGGGGGCTCTTACTAGCATAATCGATATAGTTTAATCGAAATAATAGCTCAGTCATATTCCAGGGCTATAATTTACTCTAAAGCATTAGGAATTTGAGCCTTGAGGCGAGAAAGCAAGCCTTTCAATGGATAAAGAGATAAAGAGATCGAGAATAAGAAGAGCATAAGTGTACTAGTAAGAAGTGGAGTGATGACAATAATGAAAACAATGGTGTAATGGCGAAGGATTCAGCTAACTGATATAGGCCATTCTGCCTTCAAACTGTCTTTCTCTCTTAACGCCGTGCTTTGAACCGTCTAGACCACGATAAATAGTAAGTGTAGCAACCATAATTCCTATCACTCCATCGAAATAATCGATAGAAAATGTTAGAGTCCAATACACAGCATCATGAAGTGAAGTGCTGGCAAAGATTGAAATATTTCTGGCCTTATACATAGAGCTTGATTATCCATCATATTATACGGTCGAGATGGCAACTGTATTTTGATTGTGCATTCATGAACGAATTTCTCGGGTCTAAATCAAAAATGATATTTTAGAGATGGGAGAGATTATACATAATTTTTGAGCGAAGCGAGACACTTGAAGTTTAGATGACCAATTAGAACACCAGAATTATCAATTACTTCCTTCAACTCTTCCTTCTATTTACCATCTTACTATCTATGGTCAGATTCACCTAAAATATTTCTTAGTTCTAAAAAATGAAGTTACCTAGACACTGTTTAGGTTTTAGGCTAATTGATCATAATTTAGGGTTATGGTGTAGGTTTCAATTATTTTGCTGCGGCTGTATCCCTACTAGAAATATATGAGCATAAAATTGAGCGTGATTCTATATTGACCGTCTCCATGGTAGTGGCCCCAGAGGGTCAGTGGAGCGGTATTTTAAAAATGCTAGAAGGCTCAAAAACCTAGAGCACTATAGGCTGGCTGCGGCATGCGAAAGACTAGTGTGAGATTAACAGGAGGAATCTACAGGATTAGAATGACATATCTGGATCAGTAGAATCGGGGGGCTTTTGAAAATTTTCTACTGCTACATATAGATCTACTTCAATTGACACAGCCCAGGAAATTCTACCTTGGGCTGCCGGTGGGTTCAATGGTATCAACAGGGTTGATGTTAATATAGAAAGAAACAAAGCCTGGAAATTCGATGTAGTTGCTCCTTTCTCGTGGAACACAAATATCTATTTGTGGAATAGTTCATACATCCTCATGCTCTATATGTAATCTTTTAACTAAATCAAAGTCGTCGCTGAGGTAATTAAATTTAAGCAAAGGCAGTAACCTCGCCATCCTTGAGCTTGCCAGCCTCAACAAGACGCTTGGCCTCACCAGCATAGACAGCCTTAACAGCAGCACCGTCCTTGCCGGCGAGAGTCAGACGCTCAGCGAGAGTAGCAAGCTCATCGACGTCAATCTTGGTCAAGATCTGATCGACACCGTTGAGGACAGAGTCAACCTGGGCAGCGGTAGCCTCGCCGGAGGCGAAGTAGTTTACGTCCTTGGCGGCACCCTTCACAACACGCTTGTTCTTCTTGGAAGCGTTCTTGGCTGCTTCCTTGTTCTTCTTGTTCTTTTCGCGCTCGGCCTTAGCAGCCTCTTCGGCATCCTTCTTGGCCTGTTCAGCCTCGACCTTCTTGCGCTCTTTCTCTTCCAGCAGGCGCTGGGTCTCTTCCTCCTTAGCCTTGCGCTTGGCGTCCTTGCCGGCACGGGCCTGCTGGCGGAACTTCTTGATACGCTCGTCTTGAGCAAGGCACTCATCAACCAGCTCACGGAGACGGACATTGTCCTCAGCCTTGCGCTTACGGCGGGCGTTGTTGTTCTTCTTCTCTACGTGACGCTTCTGGTCACGGCTCTCACCATCATCGGGCACATCCTCGTCCAGGTACTCGAATGAGCGCCAGCTGTCGAGGGCGTACCAGAAGTTGTAGAAGGACTCGACCTCCTCTTGGGTGCTGTCTTCGTTACCGAGCTGGGGAACGGGTTGCTTGTTGGAGAAGCGACCCTCGGCCTTGAATACGGGCCCCCAGAGCTTGTACATGTTGCCCTTCTGGACCTGCTTCTTGGTGGGAGGCTCAACCTCAGCGGCCTCGTCGACGGAGTCGAACTGGCGACGGCGAACTGGGTCCAAAAGCAACTCAGTGGCTTTCTGGATACACTTGAAGAAGCTATCGTTCTCATCGCGCTGGCCGCTAGCAGCCTTCTTGTCGGGGTGGTGGCGGAGAACCTTCTTGCGGTGAGCACGGCGGATCTGCTCGGGGGTTGCGCGCCAGCGGTACTTGCGCAGACCGAGAACGGCGTAGTGATCCTGGGCCTGAGAGGGACTTAGAAAACTGATGAAACTAACAGATAGAACGAAGATAGGAGAGTAAAGCAAGAAAACTAACCTTCCAGTCCTTAGCGTCACGGGAGAGCATCATGGGGTCCTCATCCTCGGAGATATCATCGTCCTCGTCGTCCTCGGTCTTCTTGACGTTGTGCTGAGCCTGGATAGCCTCGTCCTCGGAGAAGGTACGGTTGTGGCGCATCTATCAAGAAGTCAGTTGGAATGAATTTTGATGCGGGGCCTCAAATACTTACGCGGCGGGCGTGGGCAAGGAAGTGAGGGCCAACAGGCTCCACCTTGCGCTGAGTAGCACCGGACAGGGCACCGACGGCCTTGAAGTCCTTATCGGCACTCCAGCCTGAAGGCAGGGAGGGAGAGTAACGTTAACAGTCTGCACAGGAGCCATTGTGGAGAGGTGTTGTGGTTGACAAGTAAAAGCGGGTTGAAAAGAATCTAAGTCATTTTTTTTCGTTTTCTGCCGCGAGTGGCCGCTTTAAATTCACAACTCGGGTGATCCGGGGAACATTAATTCAGTTCGTTTGGTCTGCTCGATTATTCTTTACTTGAAGAGACTAGGGAAATTGATTTCGTTCATATCATTGAGATTAATTGAATTCCTCCACTACATTAACCTCATTCGCAAGATCGAACCCAGTACCTCAGCTTCAATTCACCTTCGGCTTCTTTCTCGGAACGGTCTCACACCTCACCTATACACATTCACTATGGCTCCCCCAAGTACTGCTGCTCTGAGTGCCTACCGCCAAGTGCTGCGCTCAACCAGAATTGCGTTCCATAGTGCGTCTTGGATTCACTTGTCAAAAATATTCGTCCTACAATCCGCTAATAAAATCTAGATGACCACCGTGTGTTCCTCGCTGCTCGCCAGGAAGCCCGTCGCAATTTCGATGAAAATCGTCGTGTAGGTATCGACAATGGTATGCAGATCAACCATGCGATCGAGGTTGCCAATATCCTACGCCACAATATAGTTCAGGGTGCCCGGGAAGCAGAAAATGAAACTGCAAAGTGGGGTACGTGATTCTCCTGTCTTGCTCGAACATGATATTACAATTTCATCATAAATCAGTGCTATGAAATAATGGGCTAATGGCTGACATTGATACATAGAACTCAACATCCACGACCAGATCGAGCGTGGCGACAACGACTCGATTAAAGTGGATGGCAAGGACGTCAAAATTCACAAGTCTTGTTCGTCGTGATCAGGCTCGAGGTGACTCTGCCATGCCATTCCTGGAACTACAAATATGTGCCGCTGCTGGCGGTGCATGCATTATAATATACCCAACTCTTTTGTGTTACTATTTGGCGTATTAGGGTATTTTATTGAGATAAAATCTGCATAGAAATAATATGCTAAACGCCCGCTGTAAACCCATGATGGAACCACCATCTCCTAATCCCTCTCAATCGCGTCCAATTTCATTATTTTTTGATTAATTATTCACCTGACATGCTGGCGTACTGGACTGATGAAGATCCCGGAGGAGGAGCAACAGAATAGCCCTTGGTGGATTCTTGGCCTGTTTCGCCAGCAGCCGTGAGGGCCTTTTTTTCAGATTGTCCACCGTTATCAGACTGACTGCGCTTGCCCTGTCGACTTTCGCGAGAACGATTCTGGGCTCGCTCTTCGGGGGTCAAGGAATCAAGGGGCTTAGGTTTCGCCTTTGCCCAGGTCACACGGAGAGGGAAATCCTTGACGACCGCCTTGCCCTGGCAGTGCTTAGCAGCAGCCTCGGCACTTTCACGGGACATAAAGTTGATATAGGCGGCGTGGGCACGGTGAGAGCAGACCACAGAGCGAAGCTGGCCAAATTGTGTGAAGAAAACTCTCAGTTCGTGTTCTGGCAAACCATCGTAAACACCCGTGAGGAATAGAGTGGCAATGTTGGGATCTGCGGGAGGCGCAAGTTCCTCGGCTGTTGGAGGCACGTATGGACCTGCACGGGCACCTCGACCGCCGAAACCCCCACGAGCACCACGACCAGCGGCTCCTCCACGTCCTGGAAGACTATTTCCGAGTCGACTCTGACTCGTACGGATTGGACCCGGCCCATTTCCGTATTGGCTATGTGTTCGTGGTTCGTCGCTCGAACCCTCGCCGTTATTTTCTTCGATGCCCTCAATGGCAAGTTGTGCCTTTCTACCCCTATTGAACTGGTCCGAAGAAGCCAGCCTGCGCAGTACCTCAATAGCCTTCTCATCTGTCTTTTCATATTCCTCAATCGCACCGCGACCCTCTTCAATTTCCTTTTCGTGATTCTGCGCATAGTATTCACGGTTGATGCTACTTGTGGGACCAGGTGCGACCATTTTTAGTGCAGCATCACGGACATTGATTGGCAAGCCAAAGGACAAATCGAGCATGCAGCATTGACAGCTGTTCTTCAGACGCGCGCAAGTTAGGCAAATGTTGGTCTGCGACTTGCGTTGAGCTTTTCGGTCCTTTCTCCACTCAAAAAGGGTGTAGGGTCGAGTACACTAGTTAATAGTTAGTATATGGTAGTGTAAGATGGAAGAAAGAGGTACTGACAATCTTGCACTGAGCACCGCGATCTTCTTTTGTCATAGTCACATAAGGGTTTTCAGGGAGACAATTCTCACAGACGGATGGAAAGTCTGTAGTCTCCCAGCCAGAGCGATTGAGATCGTGCTTTATCTGGGGCAGTGCCATGATGGGTGTGTGGTTGGAAAAAGTTGATGAAAGTTGAAGCTTCGATCAAATCGATAAGTTGATTAGGAAGCAAACTGTGGCGGAAGTGGAAGAGTGGCGATCAGTCACGTGACTGTGGCACTTATTCGTCTCTTCAAATGCCGTAGCCAAAACTACTTAGGCTTACGGCAATCGTAGAACTACATTTTACATCGAGTACTGGTCAAATTTAATTTTCTCCGCGATCTCAATCTCCAATAATCTCAAAACAGTAAAGGGTATCACAGTGGAGTAAACATCAGATCACCTTTAACTACACCGGGAGATTAACATCCGACGCAATGTCCGGAAGAACTAATTCCCCGCCACCCCAGACTCAACTGAGTCTAGTCAATTTTAAGCCACTCAGGGGTTCCATGATTGGCCTCGCTTTCCAATAAAAGTTGCTTTGCTCTCAATCTATTTACTTTCCCCCTAAATCCCCCTTCCCTTTTCTCAATTCCATTCAAACACTGCCTGGTCAATTCCTTGCCTTCTTTTTCATCCGGCGGTCCTTTTTTTTAAATCACAATTTCTCCACTCTCTCGTCCCCTTTAATCTCATACAATTTCTACCCCTTCAATTCACAATGGCTACTGCTTTGGAACGTGAGGATCTTGTGCGTGATGCTGCCTTTAACCAGGCCATGCACGGCAAATCTTCCAAGGCCCGTGGTGGTTTGACAGCTCTGAGTGGCAAGGACAATGCTGCTCAGAAGGCTGCCGTCGACGACTACTTCAAACACTGGGATAACAAGTCAGCTAAGGACGAAACCGCCGCTGATCGTGAGGTATGTTCTTGCGCTACATCTTCAGAACCCAGTGATCAAAAATTGACACTAACCGTCTATATTTAATATAGTCGCGGAGAAACGAATACGCTACCCTGACCCGGCAGTATGATCACCCTTTTTCAATGCCTAGCGCATAGCCAAATCACGAAATATTCTAATCGCATTATAGTTACTACAACCTTGCCACCGACTTCTACGAGTATGGCTGGGGTTCCTCTTTCCACTTCTGCCGTTTCGCCCACGGCGAGCCCTTCTTCCAGGCCATTGCCCGCCACGAGCACTACCTCGCTATGCAGACTGGCATCACTGAGGGTATGAAGGTTCTCGATGTGGGCTGCGGTGTCGGCGGTCCTGCTCGTGAGATCGTCAAGTTTACCGGTGCCCATGTCACTGGTCTGAACAACAACGATTACCAGATCGATCGTGCCACCTACTACGCCGAGAAGCAGGGTCTTTCTGAGAAAATGGCTTTCGTCAAGGGTGATTTTATGCAGATGAAATTCCCTGACAACAGCTTCGATGCCGTCTATGCCATTGAAGCCACCGTGCACGCCCCCGAGCTTGTCGGTGTCTACTCTGAAATTTTCCGTGTCCTTAAGCCCGGTGGTACTTTCGGTGTGTACGAGTGGTTGATGACTGACGACTACAACAACGATGACCCCGAGCACCGCCGTATTCGTCTCGGTATCGAACTTGGTGACGGTATCTCCAACATGGTCACTATCTCCGAGGGTATCAAGGCCTTCAAGGATGCCGGTTTCGAGCTGCTCGCTCACGAGGACCTTGCTCAGCGCCCTGACGCCACTCCCTGGTACTACCCGCTGGCGGGATCTTTCAAACACATGGGTTCCGTCTGGGATTTCTTCACCATTGCCCGCATGACCTGGTGGGGTCGTGGTCTCGCCCACCGCTTCGTCGGTGCCGGTGAGAAGATCGGTGTGTTCCCCAAGGGTTCTCAGAAGACCGCTGACAGCCTGGCTGTTGCTGCCGACTGCCTGGTCGAGGGTGCTCAGAAGAACCTCTTCACACCCATGTACCTCATGGTCGGCAAGAAGCCCGAGTAAAGAAAGAAAAAAAACCACAAATACAAAGCTCGAACCCATCTTTTCATCCTTATTTTTGCATGCACAAGTATGCCCTTTTCCTGCGGCTTTCTGCTCCTCAATTGTCACGTCCTTTCTCTTCTGTTGTCACTATTTCCTCTCCATGCCGCTTGGGTGACTTGTTCCTGGTTATGTTCTGGTTTGACGCAGACATGCGCTTCTCTCGACTGTTGGTGATGACCTTCTTTTCTACTGTTTGGACCATAGATTTGTAATACTTATTGATGCAAGAATAATGAGCCAAGACCAGTTGTTATTATGCTATAGGATCTTGATTATGTCCCAACCTAGGTATCTAAGTATATTAAGTGCTTCTATGAGTAAACCTTGCCATGCGAAGTGTGTGGCCATTCTTATGCTGGGTAATCTTCAAGATATGGATCGACTCTGGAAGCCGTAGATATGTTAGTACACAACACCCTTGGACTTGACAACCCTTGGAACTTTTCAATTTTCAATTCTCCTGATGTTCCTTTTGAGCCAGGTTCATCCATCTGCAGATTCATGAGGGATGGTGACAATAAGAACCCCTTCCCAATAATGAGCAATAAGGGAAAGGTCCAATAGTCATTTCGCTGGCAAAAGTACCTACTTTACAGAAGCAGATGCCAAGCATTGTCACGCAGAAGGAAAAAAGACTGATCAGTTCCAATGGTACATTTAACTGCTGCCTCGACTCGTCTAACCCACCTGAGCCGATGCATAAAAGAGCCTAGAGAGCAAAAGTGGAAAAACTTGTCCTGAGAACTCAAGCCCGTGTTTATATATACGGTGAAAGAGACCCTCCACTGAATTACCTGTCAATGCATAGAAGAAAAAGAGAAATCTAGGACTGGGTCATGAAAGCTCTTGAATACCTTCATACTCAATCAAAACCTAATATCGCAAAAACTGCACGCGAATTCGCAATTCCTCGTCGTATAATCAAAATTGATTTCAAAATAACAAGTCTTTGCCATACATAATCAGAACTTATCATAGAGGGTTTGATATTATACAGCCTTTACTTGAATGACCCTGAGAATCAACAACGGCAATATACTTCCTCAACCTCCTCATAGAATACTATTTTAGGTACTACACAGAAAGCTCGAAAAATCCAAATAATTAGCGACCGGTTAAATCAATATAATCCTAGCTCTCTACACTTTCAATGAGCAGTAGGTAAGCTAAAGAAAAGAGCTAAAATTCAAGCTACTAGCTAAAGTGTTATAGCGGAAATTTGACCAAACAAAAGCGACTTAGGCAGTACATCATGCCTGATAAAATACTTCTTGCCGATATACCAGAATCACAGGTATTACAATTACTGATTACGTCAAGAAATGAAGCTAACTAAGGATTATAAATTCACTAAGAAAGATGGTCAAGAGAAGACACGGCGAAAATGGAAAAAAGGTATCAGTCGAAGCATAAAAGATCTAAAAAACATCGTGGATATTAATTTCTATAGTTGTATCTGTAGTTTAGTGCCTAAGCTATACTTTCATTATATTTATTTACTTAGTTCTGTCAGAAATAAAAAAAAGTGGTGAAATGATGGTGTAATTTATGTAACGTAAGGCCCATATTTTCTCAACATTACACACTAGTTTATGCTGAGCCGTCAGAGCCAAGCGAAGTTCCACAAAAGCTTAAGTCCCGCTAAGTCAAGCCATGATCATTGGAGGCACTTGTAGGATCGATATGCTGTACGGAGTAAGCCCGGACGTCCGGGATCCGTTCCTGAATACTGTTGTTCCACCTTCCAGATATTATCTGACGGAAAATATCGGAAGAAAAAGGCAGTCACTTTTAGTTATTTTGCAATGATATAATCAGATAGATGCATTTTCAAGTCAAATTCCAATCTTTTAGACCAAAATAACTCTGTGAACTACATGCAGCTACTTCTCAAGTCATGCAATGCAAGCCATACGAGAATTCTTTCCAATGAGCTCAAGCAATCGACTGGGCCTGGGCAGGGCCCGAGGAATCATGCAAGCTCAATGCAAGGGTGAGTGCATTCCTATCAGTGGATGTTCTGGGCAAACGGGGCGATTCAGGGCAAACAAGTCACTTTGTAAAGCATCGACCTATTACTTTTCATTGTAATTGTTTTCCCTGTTTCGATTATACTCATTTGAATTGTACAATACTGTACTCTCCAGCCAGTCAGATGCTCGTGCTAAGCAACGTGACAGAGCGGGAAGACCCACCGAATCCACTTGCTTCTACGCCCCGATAGCTTCGAGAAGAACAGCCAGTCAATGCAGGAGGGAATGCAACGTGCTTGAGGTGTTATTCAATCTCCCTCGTGGCTATTGGTAACTCCAATTTCTCAGCTCCAGCCGAGATATCCTTCCTTGAATTTAATTAATGGAAATTGCGACTTCTCCGATTGGTTATAGATCGCTCCACTCTAAGCATTCCAGGTATAAGATCGCGTGCTACGTCCAATTAATGTGCCTTCCCCTTTCATTCGCATCGCATCTGTAACTCCCTGCGATCGTTCCTGAAAATACAAGTCATGTTGAATAAACAGACTCTGATCGCCTTCGTTGGCGCACTGGCTACTGCTGCAGCTAAGACTTCTCCTGAGAAGTACCCTACTGCTGCTGAGATCGTTGCCTCTCAAGAATCAGTTCTTCCTTACTCCCCAGTCTCTAACGTACGAGGTCTGGCATTTGACCGGTTCGCTCAGATCTGGATTGAGAACACTGTAAGTGCCAGTAGTCGAGACCGATCAAAATAAAAAAAGCCTAATTGATAACCAGGACTATCAAACTTCTGCCGATGATGAGAACTTCCAAAAGCTGGCTCAAGAGGGTATCCTTCTGACCAACTACCATGCCCTCACTCACCCATCGGAACCAAACTACTGTGCTTCCGCATCGGGTGACACCTTTGGAATGGACAACGATGACTTCCACCAGCTACCCGCCAACATCTCGACAATTGCTGACCTGTTCGACACCCGCGGCATTGCCTGGGGCCAATACCAGGAGGACTTGCCTTACGCCGGCTACCAGGGCTACCGGTACCCAGAGAGCGGAGCTAACAAGTACGTGCGCAAGCACAACCCTTTGATCCTCTTTGACTCGGTTACAAACGATGCCGTTCGTCCCCGCCAGATCAAGAACTTTACCACCTTCGCCGAGGACTTGAAGCACAAAAGTATCCCGCAGTACTTGTTCATCACACCAAACATGACCAACGATGCCCACGACAGCAACATCACCGTTGCAGGTGACTTCCTCGCCCGCTTCGTGCCCCCGCTCGTGAGGCACAAATACTTCAGCAAGGACGCCCTGATCCTGCTCACCTTCGATGAGACCGGCAACTACACCGAGCCTAACCGCGTGTACTCGATTCTCCTTGGTGGAGCTGTCCCCAAACACCTGAGGGGTACCACAGATAACACCTTCTACACCCACTACTCCATCATTGCCTCTCTCTCCGCAAACTGGGGTCTCCCCTCTCTCGGCCGTTGGGATTGTGGCGCTAACCTACTCAGTCTCGTTGCCGAGAAGACCGGTTACGTGAATTGGGAGGTCGACACTGGCAATCTCCTCCTGAACGATACCTATCCCGGCCCTCTTTCTGAAAACACCTACTCTGAATATGAGCCCCTCTGGCCTTCTCCTGCTACCAGTGGCCACTGCTCTGCTGGTAACGGTATTCTTGATGCCGTTAAGCGCACTTGGGAGGGTTACAAGCCTACCTACAATTACAGCAGCCCTGTTCCCTATGATGCGGCTAGTGGCACCAATGTTGGTATCAAATTCAGCCGAACCTTGGTATGTTTCAGCTTCCTCTAAGGGATCTTCTCGGTTGTGATTATGTACTAATATTTTTATAGCTTAACGGCAGCAAGCAGAGAGGCATCACCGAGTAAATTATGTAGGGTGTATTTTGGAGGACTACCTTGCATAGTATGAGATGGAACTTGACGTAATTATGACATGTCCAGCCTTATTAATGATATTAGTATTGTGTACACGAAGTGATAATATTTCTGTTCTTGTATGGATTTATCTATATATTCCATGGAGCTACTCTGAGCCCTGGTGCCCCTAGCCGAAATCCAGAGCCGACCCTATCCCAAAATCATAGTTGTCACTCAGACTCCTTGAATGTGACTTGCGTAGTGCTACAACTCTTCCTTAGCCGCACACTGCTAGGTTTTGAAGTAGCTCGCCGAATGTATCGGCTAAAGCTCAAAATGGGGGCCTTCACTGGCACTTTTCTCTGTGGGATTTGGGCATTGATCTTAAAGCTCTCTTCATTAATTCCTAGTTAATGTTAATTCTCAATATAAACCTCGGAAAACCTTGATGATCAGCTTTCAAGGTTGATCTCTTGCCCTCTATATATTCGCATATATCTTCTTCCCTAGATTCTGATACATAAATTTCCAAGCTCGGATGCACGACATATTAAATCAGGACTCTTTCCACTTTAGCTATCTGCAGGGGGCTTCCAGGCCCAATCAACAGTCGAGACTTCAACATCTGCCAAGAGTAAGTGGGGCATAGATCTATGAAGTCCACTTATTTATGGAGTCATATGGGGTCACTATCTACAAGACCCCTAATTCTATATTAGTGGATCATACACTTTTCCAAGTCCATATTCTTGTAATTGGTAGCTAGGTCTAGTGGTGAGCACACTAAACACGAAACAGAAGTTACCAGTTTAATTTTCCATTTTCTAAGCCTGATTTACTTGAATCAAGTTAATAATAGAGAAGGGGAGGGGGGGGGGGGGGGGGGGGGGTCTTGCTGGGTGAGATTATATTGTAACAGAAGTCTGAGAATCATTGTGATCGAGGCCGACATGATATAACTGGGAACTTATCTAGGGTGGTTTCTTTTTTAATTCCTGTATTAAATTAGTATGATGTTCACCGTCTTGGAGATTCTATTTATCTTTTTGATACACCCACTTATTATACTTTTCATACTGAATTTTCATTCTTGAATAGCCCTCACTACAGCAAGAAGCACACACACCAACCACAAGACACCACACAAGAAGGGAGTCGGGAGATGACCTCTCACAATGCACGAATCTCCTCAATACCAAAAACTAGACCATAGCTCACGAAAGATAGTGAATACGTACAGTGGAAGTTCATAGAACGGATGATGATGAATTTATGGGGAAAGAAATATCTCCTTCCCTAAAATAACTATTCTGCTTAACTAATACTCGCCCTCGGATTCCTTTGAAATCTAGAAATTTACCTTTAACTGTTGAAGCTTTATCTACTGAAAGTCAAATTCTAGCGATTTGGATATTGGCTCATGTCTGAGAATGTCAGCAGTCAGATCAAAATCTCTGACAGAATCACGAGTCACGTACTTCCAGATCTGAAGGAAACTTCCACATATCATTCCCTTCAGCCAACTCCACCATTAGGCTATTTGAATTGAGAGATCAGCCAATTTTTATCAATCAATAGAAGGATAATATAGCCGATGAAGTTATTCCAGTGAAGTTGGAAGTGTCTAGGCAGCTTCACTGTGGACTTTTTACACCAGATGTAGATAAGTGGGTGCAGGACCCGCTGGTCAGCCCTATTACACCGGTTCCACAGAGAACATATTAGAGGCACCAATTAGATTTCTTATTAAACAGAGAGATAGTTTTATATTGACCAGAAATGCTTAATCTAGCCAGCAGCGAATGGACTCTTCTGCCTAAGTACGGGACCATATCGCCACAAAAACAAAGGAGCCGGAACTCCAACGGCGATAGAAATAAATGCAAGCACGCTATTACCCCATCCAAAACGTAGAGAATCATACATATAAGGCGCGAAGAGCGGAAAACAGAAGCCGGCAAGGGAGCGCAGGACCGACGCTGCAGCAAGTGCACTAGCTGCATAACGGGTATATGCATCAACCAAGTAAGTCTGGATACACTGGAAAGCCATGATAACCCCTATCCCAAAGAGAGCCGTGCCTATATTGGGTGCGATCCAGTGGGCATGTTTCTCAGCTGTCCAGCCATAGATGAATAGACCAGCTGGAACGAAAACAGACGCGACGATCATGAGTGGGACGCGCATTTCCGGATTCCCAACTCCGGCGTTACGCGCTTTGAGCGTGCGGTAGATTCGGTCGTTCAGTGGAGCGCAGGTTTGGGAGCCGAAGAAGAATCCTACGCCGAGGGAAATGTAGTTCAGGCCACCTATTCCGACGGATTCGTTGTAGTAGGATGGGTTTGTCCAGAGGCGTGGGAAGGTGGATAGGACTAGGTACATGATGCCGTATACGAAGGCCATGTAGAGAGCCAGCACTATGATTATGGGTTGCGTGAAGAGAAGGCGGAATGGTCGCACAAATGCATCGCCGAGTCGTTGTCCAAGGGATTTGGATTTGTTTTGGATTTCAACTTCGGTCTCGTATGAGTTGTCACCCGTTTCCTTCCGAAGCGTTCTCGCACGGTTGAGCAGAATTTTTGGCGCGTATGTTTCACGAAGAAAGAAAATACCAACTATGGCTATCACTGCGTCCAGAATGGAAGTTGACCAGAAGACCCATCTCCATGATGTCTTCTCGGCAATGAAGGCGCCTGCGATGGGTCCGACAGCTGGTCCTAGGAGTGGAGCGAGACTGTATATTGCAACACTCTTACCACGCTCTTCAGGCCTGAAGCAGTCTGCTAAGAGACCACCGCCAATCTATCAATCAATATGGCTCGATCGATCAAGTGAAGGTATTGGAATTAACTCACTGACATTGGGGCGCTTCCTCCCAGACCAGAGAAGAACCGACAAATAATCATCTGCACTTTAGTCTGGGAGGTGGCGCATCCGATATTGAAAACGAGGAAGAACAGATTTGCGAGCTGGAGTACCACAAGTCGACCGTATATCTCGGACAAAGGGCCGAGGACAAGAGGACCGATTGCGTATGCGAGGACGAAAACCGACAAGGATAGTTGGAGAGTAATGTCACTGTGGATCTCTAGATCAGATGCCATCTTTTCTAATGCTGGAGCTACCATACTGCTTGATATCGGAGAAATCAAGGTGAAAAAGGACATTATGATGGCGGCAGTCCACTTTTGCTGAAGTGTCCAGTTTTTCGGGTTCTTTGAATCGTCGGGACCATCCCAGGTGACCTTAGACAGTTAGACTGAGTTATGAGTGGAGAGAGGGCAGACGAACCAGCTTAACATCTGAAGTTGATGTTTTTCTATTTGCGTCTTCAGACTCTGGTTTGGCACCTCTCTCTAGATCCATATCTTTGTTGATACGATGTTTCACAATAGATTCTTCAATTGACGAGCCCTCTGTATGTTCCTCTTTTTCACTCTGGTTGATGACATTACCACTCGGATACTCTGGTTCTGTATTCTGATTCATGCTGGATCTCTTGATAGATTCGGTGAAACTTCGAGGGCGCGACATGGCCCTTGGATTGTGATCAACATCTGTATGGATGGTGGACGATGATTGGGACCTGCTGCATTCAATCATTGAGATTTTGTGTGACCCGAAGGGACATCTGACACGGATGTACTTGATCAGTCACAGCAAAGGATGTGATAAGGTTAGCGGGATGCAAGGAGAGTTTGGTGAAAGAAATGGGGATTTATTTTTGAAGAAATGATAAACTGTCATTGTCCTCGTAAGTGGAATGCCAGGTTGGCCATTTCTTGATCATTGCAGAGACAATTCATGCAGTGACAAGTCAGCAGCAAGCACTAGCTGTTGCAAAGTGGCCGGACATAACTAACTCCGTGTCGCCGATCTGCTAGGGATGAGACCTGCAGGGAAACCCGGTCGAGGCCTCAGGCCGATACAAGACTGGTTTATCATCTTTGTTTTTCATGGAGCAGATTTGACCGGACAGGGGAATCTGCGACCATAATGATCTGCAGTGAGCAATCGAGATAGTGCATTTTGATGGAGATCATTAAGTTTGGGTACGGAACCTCGCTCTTCCCATAAGAGTCTCAGTCTCATAGATGTCCGATTAAATTTATTATGATACATGAGCTGACATTAAATGGATTACAACAAGAGTCGAGATAAAGGAATTCGTACGGTTGAAAGGGTCGATTCCATATAAACTCATTACCCCGCATAATTTCTTTCCCCGGATTATGTCATCAATCAGGATTTGAAAATATGGGGTGAAACCGCCCATCGGTTTTTGTAACAGGGCTGACAAAATAATTTGGTACAAATGGCACGGTAAATATATAGATCGGATCGTCCGGTTTGGACAAATCTAAATATCGCAACACCTGCAGTGACCTCGAGATCTCAAGTTACCCTGTGTTACACGTACAGGGGAGTTTCCTGTAAGGCCACCCGTAGGTCAAAGAAAACCAACGGAGTCAGTAAAGTCGTGAGACAATACAAATCATGTGATATAGATCATGTGAGATCACAGATGACCTCAGATAAAGTAAGATCCATGGAACAAGACCTCTACCATGACTTCATGACTCGTGTATCTTCTCATCTCTGACTTGCTCACTGCAATCTGACTAACTCATGTTTTGATACGTCTAAACTGAAAGGATCCGAGTGGCCTCTTACTCTGGAAAAGACCTTTTACGCTCAGCGCTTTCGGTTCTCGGGCGTATTATACTTTGTAAGTTGAGGGATTATTTGTGGCTTATAACGCCTTCATGCACGAAGCCAATAGTATCTTCTGCTCGCTGCTGACAGGATCGAAGAACGAAGCCATACAACGCATGCCAAGATCATAGTCGGCAGCTTTTGGCGATATTCAATCCTTCCCCATCCTTCTCTCCGCGTACGCTTTGGGCTTTTTACGGGGTAAAGTCGGATCCACTCTACGCCAGTTTAACTTGTTTTCTCTACCTTATTTCCATTCTCAACGGCCAGTTTGATATGATACGCCACGTCACATATTCAGCGATCGAGTAGTGTTGTGTTCTTTCAGCTCATCTCCATATAGGAGAGGGCCCATCGAAACGATGAACTCTGTCGTTACTTTTCAATTACGGGGTAATTCCCCTTTGTGCTATGATCCCGTCGAAGGATTATAGTGCGTTTGCACTTGAGACCAATGAGGCCATTCAAAAAGGGGCCAAGCTTCCCGTCTGGACCTTTATCCAATTTAATCGAAGCGGGGTCTTTATGCTGCTTCCCCGTGGGGTTATTTAAGGCCATTCCCCACAAAGAGTAAGAAATCACACTCATATACACTTCACTGAGAGAATCATTTGCCATGGACGAAAAGAAGTTGGCGGACACGCCCTTTCACAAGGAGAATGTCACTCCGGTGATACCCTCAGATGGCCATGCTGTTGCCCTCAACATTATCCAGAACCCTTTAATAGTACGACATACATCCACATTATCCCCACGCACTCTCTACACCGTACTAACTCTGACTCCAGCGTAGCACCAAGGAACAAGTCGTCGCTGATGCCCGGACATTTGCAGAGTCGAACAACATGTCCGAGCACGCAGAACTATTTGGTCGTGCCGCGCTCGTTGCGAGAGAACCTAGTAGTTTTGAAGGCTTTGCCGAGCTTGACGAACAGGAGATAGATGCACTCATCTATGAGAGAGACCACAAATGGCACGGCCCCTGGATGCTCTGGTATGCAATCTCTCTCTGTGCCATCGGAGCCGCTACTCAGGGATGGGATCAGACTGGATCCAACGGAGCCAACTTGTCCTTCCCAGAGGAGTTTGGCATCAATGGTACTGGTAGAGATGAGTGGATTGTCGGTGTCGTCAATGCCGTTATCTTCTTGACCGCCGGCATGGTGTGAGTATCGCCGACTTCCTTCCTCGATCATTGTTAATCTTTTATAGTGGAGCCTTCATCGTCGATCCCCTGAACCACTACCTCGGCCGAAGGGGTGAGATCTTCCTCACAGCCTGCTGCCTGACTGCCACTCCAATCGGCTCCGCCTTCACACATTCGTGGCAGACTCTGTTCGCCGCACGCTTTGTGATGGGAATCGGAATCGGCGCCAAGAACGCGACGGTGCCCATTTACTCAGCCGAAATGGCTCCCGCTAGAATTCGCGGTGCCCTCGTCATGTTCTGGCAATTGTGGGTGGTCGTCGGTATCTTCCTGGGCTTCTGTGCCAATGTCATTGTGAAAGACACCGGTAAAATTGCTTGGCGTCTCCAGCTCGGCTCGGCATTCATCCCCTCATTCATCCTTGGCATTGGTATCTTCTTCTGCCCCGAGTCCCCTCGCTGGCTTATGAAGAACAATAGACATGCCGAGGGATTCGAGTCAATGCAGCGCCTGCGAGCACACCCCATCATCGCTGCACGTGACTTCTACTACTCCTATGTCATCTATCATGAGGAACTCAAGGAGGCGCAAGGAGCAGGATACTTTTCCCGTATGTGGGACTGCTTTGCCGTGCCAAGAATTAGACGCGCCAACTATGGAGCATCAACCGTGATGATTGCGCAGCAGATGTGCGGAATAAACAGTAAGCTCTTCCATTACGTTCATGGGGTGTATTAGGTACTAATATCGCCAAGTCATCTCGTTCTACAGTTCAACTATCTTTGAGAATGTTGGCTACACAGCGACACAAGCCTTGTATGCTTCCCTTGGCTACGGTGCCATTCAAGTCGTGTCGACTATCCCAACCCTTTTCCTCATCGATAGCAAAGGCCGACGGACCCTGACATTGATTGTGAGTCATTCTATAGCCATCGATAATACTCAACTGACCTTGTAAAGACTTTCCCCTTCATGTGTGTATTCCTACTGGCAGCAGGTCTATCTATGTTGAAAACGGATGGTACTCGCGGCGAACAAATCGGACCAGTCGTTTTATTCATCTACCTCTTCACCATCGCCTACTCTCTAGGCGAAGGACCAGTCGCTTTCCAGTACTCAGCCGAGGTGTTCCCCACCATCCAGCGAGAGCAAGGAATGGCCTGGGCCGTGTGTATCAACAACACCTTCGGTAAGAATGAATCGTCTCCACAAAATACCATTCTAACAAATATTGCAGCCGGTATCCTCAGTCTAACATTCCCCCGAATGAAGACCGTCATGACGCCCACCGGAGCATGTAAGTTAAATCTACAACACCTAGTAGCCAAAAGTATGCTAATAAACGCAGTCGGGTTCTACGCCGGTCTCAACTTGATAGCATGGTTTCTGATATTCTGCTTCGTCCGAGAAACGAAGCGGCTAACCCTGGAAGAACTGGATCGTGAGTTGACAAGTTGAGGATCCCCTTTGTTTCAGATCTGACAGACTGCAGAGGTCTTCTCCGTTCCTACAAAAACATACATCCATTACGAACTGACAGTTTGGCTTCCGTGGTTTATCAAGCGATATGTCTTTTGGCAGAAAATCCCCCGTCCTCCCCCGATTATTGCGACTGCCGAGGAGGTCAGGGCTCATGGTCCTTTATAAGAGATGATTTGGCGTATAGCTTAAATAGTTGGATGGCGTGATTATCACTGGGGTAATATCAGTTGTATTACAAGTCTGCATCAATTTAGTTTTATTGAAGCTCAAGCATGAAACATATTTCGTAATAGGTTCAAACAAAGGAGCGGACTATAGACTTGAAAACTGAAATTAGGACAGAATAATTGAGTTAGGTATGTGAAGCTCAAAACCCTCATCTTTGATGGTTGATAGCGTGTAAAAGTAACCGTAGCAGCATCATCCCAGTTAAACTATGATTTCAAGAGTTGAGCGGCAGGTCAGATATGGGAGTACTTATGCTGCTGAAAGTATCTTCTCAACAAACTCATTAATTATGAGGGGTGTTTCTAAATACATTTAAAATTCTTGTTAAGTTTCGAAGCTTCCAAAGTCTGTGTAATATGTATTTTTCGTAAAAATAATATGTTGCTGATGGGTAAACCTTGCAGTCTTATAGATTTAACTTGAAACCTTCATTTTGAGATGCGATATCGAGACGGACTTTGAAGAAGTAGCAAAATTCAGATGCATGCATCCTATAAAACACTGTTAAGAATTTTTAGATGCACCGTTCCCCAGCAAGAAGCGGCCCAGGATACCAAAAAACAAGAAGAAAACAAGATATGCCATAAAAAACTCGCGCCTACTGTAATCAACAAATACGAAAATTCATTACGAAGCTAGAAGCTGTAAGTCAAAGGCTGCAACTTAAGCCTATCTATTCTATTAGTAGTCGAAGTTGTTTCTAATAATGTTTATAGGTGGATGATATCCCATAATTTAAACGATCCTGCTTAGAAAATCAAGCTTTTTGATTCACACGAACCCGATCTAGCTTCTTAGTAATTAAAGCTTTTCGCCGAAAATTATGTTACATCTGTAGAGAAAATGCTATCTTAGAGGTCGGTGTAACAGGCTGATGCCTGCCAAGTAGATCATGGTGCCCATTATCCCCTTCTGGATTAGTCCACCACGTGATTCGCAGCCCCTTCAACTTCACCGATTCTCTTACTTCCCTTAAGGATTTTGTACACAGTTTGTGCCTAGCTAGTTCTGAATCTAAGATTAGCTTTAGCCCTTCACATTTATTTTATTATAGCTTGCTGATTTATCTTTAATTTATAAGAACTACTCTTATAGAGAAATATAATCTTTTAGCAAAGATTCGGGGGCGCTTTATAGTTATAGTAAAGGATATAGAGCTTCTTCTTTATCGCCTCTTTATCAAAGATAATTATGACTATAAGCACGAGAGAGCATATATTTAGACTGGTAGCTCCCTTTTGTCAGAGGACATCAGGCTATACTTCATAACTCCAAGGCAACAGTTTCAGCCAGAAATTGGGCAGTATTCCAGAGGTCCTCACTGATTTTTCCCAATTCAGCTAATTAGTTTACAATTCTTTACTATGGGATAGCTTACCTTAAATTAAATATGATGATGTGCGTAGCAATGCTAGAGTTCCTAGGTATTCTAAAGCCACACGGTTCTAAGGCCCGATTGATTGTGGAACATACAGATTTTGGAGATAGCTTCATAAAATATGCAATCCATATTTTTAGTCTGAAAGGAGAGCGGGAACCGAAGCCAATAATGATTGAGAGCTAAAAATATCAGTGGAAATTCAGTCTCTAGTCATACCTCAGATCTGGGGCTGATCTTGGCCGGGTTGAGGCATCATGGACTAGAGACTTATAAAACTTGTATGACAATTTTGTTTCACCGAGAGCCTGTCTCGAACCCTCAGTATTGGTTGGCAGCTTTTCTGGTTTAACCACTAGACTATATTGTTGAGAATAGTAGTAGCAAGTTTTTGTTCCCTGCACATGTACCCACTTATTTACTCCGAGTACTCGGCCCGACAGAAAGTGAAGATCATGTCCAGATCTGTGATCTACTTCAAAAAATTATCCTTCAATGTGATTGGCCATTCTCAGCTCCTGAGACCTCACGTCCGGAGGGTTGTAAACAAATCCACTCGGCATGATATTGGAGCGCGATACAAAACTTGAAGTGCCAATCACGTTTGAGTATATTTGGATAAATCAAGCAAAATGAAAATACGAAATTCAATGCTCTCCTTGCTCTCCATACTTGGTATATTGCTGCTCAAACACAGCAATGGAGTATCTGCAGCTGATAACACCACGAGGGGCACCCCCTACTCAGCTAGAATGGCTGATAGTATAATATCGCGCAGCCAGGCCATTATTCAACATCAAACAGATTCTTCATCGCTGCTGCAGGTTGGGATATTCCAAACCTCTATCTTGGAGCTGATAGAATCGCCATCTGGTCATTACATGGAGCAAAATTGGACTTCGTACCTTCACTCAAGCACGGATAGCGTTATTAATGTTGTTGATAATACAACAAAAGATTTAGAGCTCCCCTTGGACCGGCTCTCGGTTGGCAAGGGGCTCTTATATCAGTGAGTTCTTAATGCCTGCGACCCGCAATGGTTTTCTAATCAGGTCAAAACTACCATCTTAGGTATGATGGGACTGGGAATAGTACATACAAAGAAACCCTTGCTTCACTGCGCAACTCAATTGATTTGGAGCCACGGAACTCCCTCGGTAATTGTTCTCCTAATACTTCCCCCTTTTATACTACCAATTTGCACTGTTTGCTAATTCACGATAGGGGGATTGTGGTATTACGTCTACCCAAATTGGAGCTACCTGGATGGAATGTTCTCACTCCTATCATTCTACCCCTTGTATACATTAAATTTCAATATTGCCGACATGACTGAGGTCAACAATGATATCTTCCTACAAATCGAGCTTATATGGGAGCACTGCTACGACAACAAGACTGGCCTCCTATTCCACGGATATGATGCAACCAAAACCGCCTCTTGGGCGAATCCTACGACAGGCGCTAGTCCAATCGTCTGGAATCGTTCTCTAGGATGGTTTGTCATGGGATTGGTAGATCTTCTAGAGCTACAGCTAATGGACTCTCGGGTCGCAACATGGCGTGCAAGGTTCACTGACCTTGCCAACGCTATAGTCAACGCAGTGGATGCAGAATCCGGATGTTGGTGGCAAGTGATGTCCTCTCCTGGCCGGGAGGGGAACTATATTGAATCTAGTGGATCTGCTATGTTCACATATGCTCTTTACAAGGGGGTTCGGCTTGGCCTTTTGCAAGATGCTAGCCAGAGTTCAGTTTCCTCCCGCTATTTAAGCCATACCCAGACAAACTATACCGGTATTGCCACTCGTGCATATCGTGGACTGGTTAACAGATTCGTTGTGGAGAATGCCGATGGCACTTCGAGCTATAATGGGACTGTGGGTGTATGCAGCTTAAACTCAACTGCTAGCTACGAGGTAGGAATTGGCAACTCTTTGTTATTTAGTACTGGGGAGCTCATGATGCTGACTTGATGGATTTTTAGTACTATACTGGACAACCAATCGTCTTCAATAGCGTATTGGGATCTGCGGCCTTTGTTCGGGCCAGTTTGGAGCATGAACTGGCGCATGGAAGTGATCTCTAAATGTTGTACTATAAAATTTTAGCTTATATGCATCGAAGCAGCCAAATGCTTGAGTTCTCAACATAATGTTAGCAATAGTCTGTGGACTATACCTCATAGTGGGCTTGGAATACCTTGTCGCATTCGCCGGTATTATCTTGAACCTGAGCGTCTGGATGATTGATATTGCGTTATTGGAGTCGACTTTTCTAATAATTTATCGGCCTACTATGATCAATGAACGCGTGCTGTCTCCAATGCCACCCATGAGGATCAATTAGATATAGAGTTTCGCTTCTTGGCCAAGATGCACTTCCATTCCGATGCTTTTCACCGTACTCCTGTCTGAGCATCGTCTTTTCGCTTCTTCGCTCGAATTTATGATCGGTCTTGGTAGAATCTTTCATCCTCCAATTCCGGCCGCCGAATCAATCGATATGAGTGAATAGGGTCTCGGAAAATAGGAATATTGTGAATCCTGATGCTTTGCGGAAAAGAAATTGTGGAACCATTCAAGTTTCCCGACGGAAAAGACGATTCATTGAAGGGGAAAAAAAGGCGGAGAAGATTGCGATTGGCGAGATAAGCAAGGATAAGACCGATGATAGCTGTTTTCCGTCGTTGCCCGTTGAACCCCTCGGCCAAGGTAATGCGGTGCAAAAATCTACATTAGTTAATTGATTTTCTCTTCTCTCTCTCTAATTTCTTCTTCTTTATTTAATTGTCAATTATACAATATTTGGAGTTTGACTGTGTTGAGTGCTTCATTGCATCCTTTCCTATACGTCACTCCCGTAAGCTCCAATGGCGGCATCTTGTATTGCCCTTCGTGGCAGCCGCCAGATTGCTCTGCGATCGCGTATGAGAGCTGGTCCCTCGTCTTTTTCTCTACGGACAGCTTCACAGTCCCTGAACTTGAGTCGTCGTGCCCTGCACACCTCTCCACCAGCTATCACTCGCCGCGGTGTCTATACCAGCACTCTCGCCGATCATGGAGTTCCCCATCCCCCCGATATCTTTCAACCCCTCGATACATTCCCTCGCCGTCACATTGGTCCCTCTCCTGATGCTGCGGCGGAGATGCTTGCCGTACTGGATCCACCAGCGGCTTCTTTAGACGAATTCGTCAAGCAGGTCCTGCCCGAGGACATTCTCTCTAAAAACGACCTCAAGGTCCATGAACCCCATGCCGATATCAACCTTTACCGCTCAAGTGTGCAAGGAGGTCTTAGTGAGTCGGATATGCTGAAGCTGCTGGAAACCTACCGCAAGCAAATCGATATCTCCGGTAAGACCTACATCGGTACTGGCTACTATCCAACCATTGTGCCTCCGGTTATCCTACGCAATGTCCTCGAAAACCCTGCTTGGTATACTAGCTATACTCCTTACCAGCCGGAGATCAGTCAGGGTCGTCTGGAGTCTCTATTGAATTTCCAGACCTTGACTGCTGACCTGACTGGTTTGCCATTCGCCAATGCCTCTGTTCTTGATGAAGCAACTGCCGCCGCTGAGGCCATGACCATGTCCCTCGCAACTATGCCCGCCTCTAAACAGAAAAAAGCAGAGAAGTCGTTTGTGGTGTCACACCTCTGCCACCCCCAAACCATTGCCGTTATGCAGTCGCGTGCCGAGGGATTTGGAATCAACCTTGTCATTGGTGATATCCTGGCAAATGACTCTAAGGTTGTGAAGGAACAGGGTGACCACCTCATTGGTGTTCTTGCCCAGTATCCTGATACCGAGGGAGGCATCAATGACTTCCAGTCTCTTAGCGATCTCATTCATGGCCAGGGTGGTACTTTTAGCGTTGCTACTGATCTGCTGGCCTTGACTGTTCTCAAGGCCCCCGGCGAGTTCGGCGCTGATATTGCCTTTGGTAGCGCCCAGCGCATGGGTGTTCCCATGGGATTTGGTGGACCCCACGCTGCATTCTTTGCCTGTGCCGACAAGTATAAGCGTAAAGTACCTGGTCGTGTTGTCGGTGTGTCCAAGGACCGCCTCGGTAATCGTGCTCTGCGTCTGGCGCTGCAGACTCGTGAGCAGCACATTCGTCGCGAGAAAGCTACTAGCAACATTTGCACTGCCCAGGCTCTCCTGGCCAATATGACTGCCATGTATGCCATCTACCACGGCCCCGCTGGCCTCAAGGCCATTGCTGAGCGCATCATGTCTATGACTGCTCTCCTGCGCGAAAAGCTTGTTTCTCTCGGATACAGCATTCCTAGTCAGTCCAACGCCAATGGTACAGCTGTCTTTGATACTCTTACCATTGAACTTATTGATGCTGCTGAGGCCGATGCCGTCTATACTGCTGCTCTTGCTCAGTCGATCTTCCTTCGCCGCCTTGGTGGCAACAAGGTCAGTCTTTCATTGGATGAGACAGTTGGCCGTGATGAGGTGAAGGGCATCCTGGATGTCTTCGCTGCCCACAAGTGTGCGCCCTCTGTTACAATTGATGGAACTCTCCATGTTGCCTCGCTCCCAGCTAGTCTTGAACGTACTACACCCTACCTGACACACCCCGTGTTCAACACCCACCACTCCGAGACTGAGATGCTGCGTTACATTCACCACCTCGAGTCTAAGGATCTCTCTCTTGCCCACTCCATGATTCCTCTTGGATCTTGCACCATGAAGCTCAACGCTACCACAGAAATGATCCCTATCTCTTGGCCTGAGTTCTCCCAGATCCACCCCTTCATGCCCGCCGATAAAGCCAAGGGCTACATCCAAATGATTGATGATGTCGAGCAACAGCTCGCTGACATCACTGGTATGGCCGAGGTTACCGTGCAGCCCAATTCTGGTGCCCAGGGAGAGTTCGCCGGCCTCCGTGTCATTAAGAAGTACCAAGAGGCTCAGAACAATGGCAAGCGCAACGTGTGCTTGATTCCCGTATCTGCTCATGGCACCAACCCTGCTAGTGCGGCTATGGCTGGTATGCGTGTTGTCACCGTCAAGTGTGACATAAAGACCGGTAACCTCGACTTGGCTGACCTCAAGGCCAAGTGTGAGAAGCACCAAGATGAGCTTGCTGCTTTCATGATCACCTATCCCAGCACATTTGGTGTGTTTGAGCCCGGTGCCAAGGAAGCTATTCGTCTCGTGCATGAGTTCGGTGGCCAGGTCTACATGGACGGTGCCAACATGAACGCCCAGATTGGTCTATGCTCTCCCGGTGAGATCGGCGCTGACGTTTGCCATCTGAACCTGCACAAGACTTTCTGTATCCCCCACGGTGGTGGTGGTCCTGGTGTTGGTCCCATCGGTGTTGCCGAACATCTGCGTCCATTCCTGCCCTCACACCCCATTAGCGAGTATCTCCAGTTCAAGCGCGGTGCCACAGCCTCCCCTCCTATCAGTGCCGCTCCCTGGGGTAGTGCTAGCATCCTGCCCATCACATTCAACTACATCAACATGATGGGTGACCGTGGCCTGACCCACGCCACCAAGATCACTCTGCTCAACGCCAATTACATCCTGTCGCGCCTGAAGCCACACTACTCAATCTTGTACACAAATGAGCATGGCCGCTGTGCTCACGAGTTCATCCTCGACGTGCGCGCTTTCAAGGAGACCTGCGGTGTCGAGGCCATTGACATCGCCAAGCGTCTCCAGGACTACGGATTCCACGCCCCGACCATGTCATGGCCCGTTTCCAATACCCTCATGATCGAGCCCACAGAGTCTGAGAACAAGGCCGAGTTAGACCGCTTCTGCGACGCTCTGATCTCGATCCGCGCTGAGATTGCCGAGGTCGAGGCCGGCAAGCAGCCGCGTGAGGGTAATGTTCTGAAGAACTCCCCCCACACCCAGCGCGACCTTCTCACAAGCGAGTGGGACCGCCCATACACTCGTGAGAACGCGGCATACCCGCTTCCCTATCTGTTGGAGAAGAAGTTCTGGCCGACGGTGACTCGTGTTGATGATGGTATATTTTCCCCTTTCTTCCTTCATCTTAATCTTATCAAATGCTAACCTACTTTACAGCCTTTGGTGACCAGAACCTGTTCTGCACTTGTGGCCCTGTCGAGGACACTGAATAGATATATGATACCCATCTTGCTTTCCGCATTGCTTGATTTGCATTGGCGTGGGATTATTAACTGAGCCTACGCGTTTACTTTCTCTTCTATACATTCAACATTTAGTCTGATGATTATGACGGAGTACTTTTTTCACCTTTCAACTGGTGATCGGACGGTTATTGAATGTAATATAATTCAATTGAACAATAATTTTCTTTCCAAGTTCACGCTGTCACGTGACTTTATTTTTGCCAATCAAAAGCCCCTTATTTACTATACTTACGTACAATAGATACACGTATAAATTACTGACCTCTTTAGCCACGCGACAAAACTTCCAATATTACAGCCGATACCGTAAAACTTATACGCTTATCGGAGACAGCTGACCGCCGAACATGAATCGCAATTATTCCCTGACCTTGCATCAAACCTCCCACATTCCAGATTCCCCATAGGAAATAGCAGAAAGAATCGCCTAAGGCCAGAAGCAAGTGTCCTGCGCTACTCCGTTCTCCGTACTCCACAAAGCACTGCTGAACCTGCTTGTTCGGCACGTGGGCGAGACACGGACGAGCTATTCAAGTCACCCGCCGGCCATTAGAACTCTGTTATATCAGTCACTGCGTTTTCATCATATTTAGTTCGGCGATTTTTGGCCTCGTTCATTCCTTTTCACTGCTTAGTGCTTTATAGATATACCCCTTTACCCTGTCTGTTTATGAGACCAGGTACATACATTTTTGGGACTTCTGAGATAAGGGTTTGTCACTTTGCATCATGTCCTACAGCTTCACTGTTTACCACGGCACTTTTATTCATTTGCCTATGGTGAAGGATCAGTCCTCGAAACCAGTGTTAGTCCGCAACCGTGGTGCGTTGTGGGTGTCTACTACCGATGGACGGATTAAAGGTTTCGATTGGAATGTTCAAGATGAGGCATCGCTTCAAGATTTGATCCTCAAGAAAAGCTGGGTTGATACAGAAGCTCAGACTACAGATAATGGATCCAACACGCAGGTCAAGATTGTTAGGACGAGCGATGAAAAGAATGAGTTTTTCTTCCCTGGGTTTATTGGTGAGTTTCTCCTATGCATCATTATACGGAGCGAATCTAACAATCCCAGATACCCACATTCATGCACCGCAATACCCTAATGCAGGCCTTTTCGGTTCATCAACACTCCTAGACTGGCTAGAGACATATACATTCCCAATGGAATCGAGCTTCGGGGCACAACCCGACAAGAACTCCTCACAAGATCTAGCGCACACGCCACAATCAGCACTACGCGTCTACGACCAAGTTGTCGCACGCACTCTTTCCCACGGCACGACCTGTGCATCTTACTTCGCAACCATCCATGTCCCGGCAACAAATGCCTTGGCAGCACTATGCCACAAACGCGGCCAAAGAGCCTTCATCGGCCGCGTATGCATGGACGATCCCGACTTCTGTCCATCATACTACAGAGACCTTTCACCCGAAGCCTCGGTGAGCGCAACAACTTCTACAGTACAGTACATCCACAGTCTAGACCCAAATGGCAAACTTATCAAGCCAATCATCACACCACGCTTCGCACCGACTTGTTCGCGGCCTGCGTTGCGCGAATTGGGGAATCTGGCTAAGCGATATACGCCGCCTCTACATATTCAGACCCATATATCGGAGAATACGAATGAGGTCGAGCTTGTGAAGAAACTATTCCCTGAGGCGGATAACTACGCTGCTGTTTACGATATGCATAATCTGCTCACACCGCGCACCATCCTCGCGCATGCTGTCCATCTCACTGCGGACGAACGCGCTCTGATTGCTAAGCGCGATGCGAAGATCTCGCACTGCCCCGCTTCCAACTCGGCTCTTGGCTCGGGCATTTGTCCTGTGCGACTACTTCTCGACGAAGGTCTGACTGTTGGTCTTGGCACTGACGTCAGCGGGGGATATAGCCCCAGTATCCTCGAAGCCGCACGACAAGCATGTCTTGCATCGAGATTACTCAGCCACACCTCTTCCTACGAGCATGATGGTTCAGGACGGGAGAAGTTGTCTGTAGAAGAGAGTCTGTATCTAGCAACGCGGGGTGGTGCGTCTGTTGTTGATATGGCAGGTGATATTGGCGGGTTTGACGAGGGAATGATCTGGGATGCGCAGTTGATTCAACTCGGTGTTGTGAGCGCTGTTGAAGATGTGTTTGGTTCTACGGGTGAGAGTAGTAGCTTGGTTAGAGCCGGTCCTGTTGGTAATGTTGATTTGTTTGGTGGGGAAACTTGGGAAGAGATGGTCCAGAAATGGGTTTGGAATGGTGATGATCGGAATGTTAAGGCTGTTTGGGTTGGAGGGAGGCTGGTGCATGAGAGGGCTTGATTTATATGTCTTCTAATTTTGGTTTAATATATAAGTTGTCTATAGAGATACTAGGACTATCAGTAGAGAAGGATATCATAAGAATTGCTAAATAGTAGGAGAATGTATAAATTGGTATTAGATGTGGCATAGCAGACAACTTCTTGGGATGGGACGGTAACTGTAGTTGTAGTAGCAAGTGGACGATCGGTGGCGGATCGGTGGCGGATCGGTGTTATAGGCATAGTAGGCAGGGAGAATAGATTGTTAAAGAATGCTAGATCCTTATCCAGAGAGCACTGCTGGCATTGTCGTTTTGATAGAGCTGGAGCATACTGATAGCTGCATAGGAAGCTTAACGGAATTGAGGGGGAATATAGTCCATGATAAAGGGGTAATACTGTTGGTAGTGCCAGGAAAAGAACGCTGTAGGTAGTTAAGGTGTTCTGATTGGTCATATAACTAAATATTCCAAGGAATTATGGAACCTAATGATAATCTCACTTGTTCAACAACTACCTATCACTTGCACTTTCGTGCTGATTCGGATTGATTCCAAGCTCTCAGAAGAGATGGTCAATTGGAGCCCTTGCATTTGCATAACAGTACCGTAAAACCTCCACTAGGGGAAACCTATCCCTATACCAAGGCAGACCAAGGCATACTTCAGAAGAAATAAATCAATTACAAAAATTTCCAGGTCCTGAGTGAGCCCGGGCCAGAAATGAACAACTTGAGGTTTTTTGATTAAGAAGTATTTTGTTTCTTTAGTTCTATAATATCACAGTCATCGATGAGTTGACGGGTCAATTCTCTGCTCAAAGTGTTCTTACTTCAAGCGTAGTTATCTAGTTTTTTTGGCGCAGGATCGTTCTGTGTTCAATATCCCATCTCGGCTGTGTTACTTATTTAGATTATAGGTGTTACATATAGTCACCAGTTCAATCTTCCAAGCTGATGACTTATCTCGGGATTGCCGAGACTTGAAAGCTGAAGTGATTTTCTTTTATTGTACAATACCCAATCAAGAGCATTCCTGTTGATATATACCGCTATCAGGACATTCCAGTTAAGCAAGGGGTAAATCATTACTCAGAACAGGTCCCGAAGTGTTTTTTATTATTTATTATTTATTATTTATTTGGTTTTCTCGATCAATTCTGCTCAGCTCGAAGTAGAGAACAATACTAAGGATAAGCATTGTCATCGCTTTACCGAACCTTGGAACCAAACATCATTTCCATTGATCATTCAAGTCACTCATTTGGAATCTCGCATGATGTAGTCATGTCCACGTGGGTCTATCAATTCAAAACCACTTAAATTATACCCGATTCGGACGATCAACACTAAGCAAGAGCACGCGAACGACTGTCTTTTTGTCGATCTGGTCTTGCCTTCCGAGACCATATTTCTTTCATTCAAACTACGGAGTACAGAAACTGTGGCAATCAAGCCCAGCCAATGGAAGGTCTCAATTTGTAGAAATCGATGCATCACCCGTACAAAACACGCTTTAGAAATACTTTAATGCCGACAGTGCTGATAGGGTCGGGAGTGGCCTGCTCTAGAAGGCCGAGTGGTTCAGCTCTTCAAGTCGATGCAATGGTGATACGAAGTCAAACGTTTAAAGAGCCAATGCGTGACGTGGTCAGCTTATTATCCGCACGCGATGCATCAGTTTCGGGAGTCCCTGTGAGCCAGTCAGGTCTTGAATCTAACTAGGCTGCCTGATACCCGCAAACAATACATCCCATTTGATTGTTCTCAGCCATGATTTCCCTAAATATCCACTAGAGATCAATTAACATGATGCTACCATCTTTCTTCCTTGAATCTGGACCTGGCATCTTTCACACTCCTTTTCTAGAGCACTCAAGATGTATTCCTCATTCGTGGCTCGGGTAGGGCTGGTCCTGGCTGCGATTTCGGCCACGACCAGTATGGGCCTGTCGGTAACGCCGTTTCATCAAGATCTCAAGCTTTCGGCCCAGATGGGAATAAGTCCCGATGTAATGCTGATTCAGAAGAAGTCAATTCACGAGATTGCTCATGAAAGTGATTCGGACAATATCAATTCTGAATATGTCGATGTATGTTATGGCATTAGAGTCTTATACTTCGAAGATGCTAATCGTAGTTCAGGTTCCTGTTGATCATGGCAATTCCTCCCTTGGCACCTATCAGAATCGATACTGGGTATCAGACAAATATTATCAGCAAGGTGGACCAGTATTCATCTATGATGTTGGCGAAGCTAGTGCCGAATCTTCGGCAAGAATACAACTAGGCAATGATAGTTCGCTCTTAGCCAGCATGCTGTTCGAGTTTGGTGCAATGGGAATCGTATGGGAGCATAGGTGAGTGCAAAAATCTCCTGTTATTTACGACATGAACTGATTGTTACAGGTACTATGGCGACTCTTTGCCATTTCCAGTGACAAATGATACGCCCCCGGGGCAATTTGAATTCCTCAACAACAGGCAAGCTTTAGCCGATATCCCATTCTTTGCAGAAACTTTCTCCCACCCATCTTACAAGAATGTCGATTTGACTCCCTCGGCTACACCGTGGGTGATGGTCGGAGGCTCTTACTCTGGTATGCGAGCGGCCTTCACTCGACACGAGTATCCCGAGACAATTTTCGCTTCATTTGCATCATCAGCACCAGTGGAAGCTCGCATCGACATGAGCATCTATTTCGAACAAGTTTATGCGGCTATGGTGTCAAATGGTCGGTTCAACTGTACCCGAGACATCAAGGCAGCATACGAATGGATAGATGGCGAGCTAGAAAAAAATGAGTCCACAGCTGCTGAGGTGAAGAAGCTTTTCTTCGGCGAAGGAGCTGAAGTGAATAGCAATGGTGATTTCACTGCAGCTTTGAGTGGAGTCTACGGCTTTTTCCAGGCATATGGCCTCGGTGGCGGGGAAGGTGGCCTAGGCGCTTTATGCGAGCACATGGAAACAGATGAGAGCGGAGAAGTTGCTGGACCTCACGGATTTGCGCCTTCTCAAGGTAAAGAATATGCCGCTAGACGCTTTGCGTCGTGGCCTGTCTTTGTGGAGTTGATTAACGTTAACTACAATACCAATTGTGGCCAGTTGGATCCAGACCAGCCGTTGGAGTGTGCTTTGAATCCTAAGGCTACCGACCCTGATACTATCGCCTGGACTTGGCAATTCTGCACTGAGTGGGGATACTACCAGAGCAACAATGTCGGTCCCCATTCGCTTCTCTCTAGATACCAGACACTCGATTACATTCAGTACACTTGCAACAGACAGTTTCCCGAAGCTGTTGAGGAGAATATCCTGCCCAAGCAAGCAGAGGTTGATAAGACGAACTATCAGACTGGTGGCTGGAATATTCGCCCATCAAATGTCTACTGGAGCGGTGGTCAATTTGACCCGTGGCGAACCCTCTCCACTCTAGCTACAGAAAGCATTGCACCACAAGACGTAACTTTCACCACTGATATCCCTAAGTGCAATGTTGAGACGGGGGAGAAGATAGTGTTCGGTTACATCATGGAAAATGCAGAACACTGCTTCGATTTCCGGATGAACTTTGCGCCAGGTAATACATCACGTGGAATCTTTCATGAGGCTTTGACGGAGTGGCTTCCTTGTTTTAGTCCTATCAAGGCCATAACTGCTTAATAGAATGCAGCTTTTCGCTGGGGCGATCTGGAACTAATTTTACATAATTGTATTTTAATTACCTCTTCTATACACTTTTCATCCGAATCAGGAACCTCAGGATACTCACTTCCTTGATGAATCACTTGACATTTTCAAGTTCAAAACGTGGTTTCTAAAAATTGGAATAAAGCAGCTTTTAAATTCTCGAAATTAAAGAGACATCAAATACCCTAAGTAATCACTACAAGGGTTAGCCCTGTTCGTATAACCCCGCACTAGTATGTTGAAACCCCGCATCCCCACCTGTACTTATTGAAGCTTCATCAATGATTTTGCCTAAAGTCATCGATAAATTAGTATTCAGCATCAGTTTATCAAGATATTTCCGATTACTAGATTAAATCATCTAGTCAAAATGCCGACTGCAAGAGCAAAATTGGGCGACATCATATTGGCCGAAACCGATACGTGGGAGACAGTGGAAGGAAATGTATATGTGAGTAAAACTTTGCAAGCTTACCATATTTCAGTCCTGACAATTGATGACTTTATTTCAAGTTTCCACCATCAGCTATCAAAGACCAAAATACTTTTGTGAAAACAGATACGAAGACGTTCTGCCCTTGGAAGGGCGAGGCAGAATACTACACCATCAATGCCGGTGGTAAGACATACCGGATATCAGACTGGAGCAAGTATCTTACATTGAATCAATTCGCGGACAGATTTCAGTATTCCAGATGCGGCGTGGTACTACTCTCGGCCCTTTGATAAGGCGGCGAATATAAAGGACCATATTGCTTTTTGTAAGTGGGATCGGTAACGAAACGTCAAGGGATTACTCATTATTTATTTGAAACAGATAAGTCCAAAGTGACAGTCACGGTTGAATAAACATGAGCCAGTAAGTCAACGATAAAATCGTATGTCTACTGGCATTCTGATGTAATGGCAGTCGACTCATTATCCGCTGTTCTTCCTTACAATGAATATTTCATACTTCTCAGCTGATTCAATTAGAGAATTAGTTCAGTTTAAAGATAGGTATTCACATTATAAGCAGTTAAGCCATTCTTCTACCAGACTGTCTTGTCAACAACTTCATGGGCATCAGCCAGGCCGGCGACCTTCCATTCCAGAGCCGTACCGTGGTCCGCCAAACATTCTTCCTCCATAGCCATATCCGCCGCCCATTGGCATTGGCACTCTTCCGCTAATTGGTTCGGCACTCTTAAGAATGCCGAATGAGAAACGTTAATGTGAACGCTGCCATACACATTAAGAATTCGCGTAAAGGACTGCTGGAATCATAGCGACAAAGCCTGCTCATTATTACAGCAAATCTCAAAGGATGGTATATCGTGTAAAGAGTCGTATGAGTCTGGCTCCAAGAAGCTTCATTTGGGGTGAGTTTCAACTTGAAAATCGCGGTCTGCCGTCCTTCAGCGGACATGTCATTGTAGAAAATCGATTCTGTTAAGAGATATAGATAATCGTCTTCTGAGCTCTAATTCAAACCCTCGACTTAGCTTCCGATAATATTAACGGAATGCTTTTAGACTACCACTCTTATCATGGGAACCATTAAAATCTTATGGGCTGTTTTAATTAGATACGCTAGCATATTCTAATGCAGTCCCATCATAAATACATTGAGCCGCGCCCTTTCCGGCCATTGCATCGATCTTAGTAATGTGGTACCGAGGATCATCACAGATATCTTTATGCTATCTATCCCTGCCAGCCAAGATAGCTTGGGGCTATCTGGCACTTTGGCACATAGGCTGGGCGTGATTTTATTTTCCTTTTAGGTGGCCTGTTCGTTTTCCCTACATGATTTGACGGTCATAAATACGTACTTTTAGCCAACCTCCCCAACCTCCCCAACCCCCGCATTTTCGCCATTTAAATATTGCAATTACCCAACAGGAAACCACTTGCTAGAAGTTTTCCCCCAATCCAGCTCCAAATACAAAAAATGGAGAAATTGAACCCAGAAGAACTTCTTCAATTAAAGCATATGACTTCGGATGACGTCCCCGCCGCTGTCGATGTATTCTATGAATCTTTCACAAACCTACAAGATATATTCCCTGACACGCTCAAAACGCGCCAATGGCTTCATGGCCTCTTTCTAGACGATATTCTCAACAAAAAAGCCATGCATTACTTAAAAATTGAGGATACAAAGTCTATGAACGAACAAGGCCTACCACGGCTAATTGCCTTTGCGAAATGGGACTACTCGATGCCCGAAGATCGAGGACCCCGCTTCTCTCCCTGGTCTGAAGATCAGTCGAAGGAAGCATGCGATGCTTTTTTCAATAAATTGGAAAAGGAAAGGAAGCGAGTGATGGGCGATGAGGTCCACATATGTATGTCATAGGCTCTTATTGTTCTAGAGTATCATGCTGACTAGTTTCTAATCAATAGATCTAGACCTGCTTTGCACGCACCCTGATTACAGACAGCGTGGGGCTGGCTCAGCCCTAATACAGTTCGGCTGTAAAGCTGCCGATGAAGGAGGACTCGGTGTCTATGTTGACGCTAGCAAGGCAGGCGCACCTTTGTATAAGAAGTTCAAGTTTGTGGATAAGAGTGAGCCTGGTGCAGGTGAGATTGCATCCATGGCCCGACATTGGGGCTAATTTCGAGAAGATTTGCTGTAGTACAAGAATTAAGATTATCCGGGAGACTCCGGATCCCAAGATCCGACAATTATGCTTAACCAACTATATTCTAATGTTTTCAAATATTTACTGCTGAAACTTCAACACAGCCGTGGAGGTACATATGTGGAGGCTACCTAAGTACGAAATACTCATGTGTTATTCTAATTTTGTCCAAGTGCCAAGTCATAGAAGTACGCTTCCCGGAAACTCCAAGGTTTATCCAAACCTCAGTAAGCTAGCTATTCAGCAAACAGAGGGGAAGCTGGCCGAATTCCGGTAGAACAGGGATACGCGACGATCCTTGCTGAGATTTGATGCAAGGATATTATGTTTTAAATTTCTCTCCACATCGCTATTCCTAGGTAATAACAGCATTATTATCAGAATCCAGTCATTAGGAATTCCAATTGGCTTATATTTACCCACTTCAATTGCTTTTGTCAGCCATGGAGTCTCTACTAGTTAATTATGCAATTCTAGATTCAAGATTACACAGGTACTTGAATCTTAATCACGCCATAAGCCGGGAAATGTCTGACCTTGCGAGAATTGACGTCACGACTGTATTGAAAAAAAATTGTGAAGAAAAATGCTCGATTCAAGGTAGAGGAAAGTGGGAACAATAATGAGTGTATGGAGTGACCCGTGGATTCTGTGACGCCCGCCTAGACCAAGCTATTACAAAGCTGCCAAGCACGGCCACTTCACACTGGCCAATTTCCACTTCTCCATGCTGATATTCTTTGAAGATCCAGTTACAAGGTACCTTAGCCTAAACTACTTTAGATAAAGCTCCACTCCATCAACCTTAAGGATGCTGCTCCACACCAATCAGCTTTGCGAGTACTCCGCATCCTCCAACGCTGAGACAACAAGACTCTCTTGGCAGCTAATTTTTGATATTGTAAGCAGTGAACAGGACTATGGACTATCTGAATACGAATGACAGCACAAAACCAATGGCCATGGCAGTCCAGCTTCGGGATATCCAGTTTGAAACCTATAGGCTGCTGATGATGTCTTGAATTCTCAAATATTGGCACAGTTCCACCACTCTGTTACCGGGTGATCCGTTCGTGGGGCACAACCTAAATTCTAGACTGCTTTGATTGAATAATCATGTTAACAGCTGTGTCTGCCCATGTGGTGCTTATGATACATTTTAAACAGGGGATATGATTGGATGCCAACATCACATCAGCTAAAAGTCGCAAGGTACCTTTTCCTGCAGCACTAGTAATTTCGCCTGCATATAACTGTGACTCCCGCGTAATTTTCTTTTCTCATCAATTCTCTTATACTTGGTCTACAAGTATTTTGAACTCCGGTGAATTCCTGACACAATGCGAGGACTTGCTCTGGGGCTAAGCCTCATTGGCATTGCCAATGCTGCCTGTCCATACATGACGGGTGAAATCCCCTCTAACTACAACCCTCATACTAATCTCCGTCGGGATGACGGGTCGGAAGATGCTTCTGCTGAGACTGAAGAGTTTCTGTCCCAGTTCTACCTTAATGATTCAAGTGTATATATGACTTCTGATGTCGGTGGTCCCATTGAAGACCAGAACAGCCTCAAAGCGGGTGAGCGGGGTCCAACTCTGCTTGAAGATTTTATTTTTCGTCAGAAAATCCAACGGTTTGATCACGAGCGGGTAAGTCTTATATTAAAACCCATTATCAATAGATTCCTGCTTACCTAGTGTCTTTTTCAAGGTTCCTGAACGTGCTGTTCATGCTCGTGGTGTCGGCGCCCATGGTGTCTTCACTTCCTATGGTGACTGGTCAAACATCACCGGCGCTTCGTTCCTGTCTGCCGCAGGCAAGGAGACCCCTGTCTTCACTCGTTTCTCCACTGTTGCTGGTAGTCGTGGAAGCGCCGATACTGCCCGTGATGTTCACGGGTTTGCCGTCCGTCTTTACACGGACGAAGGAAATTTTGGTAATTATCTCCACTTGTCTTTATATTGGCCAATCTAATGGGTGTAGACATCGTCGGAAACAACATTCCTGTTTTCTTTATCCAAGATGCTATTCTTTTCCCAGATTTGATCCACGCTGTCAAGCCCCGTGGTGATAATGAGATTCCTCAAGCTGCCACGGCCCACGACTCAGCCTGGGATTTCTTCAGCCAGCAACCCAGTGCATTGCATACTCTGCTGTGGGCCATGGCTGGACACGGTATCCCCCGGTCTTTCCGACATGTTGACGGCTTTGGAGTGCACACCTTCCGTCTGGTCGCAGAGGATGGTACTTCAAAGCTTGTCAAGTTCCACTGGAAAGGTCTGCAGGGTAAGGCTAGCTTTGTGTGGGAAGAAGCCCAGCAGGTGGCTGGCAAGAATTCAGACTTTATACGTCAGGATCTGTGGAATTCCATTGAAGCCGGGCGGTATCCCGAGTGGGAGGTGAGTAGTCTGTCCAGTTACATGATGAATAGCGCTAATATATGCTCAGCTTGGTGTCCAAATCATGGATGAATCTGATCAGCTCCGATTCGGATTTGACCTCCTAGATCCTACTAAATTCGTCCCAGAGGAACTTGTCCCTGTTACCAAACTGGGCAAGATGACGTTAAACCGCAACCCTTACAACTACTTTGCAGAGACAGAGCAGGTCATGGTTAGTCTAGCTGTCCCCGAACCTAAACCTCAACTAACAGCTCACGCCAGTTCCAACCTGGACATATTGTTCGCGGTGTGGATTTCACAGAGGATCCTCTACTCCAGGGTCGTATTTTCTCCTACCTTGACACTCAATTGAACCGTCATGGTGGCCCCAACTTCGAACAACTTCCCATCAACCGTCCGCGTGTACCAATTCACAACAACAACCGCGACGGAGCAGGTGAATACCCCTTAACTCCCACACATCTTCAACCCATCATTCTAACAAACTTGCCTAACAGCGCAAATGTATATCCCTCTCAACAAAGACGCTTACACACCAAACACACCTAACAGCGGCTCCCCCAAACAAGCCAACCAAACCGTCGGCAAGGGTTTCTTCACCGCACCTGGCCGCACAACAAGCGGCAAGTTGGTCCGCAACGTCAGTCCCACCTTTGACGACGTCTGGTCCCAGCCCCGTCTCTTCTGGAACTCGCTCGTCCCAGCTGAAAAGCAATTTGTCGTCGACGCAATGCGCTTCGAAAACTCAAAGGTCACCAGCACAGTCATTCGCGAGAATGTCATCATCCAACTCAACCGCATCAGCAACGATTTGGCCAAGCGTGTTGCAGAGGCCATTGGTGTTGACGCTCCAGAACCAGACACGACATACTACAACGATAATACCACCGCTCATATTGGTGCTTTCGGTCAGAAGCTGAAAACGCTCGATGGACTCCAAGTCGGCGTTCTTGCGTCGGTGAACAATGCGTCTTCCATTGCGCAAGGAGTTTCACTGGCCGCTAAGCTCAGTTCTGTCAATGTAGATGTTGTTGTTGTTGGCGAGAGAATTGCAGATGGTGTAGACCAGACATACTCTGCCTCCGATGCGATTAACTTTGACGCTCTTGTTATTGCGGATGGTACTGAGGGTTTGTATACTGCTTTAACATCCGGTAGCAAAACTTCTGGTTCTAGCACTTTATACCCAGCCGGCCGCCCACTGAATATTCTCCTTGATGCTTTCAGATTTGGTAAGCCTATCGGTGCCTTGGGTAACGGTGTTAATGCACTGTCAACTGCGCAGATTGCTACTGACCGCGAGGGTGTTTATGTGGCAAGTGAGGTCGCTGATAAATTTGTGGACGAACTCAAGGATGGATTAGCCACCTTCAAGTTCTTGGATCGCTTTGCACTGGATTCTTAAGGGCTATTTCACCATTGGAGGCATTTTCTAATTAGTATATTGACTGTACAGCTTTGACTTCAGTTGCTTTGTGGTGTCCCTAGATGAAATGAATGAGTGGTCCCTTGCATCAAATCTCAATGAGAATCTGCTATTTTATTATATGATCAACCCGATATCTTCTTTCTCCGGTGTTGTTTTCAAGTATATTTCTACAACCTAGGTATACATATAACATATATTTCTCCTTACCCTACGATTCTACTTCAATTTCTAATTCTGGTCTCCTAATGCCAGAAATGCACTATTCTAGGTATAAATCCAGACCTAATTACAATATGATGTGCTTTTTGCTGGTTAAAAGCTATCAGACTACTTCTTTAGTATTCATTTTTTCTCATTACTTGAAGAGAGGTCATTGCTGTGTATTTACATTTTTAGCTTGCTTCTCATTACTGCTTGTCTTGTTGCCTATAGAAGAAAGACCCTGAAATTATTGCTTTTTAACGTCATTGGGAGGTTTATGTCAATGACATCGCGACCTTGATTTGATATCATCCCTCCATTTTACATCCATATGTAGCTTAGATTACCACAAGGAAGTTCCAAAGTTACATAGATAAGCACAGGTATATGCTACCCATGCTAGGATCATTTATACAGAGAAAATACTCCCTTTGAATTTTTGACGTCAGTTGAGATTTATTTGAGTCTCACTTTATATTCGCCTTTTTTCTTCCTTCTCATTACTTTTTTGCTGCCAGTGGTTCCAAATGGAGTGTGCAGACTACATACATATAGACAAGCAATCGAAAGAAGAAGTCCAAGCATACATAATGTAGAACGTGGATAGATGCTTCGTTAAGCCAAGCAACTCGTCATTTACAACGCCAATATTGATGGTACGCAAACAGGACGGAAGTCTCTACTATGCATTGACCATCAAAAACTAGATGCCATCACGAAAAAGGACAGATGGCCATTGCCAGTCATCGACAAATTCATATGCTGGATGGGAAAGATAAAATGGTTCACGAAAGTCAATATCTAGTGGGCATTCCATTAAATAAAAGTAATGTTCATTCAAGACTTGGTAAAGGCTACCAGTTAATCCTGAACTTATTCATCAATTCTTTCTTCATAAAATTCATAAAATCTTAATATTTTGGCAGGAACTGTCTGCGGCGACGCATGAAAGATCCAGATGCGGCATCTAAAGTCTTAGCAGCACGCACATTCATCCTCCGCTTCTCACTGCTAATGTCAGAAGACTCCTCGTCAGTCAGTCCCAGGATAGCCCATTCTGCAACCGTTGCTCCAGTTCCATTCTGGAACTGAACATCGACAGCGTCGAGGGCTTGATTACCCACAATCAGCAAAGAGGCAAATCGTGCCGCAGGTATTGGTTTACTCAAGGTCACGTTGGTTGTGTTTCCAGCCGGAATAGCGATGACATCGACATTGGTCGCGTTATAAGGGTTTGAGAGGATGATGTTGTTTAGCTCGGTCGCAACTTTGAGTACTGAAGCTCCATCAGATGTGATGTAGGTCTGAACGGGGTTGTCGAGCGTTTCGTTATGGAAGATTACGGTTGCATTCACGGGCGGTTCTTGGGCCCAGTCGAAGTAGAATCCTGATACGATAGCTCCGGCGCCTAGTTCCACGGTGAGAGAGCTCCAATTCGCTGCTGATGAAGGCTGCCACTTTGTGGATGCTGCACCATCATTGGCAGCTATTGGGAATTGGCCTGGCTGGTATGAGTTTGGCGACTCAATCGATTGGCATTGTACAAGGTTTCCGGAGACTGTGTTCTGTGATCCGATCTGGCGATTGGGTATGGACACGAAGCCATTGAGAGGAAGGTGGTACGTGGTGGAATTCAATTCAAAGCCAGAGTTGATAGTAATTGAGCTGTTTTCAAAGCGCTGGTCTGCAGTAGCTAGAGGCGCGGTGGATGCACGGCTAATAGTGGTGTGTGTGTGGTTAGACCAAGCAGAGATAGGCCAGCCGCGCCAGTAGAAGGTTCGATACTTCAAGTACGGAATTTGAGGTGGGAGATTTGGCTCAACGTGGAGAATGTCGTCAGGAAGCAAGCGCAGTCCCAAATAACCGAACAAAACGACTTGGTTGGAACCACCGTGACCTGTCAAGAACGGGAATGCAGGGTGAGTGCCGCCATTAGTGGTAGAATTATCAATTAACTGCTCTGACATCTGGTAGAAAGGAGCACGTGTATATGGTTTATAAGCGTATTGGCCATATGTGTAGGCTGAGCACCCAGAGGGCGATATCTCATTAGCCACGATGGAAAATATGGCCCAGGTCATGGCGGGACCGTCGGTAGACTGCTTGTTAGCATACTAGTGGCTGTCAGAAATTCAATCTTTGAGAAGTATGGAACGTGACCCACGTATTCAAGATCATTGAGCGAATCTTGGGCGCTGTAGCTCGCAGAGTAGTCCAATGGGTAGGTGTTTAGCACGACATCAGCCTGTTTCACCACGGCGCTTCCATTCATGGTGGTGAACTCGAGGGTAACTCCATTTTCACGAAGGACTAGAACATTAGAGGCCATCTCATTCCATGTTGAATTCTCTTCAAGTCCAAACTGCTGGCGTAGGGCGTTAGCATACATCAAAGTCTGCGCAATAAGTGGCATCGTGAATCCACCCGCATCAATATGGTTCGCATATTCGTCCTACTCAGTGTTAGCAGCTCCTTGATCAAGTCCATATGATAAAGGCACTTACTGGATCCGTCATGTTGGTAAGAGTCCAAGACGATCCGTTCGGGTTCAGCATGTCTGCATAAAGTGTGGCAATCGAGTCGTAAACAGGGAAAAAAGTCTCTTTGAAGAACTCTGTATCACCACTGGTCACCCATTGGTTGATAATAGCCATCGCGATGTCGCCGTTGATATGATACTCATAGTCCCAGCAGGGACCGGTAGCTGTGCAATTGCCATATCGACCGCTCGTCCAAGGGAAGATAGCTGCAGATTCTGAAAACCGAGTCTGATTCTGCGAACCCACGAATGCAGTTTGAATATTCTCCTTTGCCCGGCCGTAGTTCTTCAAGCGATAGTTTGTGATCCGCTGAGCTGCTTCTGGATGAGATGCAGTAAGTCCTGGTTGCATCCAGAGATCGGCATCCCAGAAGACCTGGCCAGCATATGAATCAGAGGTCAACCCACCAACGGAGATGCTGTCCACATTGATGGCCGTTCCAGAAGATGCGTTAATAGCATTATTTCCAACAGTGTTCTGAAGGAGATAGTAGGTGTTAACAACAGCGATGATAGACGAGTCGATAATGTTAATGTCTGAAGGTAGAGTGCCATTTTCAAACGAGTAATGATCAACAGAGTCATCGGGCATAACGCTAGCCCATTCTTTCAGATGAGCAAGCAGGGACCAGGCATAGCCGTTCTTCGATGAGCTAATAGAAGCATTCTTTGCCACTTCCATCGGATCAGCAAAGGCGTCCGAAGATGCCGCACCAATAAATTTTGTGGCATGAAATATCTTTCCCGCCTTCAATTTTACAGAGGCGGACTGGGCGATAGAAGAATTGACTGCACTCAAATAAGGCTTGTCGTTGACAATCTGTCGAGATGATATATCCTCGCTGGCACTCATGTTTGCGTAAATATAGGCTGTGACATTAGCAACACCATTCGGCCGTACGGCGGAGAATATAGCACCATTATCTTCACCAGACCGAACAAAAGAGGTGCGGACAGCAGAACCTCCATCAATCACATTCACAATCGAAGCATTGGTGTCAGCACTTGATATCACATGCATGTCCACAACAGCTTGGTTAATGTATAGTTTATTGACGAAGAGGCGGTATTCAATTTCGAAAGAAGTGTTACCACTTGGCTTCCAACTTAATGACCAGTAAAGCACTCCTGATTTATAGTCATAAACGGATGTGAAATTGGAAATGGTGGTGTTGTCCACTGTTGCATCAAGATAAGTATCATTTCCGAGGTCCAAGATCAAACCACTCCAATGCGGCACACCACTTATCACGCTGTCACTTCCATACTGGTAGAGCCATTCGAAGTTTGTCTTATTAGTGGTTGGCTGAGAGTCGAAAAAGCCGCTAATAGTTGCAAAAGACTGTCGTGTGGTGAAGAGAGGCCATCCACTGATACCATTGTCTCCATCCTTGGCAGAATCAACCTCGAAAAATGGGCCAACGCTGGCCACATTAATACCCAAGTATCCATTCGCGACAGAGCCTCGGGATTGAAATTGACCTTGCTGGAGATTGGTTGTAGCGAGTTGCCAGTTTTCCTCGTCCCAGGTAACACCATCGAAATTAGTCTGATACACATTGCTGCTGCTGATATTTGCCTTATGGTTTAGCCCCATGTGTTGCTTCAAGCCTTCGGTAATGCGAGTCTGGTAGGCATTAGAACGACGAGTGTGGTGGGCTTCACCAAGTGAGGTGAAATAACCGAGCAATGAGAAGGCTGCCCAAGCAAAGATCTTTTGGAATGTTAGCTCTTGCTGTCATTAGGTGAATGACAGAAGTACCACTCACTTTCAACTGCATCTTGAAAGCTTTTACTCTAACATTAGTCTTAAAAGGAAGGAAATTCTTCAAATGGGGGCAGTGTATAGATTAAGAAGCACCAAGGGTGAAATTTGAAATTTATAAGTAGCGAAAGCAACTTTTAACTTGAGGTAATTTGTTCACAGCCAAGCAGAAGTCTCTGACTAAACTAAACAACGAACAGGATGACTACTATTCAGTGCCTAGGTGGGTCAGTATCGAAAATGTCGGAGGCGGCTCTTTGACAGTCCAGATATGACATCGAAACAACCGGGAAATGCGGGGTAGTCAGTGAAACTTGAGTCCTAAGCCATGACGATGAATGTTAGAGCTTGAGCTAGGTACTATGACTGACTCTCAATATTTGGTACAGAAATCCTGGTTTTGATGAACCGAGGCTATCGAATCGTCATCGGGTAAACTCTAATTCCGATTTTGTGGGGTAAGCGTGGGTGACTAATCATGAACTTTTCATCTAAAAATGTCCGTAGTGGGGAGCCCTATGCAACAGTAGGTAATAACTTAAAATTTTATTAATAGTTCCTGGGTGACTAAATCTATTTAGGATCTATAGTAACTAACTTATTACGCATATTCTGTGCTACCCGAGGACTCTTACGACGTCCTTTGTACAAAGTAGTAGTTTAGCCACCATGTTTTCTCCTGGGCTTCGGAAGAATAATTTTCCGCGATGGCGTCCACGCCGTTTAATCGACACATTTGATTCGATCTGCGAAAATATGAGATCATGCGATGTCTAACGAACGGCCCAATGCACCTATACGGATATATGCCCTGTTATTGTTAGCGCGAGACTGGCGCCCCATGGAATCATTTTTACAGAACCACTAAATGTAATTTAATAGCTAAAAAACACAATATAATACATATAATACACGAAAATCAGACGCGACGCGACGAAAAAACACCACTTAAACACAAAAACAGTTAAGTTCGACCGCCATTACCTCTGTAAGGAGTAAGGCGTGACAATTTGTGACGAGAGATAAAATTGTTTCATTTAGAGTTCCACGGGGACACTAGTTGCTTGTTAATCTCGGCGTCTACTGATATGGGTCGATACGGCCGATCCCTTTACGTGGATGACATTCCTGATAGCGAGCCGATGAAGCTTGAAAGGGGGAGAGTGGCGATCACTTAAGAAGGAAAAATTTTATGCCAGTGATCAACAACGGTGCTTTTGATCTCTTCACTCATGATACCTTCTACAGCTTTGTTGCTAAAAAATTTGAACACAGTACATCTAGAATTACACCGTCTATTTACACCGCCCAAACCGCCTACACCGCCTTAAGGTAAACAACGTGTGAGCACATTATACTACACTATCTCTATCATTTACTACCTTTTACTACTTCTTACGCTGCCTTTTATTACGTGTATTATCTTCATCATGCCACCTCCTCCACATAAAGCCCAACTATCACCCGAGGCACGTATTCAAATATGTGAATTAAGGCGTCTTAATGGCTAGTGCGCACGGCGTATCAAGAAGCTTGTGTTCCCTGTTATACCATTTATTAAGTACTATCTTAAAGACATTGAAACTAGAGAGGCCTGATGGCTAATGAATGGCTGGCCCTGGGCGGCCCTCTAAGCTTAATGCGGATGGCAAAAGCGTCTTGATGAGACGGTTAAAGTGACGCCTGATATCTTGATAAGGGAGCGCCCTTATTGATATATCAATAATAAGATCTCGAGTTGCGCCCTTTGGTACCTAACTCAGGCTCACAATCTTCGGAAATAGAAAAAAAAAACGGTCAATCTTTTCAGCCAGTCCACGCCGAAAAACGACTTGAATGAGTAGATCGATATCAACATTTTTCTCCTAAAGATTTGCGTCGTGTTTTTTGGTCTGATGAATGTACGGTTGAAAGAGGTATTGGAGAGCGTTCTCAATGGTCCTTCATATCTCCAAAACATCAATTAAACCGATACGAAGGCCTTGGTGGCGAGGAAACTAGCCGATGCCAACAAGTATCAGCCCGCGAGGAACAGATAAAGGAGATGCTTTGGGCTGCTTTTTCAGGCCTTTTAAGGCGAACAACCTTAGTCGCCCTCGAATGAGATCCTGAATTGAAGAAATCAGGGGCCTCAGCACGTACGATTGATGCTTTTTATCATCGATATCTACCTACTTTAAGTATTGATAATGCGATTTTCCAGCATGATAATGCCCCTGTTCATACTACGCGTCTATTTAAAGCGACTTTGGAGGAGCTTGGATTTACCTTAATGGCTTGGCCGCCTTATTCCCCCTGATTTAAACCCTCTTGAGAACCTCTGGGCGCTATTAAAGGCTGAAATATTAAAGCTCTGTCTGGAGCTTTTACTCCTTCCTGATGATGACACGACCCATGAATTACTAGTTAAAACGGCTCAGCTGGCTTAGGAAAATACTAGCTTCGATATTCTAGAGAGATTGGGTATTACCATGCCTAATAGGCTGAGGTTATAAAAAACTATGGCTGGCATACTAAATATTAAACAAATTGGAGGTTTTCTGCCTGGCAGAAACCAGCAGAAAATTAGGGGCTTGTCCCGTGTTCTTTGCAACCCCACTGTACCCATGTAACCTTGCTAAGTAGTGAGACGGGAACGCTCTAGGCAACACGGTCGGGGCGTGCAGGTGGATTCAGCCAAGAAAAACCAACCACAACCACAAACGAAAGTTCAATGAAAGTAGGGAGTCAAAAAGTGAAGAGGTGTGTAAAGGTTTCCATTCTGTAACTATCACAAGTTCTAGATAAGTGATAACTCGGTTCTGCCGCTACAGACCGCCTTAATGGTTTACTACCGCTGAGACAGTTTTCCCGAAACGCACATACTTTCGAGAAAAACGCCCCCACAAAAGAACCTTGGAAGTAGTCTTGATGAAACATGTATCGTTGAAAATGGCCCCAAAGAGAACCCTAGAGGGTTCGAAGTCTCCACTATTGAAAGTTCAGAGTAGAGCCATATTTCTTGTTCTTACTACATGGTATTTTCACAACTCCACGGATGTAATCACTGTTGTTTGATTGGCAGATAGGACATTCGGAAGTTATGTTCTTTGATTCCATCTTGAAAGTTTTGACATCAGTTTCAAGGGTAAATTCTATCTGGCGAGCTTAGCAAGTGCTAATATGGAGATTTGCTAATTGAAAATGATAATGACAGGTCAAATCGCCGAGTCTCATATAGTAAGTAATCTTCAATCTCAATTAGAAAATCTTTATATAGATTCCCAAATTCATGCAGGAAGTATACTCATAGAAAAACATGCAAAATCAGGAGTACTATATAACTTTGGAAACCCCGTAAGGGTAGCCTAATAAATGCCTACATCAAAGTGAAACATAAGAAATCCGTTAATCCATTGTTCTACAAAGTGGTATAAGATCTAAAGAGACAAAATAAATAAACTAACCCCCATAATCCTTTTGATATACTACCGATATTCAATGGAGAAGTTCTGGGTTACGTTGATCCCAGAAGCAGGTTGAACCTCAATTTCATGAGGTCCGTCCAAGCTATTATCATCAAGACTTCCTGAACTCGTGAAAACCTCTCCTGACTTCCCGAGTATTCTCTGTGAATCTGGGCTGCCGGTCGAGATGTGAGTATGGAGAGCCTCGTGATCCAGTCTGTTCATTGGGTAAACTGTGTTTTTTCCGCCATTCATTGATGACAGGCCGTCTTGTAGTCGAGAGAAAGTCTGCTGGTCGGAAGCGCCGTATTTGCCGTACTTGTTGCGGCGGCCAGAAGAGAACAACGATGGAGCAAATGTCGATAGAATGGTCTTGAGTAAAGGCATGTTGGCGCATATTATGGCTAGCTCGGGCTCTACTATAGTCCACATGACTCCCATTTGAACTGATTCGGTAATGTTCGAGAAATTGATCACCATCAAGGACTTCAAGCGAATGAGGCTGATGATGGAGACACTATTTAATTCTGTTAGTCAAGTCGAAAGTGTCGTGAAGCACGAAGTAGAACGTACAGAAGTCCAATGCAGAAAACACTGCTCAGAGCAGCCTTTTTGGCTGTATTTAGCTGTAACTTCCAGATATGAGGTATGGGCAGTCCCATCACCATTAAGTCGGTGATCAGATTCATTGTACCGGCGATGACGTATCCCGCATTTCGGTTACCGCATGTACCCTTGATTGAAGTATCCCAGTTGTATTTCAGAGGCCGACAGAGGAGTAAGGTCTCGAGGATGACACTAATAGCCCATGCCCAAATAATGCACATAGTTATGATGAGGCTGATTCGGAAACTTTTTTTGGTCCCGAAGATGCGCGAGTAAAAGAGCAAAATCGATGTCTTGACCAGACCCAGGACAATTCCATACAGAGCTTCGAGCGGTAGAATTGTCTATAACTCATATTAGCATATTGCACACCACATCATACCATATCATTATCACCTTTAAAGTAATCACTTGAGTTGACGCCGGAAGAGTATTGGAGTTTCTACCTACTCCTCCAATGATCACGACTATGAAAGTTGTCCGTTAGCTGAAGATTCTGTGGGCTTGTGTTTCGTGAAGGTGTTATCATACGGACTAATGCGATCGCTATATCAGCGTACACTATAAACTAAATGAATACAACGATTAGCCTTTGTAAATTGTATCAGGACCAGCAAAACATACCAGTGCTCCAAGGATAAGATATTCAGAAAGACCAGGCGATACCCGTCTAATTCGTAGAGCTAGAAAGCGCAATGCCGTAGTCACAGTAGCCAAAGCACCCAGGACACACACCACAATGATTGGATTTCGCGCTAGTGGTACATCTATCTTGTAAGTTATTGGAGACATGGCGAAATTTCCAGCTCGTTATCAGCGCCTTTGAGTTCGTCAAATGCGGGGGTGAAAAGGTACAGACAAGGCTCGAGAACAAGGCTCAAGAACAAGGCTGAATATGATTTAAAAGATTTAAAATGAAATATATCCCACAGGCCAAAGGAACAGTAGAGAAGGCCACAGCTCTCATGAACTACCCCCGTTTTCTGGAAGATCAACAAAGGAGGAATCCTCTGGTCGCAATGATTTCTAGCATATGAGCGACTATTATGGCATTGCTTACGGCATTAAGTTTTTGATTTTTTTCCACTTGAAGGTGGAGGGTGGGGGCTAATGGCCTTATTTTTGGGAATAGGGTAGTGTTTCGGGTATAGTGCGACTGTCAGCAGATTGTCAGTAAGACTCAACAAAACGTATGGAAAGTTTAATCTCAAAGATACCGTTTTAACGTCTGACTTTGAAGACTTCGATCTTCGAGATATTCAACCTTCTAGTATCAGATGTAACAAAGAGTTCACAACAAATATGCAAAACCATGAGTTTCGGGTACGTCTAATGCACACGTGTGAGTTCTCCACTCTGTAGTAAGATTCCCACTTTCGGAGCTTTCACCCACTTTGATTTGATATGAACAATAGCATTATTATATAATAAGTCATAAAGTCATAGTAGCAGTCATCAATATCATAAAAGTCATAAGTCATAGAACCTTAGAATGTAAATATTTAAGCGTAAGACACCCCAAGTATATTTGATCCAATTAAGGAGAAACAGTGCACAGCTACAGCGTTCGCAACTATAATAACCACGTTCACACGTTCACGCTTAATTTAAATTAGTGGCGCTGAGCGGGAGCGTCAAAGCGAACCCCTTATTAGCACCTTGGAACTTTTGTTCTACGATTGCGTTGGTTCTAGGTTTATGGGTCATCTCAATCTTGATAGGTTACCAAGGTATGAAAGTGGACTTAAGAGTCCCACCACAGAAGGCGTTATCTGGCCCCTCTCTATGTTTTCTTTCGGCTATCGGACAGCATTCCCGGTCATTCGGAGTATCTAACGGGATAAGGTGGAAATCCTGGAGCTATTTGGACTTGATTCTGGGGCAACCCCTGAAATCTGTCAGTATCATCCACCAAACATCTTGGCTTGAACTTGTTGGCTGTGGAAGTGTGGAGCATCAGACCACTTGGTAACTCGGGTGTTCCCTTAATACGAGGCGGGCCCTCGAGGGCTTTTTCCGAGAGGTCTCTTCATCAGTTCGAGCTCCGTATTTTGATATACTTGTTGTGGCTGGACCTTCATCCTTTCTTTCTCACCAAAGATAAATTTTGTGGCTTACAATGGCTCCTTCCGACACTTCCTCCCTCGAGGATCTACACAAGGAGTATGACTATGTCATCGTTGGTGGTGGTACTGCTGGTTTAGTAGTTGCCAACCGATTGACCGAGCTCTCCTCCGTCAATGTTCTCGTTCTTGAGGCCGGAGCCAACCGTCTCAATGACCCCCGAATTCAGGCACCAGGTCTCGCTGCCACCACTTACTTTGAGCCCGAATTCGATTGGTGCATAACTAGTACATCTCAGGTAAGAGGCTGCATGAAATGGGTCTTGGAAGGAACAGGAGATCTCACAATTAATTACAGCCTGGTCTCAATGGTCGAAGTTTGGCCGAGCCTCGTGGAAAGACTCTGGGTGGATCCTCTGCCATCAACCTTGGTATGAGTATCTACCCCAGTCAAACTGATATCAATGCCTGGGAGGAACTTGGTAACGAGGGCTGGAACTGGGACTCTTTTTCCAAATTTTTGAAGAAGTCGCAAACTCTCACTCCCCCTTCTGCAGCAACCAAGGAGGAACTGTCCATTGACTATATTGATCCCTCTGTTCAGGGAACTTCGGGTCCACTCCAAGTGTCATTCGGCGAGGGACCATTCCCAGCATTCAACGGTGCCTGGCCCAAGGTGTTCCAGAATCTGAACAAAAAGGTCACTGGAGATCCTATGTCAGGAATTGCCAAGGGCGCCTTCTGTAATCCGGGAACTGTCGACCCCAAAACTAGACATCGCAGCCATGCCGGGTCGGCTTATTATGATGAGGAAACCGCCAAGCGACCCAATCTGCGTGTCATCACTGAAGCCCCTGTTGAGAAGATACTTATTGAAAAAGAAGACGGGAAAGATGCCGTTGTGAAGGGAGTCGTCTTCACCGGCAAGGACGGAGTTGCACGTACTGTAGCCGCTAAGCATGAAGTCGTTATGGCTGCTGGAGCTCTCAAGACCCCTCAACTACTTGAGATTTCCGGAATCGGTAATAGCACCATCCTTCGCGAGCATGGCATTGAGACGATCATTGATCTCCCGGGTGTCGGAGAGAACTCCCAGGAACACGGTTTCGTTCCATTCAGTTGGGAGGCTGCAGATGGGCAAATGACTGCTGAGGCCCTACGAGACCCTGCAGTTGCAGCCGGTGCTATGGCAGCCTGGCAACAGACCGGTGCTGGACCACTTGGTATTGTTCCTCTGCATTCAGCATTCCTTACTCCCCCCGAGCTTGAGGGCCCGGAACTCCAAGTACTTATTAAGGAACACATTAAGGATGAAGGCCTCTCACCAGGTCTGAAGGCTCAGTACGATATCATCAAGCGTATGCTCGAGGACAAGGATGAACCCATTGGACAGTTTACCCTGGCACCATTCCAAATCACGCCTGAGAAGGGACCTAGCCCCAAGGGAATCTTTGCAATGACCGAGCCCGAGTGCTTCGCCAGTATTGTTTCTATTCTCAACCGCCCTTTCTCGCGTGGTAGCTCCCACATTTCATCCTCTGACATTAATGACCACCCTACCTTCGACATTGGATTCTTCAAACACCCTATCGATATCCAGCTCCATGGTCGTCTTACTGCCTGGCTGGAAACTATCGCTTTCACTGAACCCATGGCACCACTGCTCAAGTCTGGCGGTCGACGTCTGCAGGAGTCTTCCGCGAACATGTCTGTTGAACAAGCGATTGAACTGACAAGAAATCGTATTGTTGCTCATTACCATCTGTGCGGTACGACTTCCATGCTTCCAAAGGAACATGGCGGTGTCGTTGACTCCAAGCTCCGTGTCTATGGCACAAAGAACTTGCGCATCGTCGATTCTGGTATAATTCCTCTTATTCCCCGTGGTAACATTCAAGCTACTGTTTTCGCCATTGGAGAGAAGGCTGCCGAGCTCATTTTGGCAGATATAAATGTTTAATCTTCTCTTGAAGTTGATAGAATGCAAGTGCTTTACCGGTTCTTGAGTTTAGAATATTATGTACATAGTGTAAGGTGTTTCATTTCCGATGCTCTTGATTTTAGCACGCGAGAGAGAATATACCATTTTGAAACTACTATTTTAGTTTTTATTCAAGGCTCCAGATACTGGGAGTCATTATTTCGATTCCATGATGTAATAACTCAGTAGTGATTGGCTGAAGCTAACTCCACGAAGTCCTTTCATTTTGGATGGTGGATCTTCTTGACGTCTATGGGTGTTAACCCTGAATGACTAATAGTACGATCCTGATCGCATCTTTGTACATGTAATTTGCCGAAAATTGTGGAGATTGGCGTATTTGTACAAAGAACCGCGATGGCCACGTTACTAAATACGCCAAAGAATTGATATGAAACTAGTGGTCTCTGTTCTTCAAACTTAGAATAGTAACTAGATAGTTACGGCAATAGAATCGTTACAGGTCAAGCGCTATTTGTCACTCGGAAAGTTTGCATATCTTTTTATCTATTCGGTGGTCTTCCGGAGCTGCTAGATGAACTGCCACCAGTTAGGTTTCAAGTGGGTTCTAATTAAAGTAAGCTTTTAAGGCTTCGTGTTTTTCGGCAATTAGATGTTATAACCGCACCCCGTATGATATCTGGATTGCAGATATATAGTCTAGACACTTTCCCTTTTTTCGGACTATTAGCCTCTTGCTCTTTCTTTTTCTTTCTTATGGCTAATTGATAGCTTTCTCCCTTCAGACCGATACTAGCTTCACAGAAACCACTAGTGCAAGGTTGCCTATCATCTCCATGGCAGCCTTGTTGTCGATGTAATCGCAAGAAACCATACCCCCTGCTGGGATAGGAAATCATTCACAGACGCTAGCAATGAGTGTGAACCATAATAAAATGGCATATAATCAACAGAGAATCTTTTCTAGTGGGAATTCAATACCCTAGAAGTCCCGGGCTCGTTTTCAATGACTCTCTTATCTTGTGGATGCAAAGCTAATTCTGCACTTCATGAACCAAACAGCGAATCGAGTGGTGAACTGGTAGATTGTAGTCATTTACGATTCTCACGCTACTTAGACGTCAAGACATCAATTTTAATTCTAAAGCTCTAATCCTCAAGTATGACTTTGAGCTGCGAGCTGCGAGCTACGGCCGAGTGTACAATACAAATATTCCTAATGAGAGCACAGATCAAAGATTAATAAAACTTTTCTTTTCGATTTATGGAGAGTGTATGTATTTGAGATTTCTTTAAAGGGTTTCAGAGACCTTGGCCAATATTAGAATCAAAGTGACAATCCCAAAGCTCTTCGGGATTTGTAGGTTGACTATCTACAAAAAGAGACTCATTCATATCAATCAAGGTTGCGGTTCAACCTACTACAAAGAAAGTCCTCTTTCAGCAACGTGAATTTACTAGTTTCAAGTTCCAAGGTTCTGAACAGATAGTTTGATACTCGATCATCTCACAATTTAGCCTTGGCCCATACTAGGCCAGCACTGCCTACAGCAATCGCAGCACCGCTCAGTTGCGCAATGCTGTTAACAATAACTAAACCAGAGCCCCCCCCCCCCAACATCAACGCTTTATCTCACGGCCACTGCACTCCCAGCTACAATGATCCCCATCTGACTGGGCTGCTGCAGCTGTAGAGCCTACATTACATAATAAAACTGGTCATCCGGACTTGTGGAGAGAGCAAACACTCTATAAGTCGTGACAAATATGTTTTAATACCACCAAATATGAATCTTAGGTCCGATAATAATGGGGTTGATACGAGGGCTGGAGCAGCTATGACAAGAGCGCCAACCGCCGACCGCCGTGCAGGCAATCGGAACGGGGTTTTGAGCTCCCAGTCGGCTGCCTGGTAAATTTTAGTGACGGGAACCTAATCACTTTTAACCAATAGATGGTGTGTACCTGTACTGTCATGCTTGCGGACTTTGCAAGAGCAGGCTTGCCGTAATCTACCACCACACTCTTGCCTCGCTCTCACCCCGCTTTGATGAACCTAGTAGATTCAGAGATAAGATCTTCGCAAAAAGTGTTCCGGTCAGACATGGTTCAGAGAATGAATAATTTAACAGAGAGTTTGAGAGAGCAAGACTGTCATATATTAGATAGTCAATAGTGAGAAAGAGGGGCAATATAGAATTAGAAACCAACAATAAACCAATAAAAGAATTTAGCACATCATCAGCTTTGCATGCATATTACCACCTCCAGGAATTGTTACCTGCTTAACTTATTGAGTAAGTAAGCTGAGCGTCGACGCTCCTTTTCCGATTTGGCTTCGAAATATAATATCATACCCATGGATCTAATACGGTGTGATGGATGAACTCCAATGGAATATCTACGTACCATACACACAATCCTAGTCCCACTCACATCAGACTTCTAGATGATGCCCAGCAAGTGCATGCACCACTACTTATCCGTGGACATTGCAACTGACGAGAAGAAAAACCAAAGTAGCAGTGTCCGCGTTAATGTGACAGGCATTATTCCATTGAGTGAGCAGTAATCTTGAGATGTATTCCAAATTTGGCTTTCGAGATCTATTGGATCCATTAAATGCTTAATCACCTCAACTTGCTTTTTCCTTTTCTCGATATTATTCCACATAGCACTAGGCTGATGTGCCCCAACAGCAACTGGGAACCGCGACTTAATGATGAAGCTAAGGCTGAATCCTATCAGCACTAATACTTACAATGTGACTTGCTGTTTTGTTCCAGCCAGCATGGTCATGTAAGACGTATGTGGTCTTGGGTATCAGCTAGATTATGATGGACCTATCACAATGCACAATCGGCTAACATGCTGCGTAATATCACACGTAAATCCCTGTCATTTTAGCTGCCCCGGCACTTCAAATGCCAAGTCATAAACACTGAGAAAAGAAGCTTCACTTCTTTACGTGGCCTGAGCCACCTGGGAGAAGTAAACATGACTTTAAACTTTAAATCCACATAAAGAACGGGATACCGAGACTCTGCTATCGTTCGGCTTATGTCTACAAATTATTGAACATGTCAATAGTCTGGGAACGGTATGCAAGGTGCAGTGGATGTGAGATGGTAGTTCCTTGGCTCGATTCAGAGATCCCTGTACTGTAAGAATCCAATCGATTGACCTAGAAGAGTGACAGGGGTTGATCCCGAGGATTATTCATCGAACGTCATGAAAAGATGCCCGAGACCCTTCAAAGACATGCCACTGTGTGGGCTCATCACTATTGAAGCCCCTCCTTAGAGATGGCACCAGGTACAAAAAATTAGAGACTTGTTTCGCTCTAAGTCTGAAATGAGCCTGTTGAATGTAACCGGATTCCAGCATGAAGCCAGTTTCAATAACCAAAAGATTCATCCGCCTCGGCTAAATATTCCTTTAGGAATTTCATCATTTCTATCAGAAAAATGTGCCGCTACCCGTCGATCGAGTCAGCACAACATGCTCCAAAACAGGGAAGCTCGCGCGAACAGACGAGATAAGCCTGGGGAAATTGGCTCTAACCCACATATATCAGGGGCCTGAGCCTCTATGTTTCCATTATAGGGCAATTGATTGGTCACATATTTTGCCCTCGTGGGGCACGTACATCATGCGTTGGAGAGTGAAAGCTTGTCCTCGGCCAACCACCGATGCTACTGCCCTAGTCCGGGGCCCCCACACCCCAGGTTTCATGCCCAGGGTTAATGTTTTGCGTTTAGAGTACGGGGCAAGAATTTAGTATAAATCCTCAGTCCTCCAAGCAACTATCTCTTTTTTACAAGTATTCTCAGCTTACTCTTCTTCAACTTTCCTTTCCGTTCTCTTGTCTTTGTTGACATATAAAAGCTTAATCATGACCGCCAAGCTTCGCGGCAAAAAGCTTGGCCACGTCATAAGCCTTGTCGGTGCTGTGGGATTCATTTTGCAAGGATATGATCAGGCGGTTGCCAATGGCTTGCTCACTCTTGCTTCTTTTATCGCTGTTTTCCCTCAGATTGACACGTTGAACACTACGGGCTCAGTGAAGTCTCATAACTCCACTATACAGGGTAAGAAGCCCACGTAGATTGAATCAAACAAACCACTGATCGACAAAGGTACTACGGTCGCTATCTACGAAATCGGGTGTGCCTTAGGCGCCTTATCATGTGGCTTCATCGGTGATAGACTTGGTCGTCGCAAGACCATATTCCTGGCGGGATGCATTGCCCTTGTCGGAATCATCATCCAGGCGACTCCATTCGCTCTTGGTCAACTGATAGCTGGTCGAGTGATTACTGGTATGTCTCTTACCCTTTGAATCACTATTTATTGATCTAACTGATATTCCAGGCTTGGGTGTTGGTGGTTTTACGGCCACAATTCCCATGTATGTCTCGGAGTCTTCAAGTGCGGAGGCACGTGGACGCATGGTACTGTTACAGGGATGGTTTGCCATCGGCGGAGTTGCCTTCGCGACATGGCTGGAGTTTGGTCTGTACTATGCCGGTAACAACTCTGCTAGCTGGCGCTTTCCGATTGCCTTCCAGGCCCTCTTTGCTCTATTCGTCGTTTGCTGTATCATGTTCTTACCCGAATCACCCCGCTGGCTTGCCAAATCTGGTCTCATGAACGAGGCGGCCGAGGTTCTGGCCCGTCTTGAGGACGTGACTATAGATTCCGAGCATGTTATGCAGGAGCTGGAGATCATCCGACAGTCCCTTGCAGAGGGCGAGGCCAATGCATCAGAGGCTTCCTCTTCAGCTTTCGCAAGGACTAAAAATCGCCACATCCACCGCACTCTCCTTGCAGTTGCAGTCAACATCCTGGCCCAGATGACTGGCGTCAATATCATCACTTTTTATTCTGACACTATCCTCGAATCCTCTCTCGGGTATTCAGGAACCATCGCCCGCATAATTTCCGGCTGCCTGCAAATTTGGCAATTCTTTGCAGCCGGACTAGCCGTCCTGTTGATCGATCGATTCGGTCGTCGCCCCTTGCTCATTGCTGCTGCATGTGGCATGGTCATTGCTCAGGCCTGTCTCGCCGGTCTTTCTAGTGACCTGCAGAATCACTCCGCAGCCAGCGCATCAATTGCATTCTACTTCATCGCACTCTTCTGCTTCCCCATTGGTCTGTTTCTTGTTCCGTTCATGTATGCAGCAGAGATCGCCCCCTTGCGCATCCGTGCCAAAGTAACCGCTATGTCAGCCGCTGCAAATTGGATCTTCAGCTTTGTTCTGGCCGAGGTGTCCCCCATTGGGTTCACTACAATCTCGTGGCGATATTACATCGTATATGCCTGTATCAGCGCTTGCGCTCTGACAACTTTCTATTTCTTCTGTCCTGAGACGAAGGTAAGCATACACAAAGGAACGATTGATACAAGATTGAATATGCTAATTCTCGAACCAACAGGGCCGGACTTTGGAGGAAATAGACGAAATCTTTGTGAAATCAAATTCTGTTTTTGATACTGTGAAGGTTGCACGGGAAATGCCCTTCCAAACTGATATACTGGCGAGCATTGACGAGGAAAAGCTCGGAGTGACGGTAGAGCGGATAGAAAACGTTAACGAATAAAGAAGGGTAGGTAGGTAGCCTTGGTTTTTTTTTCTTGACGATAGACTGATGATATGATTAAATATAAAACCTCTCTGTAAGTAATATCAGGTCTCAAACTCCAGTTTCTCTCTCCTCATTTTTATGGTAGCGTTGTAGTCATCTCTCTATAACTCAATATTCGAAAAAAGTAAGATCGCTACATGGCGAAGCCAAAAGAACTGTCTCAATGATGTAATCCACAGGATAGAATTTTGAGTGAAGTAAGCATGGTGCATCCATCTGTCTCGCTCGATAGTTGATTCTGCGTTTTGACTACATCCATACCTTTTAGAAGAGTACTAGTAAGTGAGCTTTGTGTCATGTCTGAACTCCAATGACGCTAGTCAAAATCCCCACCACCAGCCAATGGTGAAGGAAGGACTGACTGTCTGATGTAGTCAGTAGATAGATCAAGAGGTAATTGATGCCATCCAAAAAATATCTTCAGCCAAAAAAGAAACAGGCCCGAGCCGCGGATCGAACGCGGGACCTCGCGCAGGAGTGCTTAGGAGTTGCTGCCCTAAGCGCGAATCATACCACTAGACCACCCGGGCTGTTTGATGGGAATTTTTGAAAAAATAGACTCAAGTATGAAAATTCTTCGTGTTGGCCGGAGAGGAGATAGGGATTCCGCGACCAGGTGCTTTGAGGCGTATTGGTTGATCTAAATTTCAGCAAAAAGTATTATCCGAAGTCCATGTTCAGACAGCGCATGATGTTCAAGTCACGTGGGGCTTGGCACGCCAACCCTTGTAGCGCCGTGACAGTGCGCATAATCTACGTCAAATGTCCGATCAATCTTGTTTACTCTGCAGGCTTTAATCATCTCGTTAGTTGGAAATCGTAAACTAATACGTTGGAGGCCAGCTGAATATATAGGTGCAATCAATTAGCTAGCTAATTCCTTGATAACATGACATATCTCCAATGTCTAAAAATCAATATAAATACTTCTTCTTAATGGTACGAAGTCATAAACAACCTTGGAAGTAATTACCAGGCATATAACGCACAAAATTTGGTCACATCCAGCTATCTGTCACATATACTTAGGTAGTAAGACATGTATTATTATATCGAATCATCACTCTGAAAAAGACTAGGATGATCTTGACATCTGTAATTCCTTGAACTGCTTACTTGTCTTTCGCCTAATCCCGGAGAAAGCTGGAGCAAGGTTGACTTTGCTGATTTATTAGTGGAATGGAGTTTGAGCAGTTTCAGCATCAAAGATTTTCTTCGAATGTCATGACAAAATGAAGTTGCGGTAACATTTGAACCCGTAAACGGTAGAGAAATGTTGATACTTATATTGAGATCCAAATCTTGGAAGACATATATTCCCGATATCTAGGGATTAAGTAGTGGCTTGTCATGAAAACTCAACAATTCCTTCCAATATTTTCTCCAAAAGAGTGGGAGATGTTTGAAGAGGAGCAGTGGAAGAAGAAGATGAGATGATGAAGACTTGATCTGTACCTGAGCAGGGTGAACAGGATAGATCATCGACAATATGATCATTTGAGCTCGCTTCCAAGACGGGTTCCTTCAAATCCTCCAGGGTTGAAGATTCCCAAGGTCCTTTCACCGGGTTCTTTGGATAGAAGCTTGGGGCTTATAAATAAGTACATATGTCCAGGTATTTATATTCCAATGTTTGAGTATTGAGTTTGCCTTTCCTACGATAAACATTCGAATGCTCTATAGAACTCCTTATTTTGCTACCATCTGTATGTCGATATAAAACTACCGTGTCTATTGGTTCTGATTCCGATTATTAATACATACCACTTCTTGGGTCAGCCATAGGATAACATGCTATTGTAGAATTTTGTCAGCCTGCTTTCCCGCTCATCCAATTCATATTTCCCTGATCATAGGAGCATAAGGTAAATCAAAATCCTCATTAAAACAAATCTTCTCACGAGCGATGACGCTTGGAACTTTCGTAGTCGATATCCGGACGATTTCTCTTTCGTTCTTTAGCTGAAATTTCAGACTTCATGATTCTCTCGATTTCCGTCATCTGGTGCGAAGGAGATGTGTGTGCCACCTTCTTAGCAACTAGAGGGTTACTCTTCTTCGCAAACACATTGCCCGGACGCGGGGCATTGTTCGTTTTCATAGAGAACTTCATGGGTGCCGCGGGCGCAGCTTGGGTGGGTGCGGGAGTGTCGGCAAATGTCGAACCCTCTTTGATAGGAGCAAGATCTACTTGCGAAGGCGAGGGGGCCTCTGCATCAAGCTTAGCCTGACCAGAGACATTGATACCTCCAAGTTTCATGGTGAATTTCTGTCCGTTCCGCTGCAGTAGTTTCGGCGAACCGTCCTCTTCGACATTAGCCTTTTTCTCAGCTTCACGGCGCCTCGCACGTTCAATTTGATCTTTGATCATCTTCTGTTCGCGTTCCTCGTCTCCTTTGTCCTGTCGTTCCTTCTTCATTATTGCCTCACGCTTGCGCATGGTTTCAGGGCTGTTATCGATCCACGATATAAAGAGTCCCTTTTCGGTTTCCTCGACACGACAGATTCCCTCTTTTCCCAGATATGATGCAAACTGCGTAAGGCTCTGCCATTTGGTACTGTTCATGTGGATATGCTGGGAAAAAATTGAATTAGTATCAGGGCTCGAACGTGGCACTGGGGTAGTTACCTACTTCCTTATGAGCAATGATCTGCTGGTAAAAGTGGTTTATTTGCACCTGCTTTTCTCCGTGTGTGGTCCGGAGGGTTTCGACAAAGGTCTTCAAGAAATCATCACTAAACTCCTGGATGTGTTTGCGTGGGTCTTCGCCAATCAACAACATCTGGCGAACGTGGGCTGGGCTCTGGGTATGACATTTGAAACCGTTTGCGTCACGCATCTGACGTTCACAGGCCTGACAATACCATCGAAGCCGACCAAGACCTTTGGACTTGATCTTGTTGCCGATCGCTTTGGTGCTTCCAGCCTCGGCGCGACCCATGTTGGGTGGTTGAGTGGTGTTAGCGAGTTTTTGGATTGGCAGGAATTGATTTGATAGATGGTGGAACTTAAAATAAAGATAGAACGTGAAGAGTCGCGTGAAAATGTGTCTTGCGACAAGTGACAGGTGTGGGTGAAGTGGGGAAGCTGACGAGAATATTATCGGGGTAAAAAAGATTGCGATAAGGATGGATCATGTGACCATTTGATGATAGTTAACATCCGTGCCATGCTTACCAAACTCGGGCACGGATAGTATTCGGGTGCACTCTTGGCACTGCTAACTACATTTATATCACAGAGCACCAGCACACTTTGATAAGAGGCCGTAGAAAGCCTAGCATATCTACATTCATGGATCTGGGGGTAAAGCCAGCCAGTTACCATGATCAAATGTAGATCAATTACCGTCTCTAAATGCGTACCACTGCGTGGAACTAAATTGAGTCTCGACTCCCATATGGATTTCTCAAGACCTTCGGCCAGTCCAGGAGCATGATAAAATCGGGATTCCTGAGACCATTGCCTAGAAGATACCATTTGAAAATGGCCTTGCCGGATATCAACGGGTAAAGTCAACAACATAGGGAACGAAGGAAAAGCCAGCAAGTATTCTTGCTTGGTTTTGTGTCCTCTTTTTTTTTTTAGTATTGCATGTAAGGATTGATCATGAGAATCGATTCATTTTGAGAATCGCCCGAAGAAACTAGAGCCTATGAGTTTGAGGCAAAACGTATGAGGAAGGGGAAAGGGAAGGGTTGAAGTTTCTCGGAAGCTAGAGTCTGTGGATGAGTTCTAAGAACAATGCTGTGAAGGGAAAGGGGGAAGGGAACAAAAAAAAAATCCATGGAGAACAAGCCAAATACTCCTTCGCAGTAAAAATCCCGTTTCAAATAAGAGATAAAGTGAGAAAATAACGCGCTGCAGTCGTAGGAACCGTCATGACCGCCAACATGCCCTTCATTTGTTGAGGTAATTCATTACCAAGAGCACTCATGAATGGCCGATGGTCCACTTTCATTGTACTCAATACGACTCATGTAGCCCCCCTTGGTGACACCCTGGTCAAGCACAAAGACGGCCTTAGCGCCCAGCTGCGCACCGAGGAACACAGCCTCCTCATAACCATGGCCGCTCTGGGATTGACCGTTAGGTCCAGTGCTGACGCCCGGAGTGTTGATGTTTCCTAGGTCCTTGAACTCGGGGAAGTAATCCGGGAGTCGTAGCGTCTTCACAGAGTGAGGATTTTGCGAGTGGCCGGTTGAGCGGTAATGGGAGACCATGCTAGGGTCCATTGAGGGTGGCATGGCCATGCCAGGCTGGTTGTGGGTAGCGGCCACAAGGAGTGGGTTCACACCGGGTGCAGTGGGATGGAACATCTGCAACTGAGGAGCGGGGGTGTTGGTACCGCTTGGGATAGGTGTGGAAAAGGCCGAAGGGATTTCGGACGTAAACATCGATGCAGACGGAGAAAGGACGTACTTTTGTGTAATAACACCAAGCAGGGATTGAACAAATCCTAGTATGCGAAAAGTTGGTTAGCTAATGATTCATCAGATGTGGTAATTCAGTTCCTTACCTCGGACTTTGCTGCCGTATCCAACGATGATAATAGAGTCCCACAGCTCGCCGCGCTTAGTGGGATCTGGGACAGACGCAATGGTATGGTAGATTTGAGTCGCAATATACTCAATGATGCCACCGAGGAGAGGGTCTCCATCATTCTGCGGAGGCGTTGCAAGGAGGAAACGCTCAATGCCAACTTCGATTTCTCGAGAGTGACGGATATAGCGCGTGGGGCCTCCAGATGTATCTTCGCCCTCCATTTGCTTGAAGTCTTCAAATTGGAATGAAGCCTTGTCCTTCTTGGAATTGGGGAGACGAGGTTGCTTAGGGTCCGGTGCGGCTTTCTTGTTGCTCGACTTTTCCTTTTCCATGTTGGCCAGGTACTCGGTGGTATTACCACTAACAATAGCCGCGACATCCAGAACACCTTCATCTTCGTCGCCGTTGGTATCAGTGCCAGTCTGTGTTCCTTCTCCCGGACCACGGGGAGCAAGAGGATTGGCCTCAGGAACTCCAGTCGAGGCAGCCGCAGCAGGATTAACGCTCTGACGGGCCGTGGTCGATGAGCCTGGAAGCGGTGTACCAGGGGGAAGAATCTCGGAAATGTTGCTGCGTTTTAGCTGGTCGCACATCTCACGGGTGAATCCCTTGGGACCCAGCAGCTCCACAAGTCGATCAGTCATCGCATCGCCGCCGCACCCTTTCAACGCAACACCTCGACCATGAGGGTTGACCTCAAACTCTGTGACTGCAGTTATATCAGTCTTTCCCTTGCCGACATCGACCACAAGAGCGGTCTGCACAGCATAAGCCAAGCATGTAGCCACAGCAGAGTCCAGTAGACTGAAGGCTGGGACCTTAAACTTTTCGAACACGAACTGGACGATAGCTTCACGGTCGCTGCGCGACCAGACTGGCTCAGCAATCATGAGGATCGGCGTATGAAGATGAGGGCTGAGTGCATTGTAGACATGTGTCAACAGAGCAAAGAAGCAGGGCCAGTTGACGATGCGCCCATTTTCAATGGGGTAGATGGCGCCCTCCTCCGATGTAACGTCCTCCTCGTAAAGGATCTCGGGCGCAGCCTGGGTAGCTTCAGGGTTCTCCACTACCTTAGAATCTTCAACTGCAGGTTCATTCGACTTCTCGGTCTTTTCCGCCGAGCTACCATTGGCAGCCTCGCCAGCATCTTTTGTCTCCACGCGTTTGGGGAGCTCCTTGGGCGCGTCGGTGCCATTGTTGGAGTTAACTTCGCGGCGCCGTTCACGCACTTTGTACGGTTCGAATTCACCAGCATTCTGGGCTGGAAACATGCGCGTTGGGAAGCGAAACTGCGCCGGGGTGAATTGTTCGGGCAGACCAAGCTGCGCCAAGGTCATTTGCGAACCTGGCGCAATCAGCTGGAGATGGTGTTAGCCAAGAAAAAAAATAGTACAGGAGATATACACTCACCAAAATATGCTCATCCTTGAAGGGAGGCATCGCGTTGGTGTTGCAGAAGTGTTGGATAGTCTCACGACCTTTTGCTTTTGCAGCTGCTCCTCCTCTGCTTCCTTTACCACCGCCTCGGCCGCCGCCTTTGCCTTTCCGGCCTCTTTTTCCGCGCGCCATTCCCAATCGGGAATGGTGACAAACAATTTCGATCTAAGTAGTTAACAAATATTCAAGATTTTCGAAGATTCATGCCAAATCAAGATTGTTATGAGGAGAATTTTGAATGCGGGAAACTGAATTATACGAACACCTAGTTTTTGTACTAGTGGGTGACATTGCTTTCTATTAATCAACACAGTGAACAAGTATATAACTCGGTATAATTGATTGAAAATCCATAACAGCACCCAATCTTTCGAACCAGAGAACTTTTATTTTCGCATAGATATTTAATGGTATACTTGAAAGACGTTGAAACGCTTGTATTTGTAGGTTAGAAGTACGCTAATCCAGGTAAATAGAAGTTCAGTGTGGATTTGTCTAGTAAAGGCCTCTAACTAGAGTGTCGAGGTAACCATAGTGCATCCATGACACCGGGGATGAGAAGAACTCTCTTCATCCATAGCAGCACTACCTGTGAGCTACGTGCTGCTGCTCTTAGCTTTCTGCTGAATGATGTTGTAATACTTAAGATAGTAGTAAGCCTTGGAATAAAAAAAGAAAAAAAAAAGATGGGGAAGTGAATAGGTACTTTCATGGTATACTGAAACATTGAAAAATTATGCATTGACTCAATTCATCCGACTCCATTCTCCACCAGTCCGTAAAAACGCAAAAACGCCCGGTGTTCATTGTCTCGTTACGAGATGAGTGAACTCATCTTACTCGGGAACCGCATTGTACTTCTCCGTAGCTGATCGGAAAAGCTCTTCCTGCTGTCGCATGAGCTCTGCCTCCGACAGCCCGCTTTGCTCCATCTTGCTTTGTTTCTTCTCACGAGACTAGAATCGCATGTTAGCTTATCAGAACCAATATCCGGAATAACAACTGTTTACCTTGAGCTGTTCCTTATGCTCGTCCACAGTGGCGAGAACTGGACCAACAAATTCACTGAATCCAAGCTCGTGAAGTGCTTTCTCCACGTGTTCACAAGCGATGGTCTTCTTGGCTTCCTTTTCGCTGATATCGTTCGCCTCGGACGAAATCAAAGTAATGAATTCAACGCAACACTCCATGAGCAAGTCACGGGCTTCCTTAGAAAATGTCTGTCCATTAGATGGCAAAATCTCAGAGATAATCTTCTGGACCGTAGCTGTATGATTTAATGTTAGCGAAGTCCTTCCTACAAGTCGAGCTGTCTGGGGTCCGAGGTAAAGGAACAAGCGATTCCGAGACAAGCAGTTACAGGAAAAATTCCAAGCGCACACCTTTGGGAAGCGATAGATCATCAGAAACTAGAGGTTGAAAGATATGTCAGCAATGCACGGGACTTTGAAGGATGTATTGTAGTTCCAGCCATCATATACTTGATTCCAGGGGGCCAATGCGCGGTGGTGGCGGCAACATACCATTAAACTCGCGGTCAGACATCGTAAAGATTTAAGCTTGGAAAGAGTATAGTCCCGAGGGGATCTAAGGGCAAAGGATGTGGAGGTCGAACAGACGCGGAGTGGACGCAAGTTCAAGTCCCGCGTCTCTCGGTAACATTTATTTTCTGCCAGCAGAATAATATCACCACCGCCTCCACTCGTATTTAATTAAGATTTTTTCTTTCTCCTTTTCCTTCTTCTTTCCATCGCAATCATCTGCTTTTCTATTTCGACTCCCACTTTCTCAGAGTGAATCATGATGAGGATTCATTCTGAGATCGTTCACTAATAGTAAGTTTCTTGTCTCCTGCTTTTCCCTTATTCTCTACTATGATGAACTTTTGTTGTCGCCCCTATCATACAAAACCATGGTGATTTACCTGTCCTAGCCAAACGGACAAGCTGATATTTATTTCAATCATTATTTTGATTATCATTGTGAAGTTGAGTACAATGGCTAACTTTCTGTGAAGAATTCTAGTATTTTTTATCTTTTATTTTTACCCACAGAAGGAAAAATCTTCAGACAACCCCGTTCATTACTAGGTATGCGAGTGCCCTCATCCCACAATTACCTGCCCTCCTTGTATGATGAACCCCTTACATTCCATGCTAAACATGAAGGTGCGCTGCACTTAATGCTTATAATATGTATTGCTTTTCATCTTTCATCTGATTACAATTTTATTCATGAAAATTCTTTAAATCCATGAAGTTTTGTCAGCAGTTGCTGATTGTTATCTAGTATCACAGATGCCCCATCTCGTAGGTATATTTGAAAAAAAAAAATCATCATTCTATTCCTGGAAATCCTTGAGCTCCTCGTCATTCCACCTGTTCCTTCTGTTAGAATCATCCAATACTTGTAGGTTGTAGAACATACGATAGGAAACGGCCAGTAAACCCGTTGGGTGCCTCAAGCACCAGCTTGGCTATGACATGTCCTGGCTGCTCTGGTTTGAGAAGCTTGCCGTCTTTGTGGACAGTCGTAAATTTAGAGTGCATCTCAGCATCCAGAGTTGCACCATGCACCTCTCGTAGCTCACGTTGCATTTCAGTGTCGACCATGCCAGGCCGAATAGAGATAGATGTGACATCTGGCTCTTCAGAGCCTAGTGTTTGAGCGAGATTGTTCATGGCTGCTTTGCTTGCCGCATACAGACCCCAGCCACGGTACTTTGATACCGCTGCACCAGAAGAAGTGAAGATGATTTTGCCCTTGGACTGGCGAAGAGCAGGCAGGGCTGCCTTGGCCTGAATTATGTTAGAACTGTCGAGTGTTTGATAGCGGACCAACTTACGAAAGCAACCAAGCTGAAAAAGTTGACATCGAAGCCCTGGCGCCATTGCTCGGGGTCGGTATCAGAAACTTTGCCGACTTGGCCTAGAATGCCGTGGTTAAGAACCAGTCCATCGAGCTGGCCAAAGGTCTTTATGGCGGCATCCACGGCATTTTGTGCTAGAGAGAAGTCCGAGAGGTCACCGTTCACAACCTCGACCTGTGTGCCATACTGCTCTTTGAGTTTCTGGAGAGGCTCGACGCTACGGGCCACTACTACCACATTGTGGGATTGGGGTGATGAGAGCAGATATTTGGTTACCGCAAGGCCAATTCCTAGAAGGGCTATGAGTATAGCAAGATATTGAGGCTGGGAGGGTTCTTACCCTTGGATGCGCCCGTGACGATGATGGTTTTAGCTGCCATGTCGAAACCTGTGAGGATTGTCAGTGAGAGAGTTGTTTATCGGGGGACTGCTCCGCTGTATGGTCTCACGCCCCACCAAATGACGTTAGCATGGATGTTTTAATACTCCGTTTACTCTGAATTAGCTCCAAATGAAAGGATTCAATATTTACATTCTATCTACATTCTATTTCCAAGGCTCAAATAATTGAAGAGACAATACGTATCGATTATGCGTATAGATCCGCATCTATTGACCTAGAAGTTTCTTAATCCATTTAGTCTCTTCTGCGTCAAGTATTCTGTACACCTTTCGACAAAGCTCTAAAATAAATATGGATTCCCCCGAAAAGTGCCTATATAGTCGGTACTTCATTTATGGTGCAGCTCATCCATGATTTAGCCGTCCTCCAGGGCCCGCTATGAGGCCCGCCATGGTATCAAGGCCTTTGCTGCGTTCACCTAGAGCTTAAGGGCTGTGCCCTTCCCAGGTCCCTATATCTCGTATTGAAGTGAGTTATTACTGTAACCTGAGCTTATTACAGATCACTGGCTTACTATAATGCTAATTTCGCTTCTCCAAGCCTCATCTCAATGCTAGTAATATCTCCATGTCAGCAAAACTTTCTTATTACCTTGATGTGAGCAAATTTAAGTAAATATTCGAGAAGTGAGACCGGGGCCATACTCTATTCTCTTGATGCCTAGATAATAAATTCCCTATAGCACCTATTCTAAGGATATCATGTTTATTAGACGAAAGTTGGTACATAGGTCACTAGACTTATCATATTTCCTCTACCGGGCGAGGGTTTACTATTATAGTTGCGACCGCCTTATTAGGGGCGCTCAAAGTCAGGCTCAACTAGGTATTGAATTATTAATGATCATTCTCGAAGGTACTTAGTGATTACTGCTTGATAAACCGATATGCCGGAATATTGTTATTCCTTATCCAATAACACCTCGAAATGTATCGCACCTCGGCCTTTCTTTTCCTCGTCGCGTCTCCCACAATTAAGCCCCACCATATTGCCCTCATCATCGCATTTCTATTTCTTCCGTTTGATTCACCCATCTCATCATACAAGTCAGCTCCTTCGAAGCTTTCCATTCGCAATGGCCAACTACCTTGCTTCCATTTTCGGTACCGAACAGGACAAGGTCAACTGCTCGTTTTACTACAAGATCGGCGCATGCCGTCACGGTGACCGCTGTTCCAGAAAGCATGTCAAGCCTTCCTACTCGCAAACTATCTTGATGCCCAACATGTACCAGAACCCGGCATACGATCCCAAGAACAAGATGAACCCCAGCCAACTGCAGAATCACTTTGATGCCTTTTACGAGGACTTGTGGTGTGAATTTTGCAAGTTCGGCGAGATCGAAGAGCTGGTTGTTTGCGACAACAACAATGACCGTGGGTTTTCCAATCGTTCTCAATTTATCCTTAATATGACGCATCACTTTCTAACATCATTCTCCTGCAGACCTCATTGGTAACGTCTACGCCCGATTCAAATATGAAGAAGATGCGCAAAACGCCTGCGACTCGCTTAACTCCCGCTGGTATGCTGCGCGACCGATTTACTGCGAGTTATCACCGGTTACGGATTTCCGAGAAGCTTGTTGTCGCCTCAATAGCGGACCAGAAGGATGTGTGCGCGGAGGCTTCTGCAACTTTATCCACCGAAAAGATCCATCCCCGGAGCTTGACCGAGAGCTCCGACTGAGCACGTTGAAATGGTTGAAGGAAAGAGGTCGTGATCCCCGCAGTGTTTCTCGCAGCCCGAGCCCAGAGCCAGCTCGGCGGAGATATTAGGTGTTTGGCTGGCAAAAGTGTTTGTTTCTACCTCCTGAATACTTTTCTGCTGATCTGGTTTAATGATCTTTGGCGTTGATCTGATTGGTTGGTTTGTTGATTCCACATTTTTTGCGTGGAGCGTCTAGGAGCTCGTCTTCTAGCATTTTGTTTTGGTCTCTGTGGGTCCGTTCATTCCACATCTTTTGAATGAAGCGTCTGGGGGCTTGGCTTCTAGCATTTTATCTTGCTGATTCCCATTCTTCACTTGCCTCATGAATCAAATCGGCAAGTGAATCAAGCTTCTAACATGAATTTTCCTGAGAAGTGAACTGAATCTTCAAGTGTTCATGTATTACCTAGTATTTCGCATTCGTTAGGTGGTCGATTCATATCCAAAAATGACTGATAGAGTCAAATCTCAATTTTGACACAAATTTACTCTCCACAGTTCTACCTGTACTGCTTACCGGTGCGTGAAGCCCAGCCGATATCTTAGCACAGCTTGCTTCCAAGGTTGCGTGTCTTCACTACTGATGGCATCTGTAACCAGGTCACCTGGCCAGGAGTAGATTAGATTAGATATCTTGTCGACCTCGAGAGGACATCGGCGCCCTAGCGATCAAGAGTTTGAAAAGGTAACAAACAAATTTAAGGACCCGTTCACTCCTATCGGTAGCAAGCCTTAAGTACGATGGAAACCAAAACTTGAACTGATATTTACCCGAAAAGCTACTTCTATACCCAGGTAGAAACGTGGAACGTCTAGTGTCTGGTGACTCCCTGGCCGGCATATAGACACTTGTGGCCGGCAGGTATCTGGTTAGCACATAGTCAATGTGGGCATTGATCTCCGCTATCCCATCGATCTCATGATGTACTATCAGATTCTCCAATGTGAGGAATTTGTTGGAAGGGAATAAACCATAGTGACTGCCCTTGTGATTCCATCTTCGTTGACAATATCTAAGTTTCTTAGCCATTAATCTAGATGCTCTTTTGCGATTTCCGTGCTGGTTCCTGACACTGGGTTCCGCTAATGCTAAAGAAGACCTTATGTAGATAGATCTCAATGATTGATTTCTCTGGCCACGCTGGCGCTGTGCAATTATTGATTTCGGATTGATAGAGTATTGTACGGCGATGGTCGTTTTCTTCTGTTTCATTGGCTGCTTTATCCTTTGTAATAGGTCGATATTGCATTATCTGGATGATGACATGCATGGAGAAATTTCATCTCATTACCTATGAGAATATTTCACAATTCTCAAGAAAAGACAGCTGGACAATTCTATCTGTTCCGGTACAGCCGTTATATAAGGCCATGTGCGGATGCTCTTCTTGCGTCAATAGAAAGATGATTTATTTGATCCCTCGCATAATCTTTAGATTCTCCGCACCATTACCGGGCACTTGGGAGTAGAGCGAAGAGGTTAAATGTTTCGTCAGTCTATAAGAGAAGGGAGGTTATTTGTACTCATTTAGGATCCACAGCGGGCGTGCTTTTAGCAGATTCTTACCACTAGATAGAAAAATCATTTTTTTGTCAACATTTGACTAACTATTGAACGGTCAAGTTTCGGGTTGATATGTTCGTATGTCACATGATCTATCTTATCTAAAATGAGATGACGTCGAACAGAAGCTCAACATTTGTACAAAGAAATATGGAAATTTGAGACTTGAGAATAATCACATATAGTACAAGCCATATGTAGAATTAAAAAAATAAAAGTTAGTACGTATCAATGCTGTTTTCAGGTTCTCTAAAATGTCAGTCAATAATCCAAATGTAAATAGTTCTTTCAGCCTTTGTCTCGTCAGCCCCACATATCGCGTACAACCGCGTTCGCGTTCACTTTCTTTATCTCGCGATTCCAGAGTCTGCAAACCACTCTGCTCCCTAGAATCTTGAGATTGGATTCGGATTTTTATAAAGAGATCATATTTGGGCTGACAGCATGTCTGGCAGCTATGACGACAGCAACCGTGCATTTCTTCAGGCCTTCATGGCGCGTTCATCCATGACCTTCGAAGAGGCGCAACCTATCTTAGCAGCAATCTCCACAGTGAAAGGTATATCTTTATACCCCGCGAAGAATTTGCTGCTTTTCTAATCGCGTACACCGAGTAGAGAATCGCACTATCAACGTAAACGATATCACCGAAGAACATCTCTCCTCCTACATCTCACTTGCCAATGCTGCTATATCGCCCTTTGACCTGGAGATCAGAAGCTCGTTAAACCAAGCTATAAATCATGAAGAGGATGAAGATATCTCACCCACACGGGTGTATGCCCTAGTCAATACTACCAGTGATCCCTTGACCCAGCTCGCGACTACGTACTCCGCCGACGAAATCGCCTTTGTCAAGCGCATTCTTGACGGCATGTTCATCACAAATAATGATCGGATAAAGGAGGGCATGGTGATTCCTTCAATGGAGGCGGTTCAGCTGGCCCGAATTAGCGACCCCAACCGACGCCGAACAGGGAATACCGCAGTGCAGCCGAACCAAGGCGTAACAGCACAGAATCTAACACTTCCTCAAGCCGAAACTACATTAAAAAACCTTGTCTCAGAAGGCTGGCTCCAGAAGAGCAGAAAGGAATTTTACAGCTTGACTCCACGAGGACTCATGGAGCTGCGTGGTTGGCTCGTAATGGAGTACAATCAGACCGAGGATGGGCGAGAAATGAACCGAATTAAGTTCTGCAGTGCCTGCAGGGATATTGTCACTGTGGTATGTATCTCTCAGATGTTGTTCACTTGAACAATGGGCCTGACTGATTTGAATCTAGGGTCAACGTTGTGCGGATCGTGAATGTACGGGTCGACTACATGATCACTGCATGCGAAACTTCTTCCGTATTCAAAAGAGCGAAAATTGCCCTAAATGCAAGAAAGATTGGCCTGGTAATATGTTTGTGGGTGAGAGAGCTATGGCACTCAAGAAAACTACAAATACTCCGCGGCCGAGAGTTTCCCTGAATCAAAATAGTCAAGCAGACGGGTCTGATGAGGAATCTGAGGAAGATGAGGGATGAAATTTCATCGATTTTCGGGTGCATTTCAGGCACAAAGTTATACTACAGAAGGTCTTAGTCTCTGTCTCAGTCTTGATTCTCCAATGCCGAGACTAGACTAAAAGCATGTCCAATTTCACGGATTTACAGTCGACGAAGATCAAAATTATGTTGGGAACAGTGATCATCGAAGGGTCAACCGATATCTCAAATAATACGACGTATTGAGAGGAAGAACTCGAAAAATGTGTACGCCATGAACTGATTATTCAAAATTAAGATGCAATTATTAAAAATTCCAAATGTGCTGGGACTCAGGGGCCACGTCTTTTCCGGCTGTATTCTTGCTGTTAACTTGTTTTCCCCGTCTGCTGTTTTCCCGGGCACATCGTAAATCATTGTTTCGTCATTCATTCGTCTCCTACATCCTTTTAATTCCTCAATATCCCAATATTTCTTCGGATCTGCGAGCTTTGACCCGCATCTCTCAAACTATTGACTGTGCTGCTATGAATAATATCGACGTAGTTCGTCGTTAGTGTCTCAAAGGCCAATTATTTTTGCTTCCGGCGCGCATAGTAGTGATATGGAGCTTGCATCGAGCTCACTGACGGTCGTCTTGAATTCAAGCTCAAGTGCTCAAGTTCTCTCTGGCTATTTTTCACACCAGTGTCAGTCACAGAAATAACGATATGATAATAGACTGATCTTACTCGGCTAGTCATAAAGCTTCTTCTTTGCCAGGGCGAGATTGGCTTCGGATGGAAGAATTATGGTGATGCTGGCGCGGCACCATCGCCTGCTCAACTTTGCTTTCTATTTCGCTCTTTGCATCTTGGCCTGGATTGGCAACCTCGTATTCAAGGATCTTGATAAGGCGGTAGAAACAGACTGCGATGATTGCGCCGATGGCAGGGCCCACCCCTATTTTGTTGTGTTAGGCAAATCTTACTCCAAAGAAAGAGGGTATGGATGAAGCTTACAGTAGATCCAGTGTTCCTTATCCCAAACACCATTGACAACACAAGGCCCGAAACTTCTTGCTGGATTCAAAGAACCACCAGTGTAGTAAACACCGGTCAATTCACAGATGAATAGCGAAAAACCGATACCAATAGGGGCCAGGAATGTACCCTTGTGCTTTTCCTTGGCCAGCATGAAAATTGTAAACACCAGCTCGGCTGTAAGAATGGCCTCGATGAAGACACCACGCGCGAGCGACGTGTCTGTGCGAAGAGTGGTACGGGTATTGAATGTTGTGGGCAGGAGGGCGTGAACAAGCTCTGAGGCTAGCATGGATCCACATATTTGGGCACCTATAAGGAGGAAAGCACGAAGCATGGACATGCTCTTGGTCAGGTACATGCCAAGTGTGACTGCAGGGTTGAAAAGGCCTAGTATAGAGTTAATATTGAGAGCTTAATAAGGGGTATAAACGTGTAAGGCAGTCTTACCTCCTGAAATTCGGAAAAAAATCCAAACATTGACCATGAGAGAAAAACCAAAAGCAGAAGAAATGTAAAATAGTACAACAGGACTGAATCCGTTATTAGTAGCAGTGGTAGGGCCCGCGTTAATATTGGCTACTTCAGTACCACCAAATGCAAAGAACAAGAACATTGTTGTTCCCATAAACTCTCCAATGACTGCAACAAAGTCTACATCGCCATCAGTATTATTAAAGCAAGTAAAATATAGGACTCACTACCGTGACTTACGGTTCTTAGCATTCGAGTTCATCCACCAAGTCAATGGCATTCGTAGGATCTCTTCTTGAGGCGTCTGTTCCCGCATGATGGGAGCCAAGCTGTGGTCTGTACGAGTGTGTGTTCCACTCAAACTTTCAATGTCTGATAGTGCATCGAAATGGTAGGATTGTCTTTTCGGGTCAAAACGGAGACTGCGCACAGATGTTGATTTGCGCATAGGGCCTGATCCTGGATCTTGCGAGAGGGATGGCTTGCGAGGGTAAGCAGCCCTATCATATACAGGTTCAGTCATATGGATAGGCTGCTGCTGGCCATCGTACATCTCAGGCTCTTGATAAGGTGGCTGGTATGATGGCTGATATGATTGATAACGCGGCTGAGCATGAGGAGGCATTGGACCATAGTTGGTGCTCCCTGATGGATTTACCAGTGGAGGCATTGGGGGAATATCCTGGTTCTGACTTGCTGTTCCTACATTCGGCATCGAGGCCTGTCTGGGTATCCGTTGATTGAGGGGAGGGAGAGAATTTGATCGACTCATTGCCGACACAAGACCAGGGGAGGTTTCAGGGGGCTGATTGTACTGTGGGTAGCTATTTTGATACTGCGCAGAAGTGGGAGACATCGCAGTTGGAGCAGGCATTGGAGTGGAAGAGTGATTTTGGCTGGACCCTGGAGACATTGGAGCGGGAGAAGTCATTGTGGCAGGGTGGGTTTGACTATTGGGCGCTGGATAATGTGCCTGTTGGCCTTCTGGTGTCCCAGGAAGGTGCCCATTTCGCGGTGCAGATGGAGTAGCCATAGCACTATGCACTTGTGCGATTGATGGCAGTGGACGAGAACCTGTGGTGAGAGACTGAGTTCGTTTTAAAGATGACATTGAGCATGAAAATATGCCCGTTGGATCTATACAAGTGGGAGCGATTCAAGCAAATTTAAAAGGATAGCTTGGGCCCATTTGTCTGCTCAAGGGACCTGCAGAAAATAAATCAGGATTTAATGGAAGCCGTGTTTCAAGTAGAGGTGGGACACGTCTGTCCGCAAAAATCAGATTTTGAGCCGATAGAGAATGATGTATCGAGATCGGGTCAAAACGTTTGCTCGGCAACAATGTCACTATCATCGAAGTATGGAAGATTGCGGGGCCACCGACGTTGTCGCGGGGTCATACTAGTCCGTCAAGGTATCTAATTGGAGCCGGATTCTTTTATGCACTCTACCTGATACAAAGCATGGTCGGCCTGCAAATTATAGCGCGAGAATCCACCATTAATAAGGGCGGATGATGTCAAACAATTTTTCAAGTGGATCTACGCCAGCGAGGAGATCTTTTCTAGAAGAACCTTTTGCTGCCGTTAGTGACGTGAACATAGATCCATGGAGCGGCCGAGTCACTCCCATCGCCCCGTAATACTTCGTAATTCAAACAATTATACCGTTCCTTCAGATATCGGTGACGTGCAAACATATCCATCAAGCGGCCGAATCATTCCCGGAGCTCCTATTTAGCCTCAACGATAATTTTGGCTCTCGATTGGAGAATCTCATCTGGAAAATCTGATCTCTCGATCTGGAGGATGTTCCGGGATGGAGTGTAGATGAATGGCTGAATCTGCAATCCTTCGGGTCCGTGTGTCAGTAAGCAATGCAGTCCTCTTCGCGTCATCGCAGATTTGCTCCTTATATGGCTAGCTTTGAAAAGGCATGAGGCTTCTAGGTCGGTTATCATGAAGGGCGGTCTGCATTGGGAGCTATACCCGACCAGTAAGCAAGGATGGAGGAAGAGGGACTAAGGAATAAGTTCGATTCTCGGTCCATGCCATCGGTGCTTCGGAAGAAAATTCATGTTAGCAGTGACAAAACAAGGTATCTGCTCGTTTCGGATACAGCCTCCTTCAAGTTCTTGCGTCACTGGAGAAGGCTACAGGGGAGAAAAAAGCGGGAGGCTGGAGTGGAGAGCCTAACTTGAGCCTAACTATCCGGGTCCGGGAGGTAGCTAGTACCGGACTACCTTGGTAGTGAAGCCGTCACAGTAAGTCGTGACAAGCTAGTCAGTATCTTGCTAGTCTTAATAAGAGGTTCAATATTGTATCTCTCGATAGAGATGTCAGTTACGTCAAAGTGAACTTCCGCCATTGATGTTTCATGATTATTTTTATAAAAATTAATCCGAAGCCCTAACTGACTAATCCGGTTAGCCATTTCCCCACAACATATTGATGTCTTAACTAGTTATTTATTTATTTAAATAGTTATATAATTAGTCGTTAGTCAACGAATAGGAGATTGATAAAGATACAACAAGTAGAATCGCCAGGAATGATCAATGTGTCGATTATTGATGTCTTGGGAATCAGGCACCAACATGCCAATTTTCCGACAATATCTTACTTTAATACCTTCATTATAAAATATTGATAGTCAGTCAAAAAGAGCTCGAACTCAGAAGCTAATTAATGAAGCTAGGGCTAACCACAATATGCGGACGATGCATATAACTTGGTATAAACGCGACAGATTGATATTCAACGCCAAGACGCTAACAAAATCAACACTTTTCCTTCCCGCATATCGCACACTTGTATGGTTGTTTGCACTGTTTGCTTTATTTTAGGCGCTCAGAAAAGGGTTTCTCCCTTCTTGTATAATCAATCAATTAAATCATCTATGGTCAATTCCTTCTAAAAGTTGACAGCAGGCAATTATCACGTGTCAGCTCATCAGTGATAGTCTAAATATATAAAGACAGTAATTACCACACATGTATTTAGCTCCTCACGTTCAATCCATACATTGTTACTTGAAACCTACCATTTCATTCACAACATTCATGAATCGTTTCGTATTGAAGACAACCATCCTACAAGGAGGGGAATACTCGGTTATTGCCTGACTTGGTGCACCATCTAGCACATCCTACGCAGTCTATTGTGTCGACCCGGGCCCTTTGAAGACTAAAGGCAACAGGCAACAGTACTGTTGCGAATCAATGACTTGAAGATCGAGCATCTATTTAGTAAACATACCTAGCGACCAGTGTTGTATAACACGGACCCACCTAAAAGACGCCATCTCGAGCACACCAGATAGAGCAAAATAAACTAACAGGTATCCTCATACGACCTACTCAAGACGGCCCGGGAATATGAGATAAAGGCGGTGCTCCGGCGGTGCTCCAGTGCAGCAAAATGGTAATTCCCTCGGGTAGAGAACTAATCACTATAGTAGTAAAATAGAAACGATCTCGCCATCTCTCAAAGGGTGATTTAGGCATTCTGCATGATAAAATGGCTTCAACTTACAGCTTGTCACGGCTGATTCTTCTGAAATCTCATTGGCTTCATTACACTGTCTTATACTATAATAAGTGGCCCCAACTTAGCGGCCGGCTACTTCAATAATGCCAAGTTGATAGCTGCCAAGTTCATTCAGTGGAATGGTGAGCGGTGATACAGGACTGGTAACCTTGCTGAGAGTATCGAAGACGGAAACTTTGTGTGGGCTGGACGGACAGATTATCTGGTCAAGAACAGAGGATTCTTGATTAACATCGAGACTGAGGTCGGCCCGACATTGCTCAGCTTTCCAACTATACGTGTCGCCGTCGCTCTGATGTGGCGAGAGAAACTGGTTGGCTTTGTCCAACCCTCCACTGTGAATATTGACGAGCTTTGTGTTTTCCTCCGGCAGCAATACGACCCTTTTGTGGTCCCAGACAATATTGTGGCCCTGGATAGTTTCCCCTTGACAGTGAACAGCAAGATCAACAAGCGCGCCCTCTCTGTGCAGCTGGATGAGCGATTCTCGCACGAAGACGAAGGCCTGGAGGATGAAGGTAAGGAGCTGTCTGCCCACAATGCCTTACGTCTTGCCTTCTTTAAGACTATTCAAGTTCCTACCAAGTATATAAACAGCAGCTCATCATTTACTCGACTAGGCGGGAACTCTTTGACATCCATCTAGCTAGCCAGCCGCCTCAAAACGTACGGATACTCGATTGTTACTATCCAGGCCTTGCGTTTAGACACTATAGGAGAGCTAGAAAAGGTCGTTGCCGTCATTCACAAGGCAAAAGGACCAGAAGACTATACAACTGGTCCAGAATTTGCCACTGATGTGCAAAAAGGATTTTTCAGGTCACTCGACAATCCAGATTTCGGCGCCCTCATCGGAACAGCCAGATACGTCGGAGATCGTCTTGCTATCCCCACATGGGCGAGCTGCATAATGCTTTCATCACGGCGCTATCCGCCCACAGTATCTTCCATACCCGCCTTGGTGCAGGGGACTTCTCTCTGTCTGATCTCGGTCGCCTATGCCTCAACTGGAAGGAAGTGCACCCCAGAATGATTTTGAGAGCGCCATCTTGGTTGAGCAAGACAATGCACAATGCTCTTCAGGCAATCAAAGACATCGCTCGTATTGACATCGAGGCTCCTTACTTTAATGTCACTGTTATCACTGTCCCCGACTGTAAGGACATTGCTTTCATTACACGCACCCACCACATCTTAGGTGAAGTCTTCTCAATAGCCATTCTATTCCGCGATGTGGAAAGCGCTCTGAGGGGCGAGACAGTGGTTCAGGGCACTCGATGGGCCGACTTTGCCCGCTTCATGGTGACTACAAGCAGCAGAACCAACCGACGGCAATTACTAGATTCGAAAGGATTCTCGGACCGCTACCGAATACATCCGTATTACAACTTCCCGCACCCAAGACACCGCCTGTGGACAACTACTATGAATTGAAGATTATTAACTCACCCATCAACTTCACCAAGTCCGATATTAATGCGGCAGCGTCCTCGCAGGCCATCACTGCAACCACCATGATCTACGCAGCATGGGCGTTGTTCCTAAGCAAGATAAGCGGGTGAGACCGTGTTAGTTTCTCCATCAGTCTCTCAGGACGAACAGTGCCCTGGCCCCTAGCGCAAGCTGTCGTCGGCCCTGTCATAGGTAAATCGCCATATAGCACGGATTTTCCCTTGGGCAAGACGGTAGGGGAGTGGCTGTCGGATTTGCACAATCTGACGCTTGACATTATGGAGTTTGACGCGTGGCGGCCTCCCTTCCCGACTCTCTGTGCGCTAGACCGACTACAAGCACTACTAATGTTCTGTGCTTCCTGGATATGCCCCGGACCTCGACTAGCTGGATGTTCAAGGACAAACAGAAGCATAACTACTTACTGGACTGGTATTTGTTTTCCAATGGGAATGGTATCAAGACTGACTTTGAGTTCAACATTGTAAAGATTGACGCAGATTGGGCTAAGGAGGCCGCCAAGATTCCGGGTCGCATACTGGAGAGTCTAATTAATGCTGAGTTAACTACTTTGGTTGGCGACATTTTGAACTCCACGCAGGGTATCGTAGGCATATAGGATGAATCAATCCCAAGGTTTCATGGAACACACTTTAAAAGATTGATTTTTCTTTTTTATCTTTTTTTTTTTTACATTCTATTAATGCACATTTGAGATGAATACCTACGAAATGAGACATTCAGTTCAAAATATACCTAGGTATGTAAGGTTGGACTACAAATTTTGGCCCTGAACGTGTTTCTACTCCCCTATCCTACTAGCTATACTGAGAACCGCATCAATATTATCAGAACTACTTGTTTCCTGCTCTTACTAGATCACCAAACCTGCTTCTAGCCTCTTGCGCCAACACAACTGGTTTGCCAACTTCCACAATCTCGCCGGTATCCATGACTACCACTCTATCAAAGTCCATAATCGTGTCTAGTCGATGACTGACCGCAATGACTGTGTAGTTCTGGAACTCAGTCCTAATAGTCTCCTGTATGATGCGTTCCGTCTCTCGATCTACGCTTGAGCTGACTTCGTCCAGAATGAGAATACCACCCAGCTTCCTATCAGCCCCAAATTTGCGCTCGCGAACGGATCGTCTGAGTAGGGCGCGACCAAATGAGAGTAGCTGCCGTTGTCCGGCGCTGAAGCTTGAGGCGTTTATTGCAGCAGTTAAGCCACCTCGCTCCTCGACAAAGTTCCACAAGCCGACAGATTCGAGTACGGCCTTGCATTCCTTGGGTGTGGCCTCATCAGCAACATCAAGGTTGTTCTGAACTGTAGACCCATCTGGCAAGAAGACGGCTTCTTGGGGCACTGCTATGATGCGCTGGCGTAAATCAGATCGGTTCAGCCGATGAAGTGGCAAGTCGTCGATGAAAACATTCTCCGCTGTGGTGGATATTGGCTCGAGAAGCTTCAGAAGCAGAGCAACGAGGCTGGACTTGCCGCTGCCGGTACGACCACAGATAGCAATCTTTTCTCCAGAGTCAATGGTGAGCTGGATATTGCGGAGAGCAAAGCTCGTAGTCGCGTCATCATGATCCTTTCTGCCAATAAGAAAGTTAGCGCCGCGTCTTCTAGTATATGGTTTGAAATACTTACCCATATTTTGCAAAAACGCCTTTCAGTTCCACCACGCCGCGCTGAGGCCAGTCTTCGGGAGCGTGAATATCCTCTACATCCTTGTCCTCGGGCTTAACCGTGTCGTTAAACGTCTTGAGTCGGGCAATTGCGCCAAGTGAAGTTTCAAGCTTCGTCCAAAACAGAACAATGCCAGCAAGGTTCTCTCCAAAGCTCAAAAGACTATACAAAGCAGCACCAGTAAAAGCAGTGTTGGAATGGACGCGCACGGCAAATGTTGTCAGCCCTATTGCCAGCAGCATGACTATTATGTCCAGAACGACATTTAGTCATTCCTGGATCATAAGAAGAAGATATGATGGTCGCTGGCTGGAGGTGAGAAGATAGGCATTCTTTTGAATATCTTCGCGTATAAAGCCTATGCACCTTGCGTTAGCAACAATAGCGTATTGAACGAATGCGTTGGGGATGGGGTAGCTGTCCCTACCAAATGCCCGTAGGGTTGTGATGCCCCTAACAATGTCAAGGAAGTGGGTACTAAATGTGTGTCAGTAGCGACAGTGAGTATATATGACCCTATGCTCCTTTCACTTACTATAGCGGGCTCTTGGCTTCCAAGTCGAGCAATCTAAGTTGTCTTGACGTGCGTAGGTAGAACTTTTGTAGCACGTATAGTAGAGCGGCGAGGAATGGGAAGGTGATGGCCAAGTAGGGAGCCGAAGTGACCATAACAGCCATTTGTCCGACAACTTGGGTTATCTATTAATTCATGTTAGATGTTGGGAGAAAGGCTTTTAATGATCATGTGATGGCTTACCGAGAAGAGCGTGCTGAGTGTGGCATCTGGCAGCTCTGTATCAATGAGATTCAAATCTTGCGAAAACAAGTTTGTTGTAACCCCAATATCGGTTTCAGCGAAGAAACTGAGTGGCGCTCGGAAAAGTGTCTTCAAAATGTCGTCGTGCAAGTTTGCGCCAGCGCGTTTGATGGAGAAAATCCAAATTGAGGCACCAAGTAGTAGGAGCGAAACCAAGGCACTGATCTGAAACAGCGCGTAGATACCGGCCCAGTACGCTGATTAGTGCGCTGGGTGTTGTAATTTCAAGTCGTCAGCCCAGTACGTGAGCCCTGTAGTACGCTGTTAGCTTATAATGTGAAATGCATTGGGGATACAAAAATGGGAAGTACTTACAGATAGTGGAAAAGTTTAAGAAGAAGCCCCAGAGACAGGAGAAAAAAATGGCAGACCCTGCGAGCAGCCATCCCATACTTTTCATATACTCCTTATAGACGGTGCCATCTCCAACTTGCCGCGACGAGTCTACATTTGGGGCAACGGTAAGCTTTGTTCATTTTATCCTGTCCGCCGGTGACGAAGATTCATTTGCAGTATTTTTGATGCTCGGTCCGTCCAACATCACGTCGCTTTCGGATGAACCCTTCACCTTAAGGCGGCGGATGTAGCTATCACCAGACATTAGTGTGTCAAACGTGCCCTGCTCGCTAACCCTACCGTCCTCAAGGGCGATGACATAGTCTGCCGCCTGTAGGTGTCGAACGCTATGTGTGCAGAGCAAGACGGTGGTTTGGCGACTTCTCAATAGTCCTTCCGGTCCAAATACCTTGCGGAAGACTTGCTCTTCGGTATCCGCATCCAGGCCGCTGAATATATCGTCGAGAACAAGGAAGTGGGTCTGTAAGTATAGGGCACGTGCCAGGGAAATGCGCTGCTTCTGGCCTCCAGATAGGGATATTCCGTCAGAACCCACGTTTGTTTCATCGCCTTGTGGCAGGCTATCAAAATCAAAGGCGAGCGCTGTCGCCTCAATGACTTCAGCATACCTGTCCTCATTCACCGGAGAGAAGCCTATGATATTTTGTTTGATACTTCCGTTCAATACAAACGCAGTCTGGTCGCAGAATCCGACGTATGGAGCCCTCGTGCGCAGTGTGACTCTGCCTCGATGAAAGGGAATCTCTCCAAGTAGCGCCTTGCAAAGCGTCGACTTGCCCGAGCCAACGGGCCCGACAACAAGGGTAAGTGAAGACTTTGGTATCTTAGCATTAGTGTCTTGCAGGACGAATTTGTCTTGTTCCCAGCCGAAGCTTCCATTCTCAATGATCACTTCAGTATCAGAGAACAGCTCACTGTTGAGTAAACCCGTTTCAGAGTTTTTCTCAAAGAAAGCTGCGACTTGACGATAGTCTTCACGAGTCTCGCATTCCATGAAAGCTTGAATTCGGCCAATGCAAGCTAAGGCAGAGATGACTTCGGGAATATTCTGGAAAATTTGCGACAAGGGCTGCGTCATCAGGGTCAAGAAAGAAAGGCTAGTGAATACATTTGTCGAGTTCAGTTTAGTCTGGGTAAATGCTAACGCCAAAGCCGGGCCGATGAGCAGTGGAATGAATCCAAGCAGGGCCGCCCCGACGTAGATCTTACGGTAACGGACTCCCGCCGTGAGTTCCTCGACGCGAATTCTCTGCAAAAAGGTGCCAACAGACGAAGAAAGGCCGGATATTTTGAGGTTTTTCATACTGGCGATAACAGTAGCTGTCAAACCAACGCGCTTCTGGACTAAAGACATCCATCTCCTCTGCGCAGTTCCGATAAAGTTCATGAGAATAACAAGGCCAATGAAACAGAGGATAACCAGCCCGATGGGGGCGACGAATACAACACCCAGCTCCCTATCCAACATCCACGCGCAAAGCGCCACCTGGATCAGACTTGCCCAGATGTCATGTAGCTGTCGGAAGCCTATCCTGATTCGCTCAATATCGGTGCTCATTAAAGTTAGTGCAGCGCTATCGTTATTAGTTCCAATGCGAGCCTTTATGGCCGTGACAAATGTCTCAGTAACGAGAATTGATCTCAGCATAGTGCGCATGCGATGATGATAATAGCTTGTATGTGTTAGTGGAACCTGAAAGGATTCACTCGATAGTAGTCCTGTAAGACTTACCGGTGAAAGGCCCAGCTAACCACAATTCCGGCGTAGATGAAAAAGCTGGCGCCAATGAAGCCATATCCATAGTTGGGGTTGGGCTTACCCCGCGAGAGGTAGTCGAGAAGTCCTTCAATAAAAAGCGGCTGAGCAAAGGAGAAGCCGAGGAGGGCAAAGCGGGGAATAATTGGGAGGAGAAGAGGTCCGATAAGGGTGCGTATGAGGATTTTGGTAAGGCCAAACTTGTCACCCTTCATCCTAGACATATTCAGGTGTCGATAGAATTTCTCGTGGAGTATTGTTGGGTCCATTGCACCATCTAGGGGGTAGAGGTCATTGATAGAGAAGACATTTTTGTATCCCGCCAAGAACAAGCGGTTAAGCCAGAAGAAGACACCAAGGGAGAAGATACCACTTGTTTCCTCTGGGCTATGCATCTTCTTATCCCATTCCACCCATTTGGTCTTTTGCTGACATTCCAGAAGCAACATGACAACCTTAACGGCCACAGCGGCAGTAAATAGATTGCTGTAGGCGCGCTCTGTAGAGACAGTGGATGACAGGTAGAGTGTCCTCGACTGTGCTGCGTCGAGGATAAGCGTCAGGAGCAAATAACCCGTCAGCAACATAGATGGACGATTTGTTCGAGTGTGCTCAAAGACGCTCAGAAGGAGAATGGCAATGGCCTCCAGCAACTTGAGGACCGAAGCTGCAATGAGCATGGCCGTGGCGTGGAAATGACCCGCGGCGGCCAGAATGACGAGCACAATTTGAAGGATTGCATAGATTGTGATGGCACTCTGCAATCACATCAGTGAGGTACTATGCTTATGAGAAAACGACGTTATAAAGATACATACAGCTTTCACAAATCGAAATGCAGAAGGATTGACGGTGATGGATTTTTTGGTTAAAGAGGTGGTCCTCCATGATGCGCCTATTATAAACAGAATAGACGGGATAATAGAGAAGAAAGCCTGCTCAAATACTATATTAAAATCGAACTGCTCACTGTTTTGGTCGAACAAAGAGCCATTCTGGGAGAAGGGCATTTCGGAGTGCTGCCAAACAGCGGAGATCAGTTGAACTACTTCTGAATACTCTGGCTAGGGAGTTTCTAATGAGGAGAAAGGCGACGACATGAAAATGGACACAAGAGGATACTTCAGTGAGACACGGAGTAGCGCAAAAGGTGCTGAGAAATCAAAGATCCAAGGCGGCGGGATGCGCCACTGAATAGACACGCTAATTTCATGAAAAAGCACGGAATAACGCTGGAAGGCTTGATGGGTATGGCGTTAAGCACTAAGCAGGGGTTTGGGGCTAGACACCGGAAATAAGTCGGACAGCCGAGCATCAACCAAATTCATGCACGGTCATGCACAGTCATACACATTTTGAATGGATAATTCTGCTTTATTTTTTGGTATATTCAGTCGTTGGGGTGGAATCCATTGTAGGAGATGGATGGGATGTGGTCGTAGTGAGAGAAGAGAGTAAAAATGGAAAGTAAATTAAAACCAAGCTCCGCCACTCAAGAAATTCGACACAAAACAAATATTTCAAACACCTCATCACACTCCGCTCACCAATCTATACCCATACGATGACATATACAAAGCTAACGGCAGACCCAAGGAAGAGCTAAACCCTTGTGGTAAATTTGGCGGACAGCCAAGGTAGATATGCACCCAACTGAGCAGAAGAAAAGTGTAAAAAATTAAAATTCAAGAAACTTTAATAAGTAAGTGATATAGATCTAGTGAAGGTACTAGCTCGATGGAATATCTCTGCGCCTTCAAGTACAGAGTCTCAGGTCTATATCACAGCGTCAATCTGCTGCTTAGTCCTTCTCTCATCACAAATACTGATGAAACGTTCGATGCCTCTGGAACGCCCATAGAAACCCTTGTACGCTATTTATGGCGATTCCATCCATCTTCAATCGACGGGGCAGAGTCTCTCATCAAGGTGATTCTAGCTCCCGCTTTGGATATGTATCCAGGAGTGACATTTTCCATGTTCGAATGCATCACCCTGAGTATGTCGACAGCGTCATTTCGCTTTCTAGTTGGGACCGTCTTCTTCCTGTTCCAGCCATCAAACTCAGAGAGCCCCTTACATACGCTGTTGGCCTCTGCTGCTGATGCACTCTTTGCTAAGCAGTCGCAGCTGTCCATATCCGAAGTGATACAGCAACTACCCCCTGGTCGTCGAAATTGATATTACTCATTCAATTAAATCTAGATATAGTTTTGAGTGTGATATTCTAGGGTGTTGATGATATATCTGTGTCGCTTGTTATGTATACTTCATGACTTAGCTTTTGAGGTCCAAGAAAAAGAAAATCAGGAGATATGTATTGCAGTTGATTGAATTGAATGATTACAACATTATTATTAGAAGCTGACATGATAGGATAGATCACTTTGCAATAATTATCAAACAATCTTGTTTCCTGTCGAAAGGGAACACGCTTATAGAAGCTCGTTCAGGGTGCAGGAAAGATCCAAGTTGAGGTTGATTAGGCCCTCCTATAGGTTAAGGTGTTTGTCAGTTCTTCAGTTCTTGTATATGACTTTTGTATAAGCTTTGCCATACCTGCTTGACATCTCCTTCGCAGCAGTAGACACTGCCTCCGGAGCAGCTCTTGCCAAGAACACCGTTGAGGAGGTTGCCCAGAGACAGCAGACCACCATTTCCGTTGTCCTGGCAGACAATAGTCTGCTTGCTGGTGCAGATCTGGGTAGGAGTAGATCCATCCACATTGGGCTTTTCACCTTCGGTGGTAGGCAAGGCCATAGCGGCAACCAAAAGGGTGGCGAAAGCAGCGATATACTTCATTTTAGCGAGAGGCTGAGAGTTGGTTGAAGTGGTGGAGGAGATTTGTAGTAGCCTTGGCTTGAAACTAGAGAAACAATTAGCTGATGGATAATAATTGAGGAAGAAAGTGTTCTCGTACTTATTTGATTGCTTGATGAACGAATGCTGTTTGATGTTGATTAGCTTCTGCAGATGAGCTTCTTTTATAGCTTATTTCTGTCGGGCTTGCACAAATTTGGTTCTACTGCTAGCATCGATAATAGATGTAACATCTTTGATTGAATCATGTTTTTGCAACAATAGTCCTTTTGCAGTCACAGAATAGCCCTGCAACAGTTCGTAGCGTCAAATTTTAGATGTTCTTGTGGTAGAAAAGCAACGAGTAGTTTCCGAAAACGGCGGTTGGGCGTTTATACGGAAAAGATCAGCCATTGAATACGATAAGATGACTGCTTCGTTCTTTCAATGCACCATCATTCTACTACTGATGAATGCATCGGAGTGATATGAGATTCAGAAAATTAGGTCTTTGCCATGGGGTATGACACCGGTGGCTTCAGTCCCAGCTCCACCCATATTAAATTTGGCGTTTTTTGTCTTATGTAGATGAAATTTTATTATAATAGAAATTATGGACGACGCATGGCCCGCAAATAAATAACCAACATTATAGAAAAAAAGTGTCTCAGATTCCGAGCTTGCGAGGCCGTAAGATGTCCCACTATGTTATTTCAAATATAGTTATCGACCTGACGCTTACAGATGTGGAATTACACAAATAAGGTCTGTTGTACTCGTCAAAACTACGTAGCTTTATTGAGCAGTTCAACCACGGTTGAAGTATGGGATTAATCGTCGAGCCTGCAAGCGTAGATCACAAGCTAACAATGATTTAATTATTACAAACAGGTGTGAGATGTTGGCCTAGTGCACACATCTTAGGACGGGCTATACCCACGAAATTCGTTGTCTCTTAGAACTTGAATAACCTATTCCTTTGATAGGTGGCAAAACTGGTATATTTTTATGAAAGTTTAGAGAAAAGCGATTACTACTGATATAAAGTATGATGAATAGAAATATTAGATGAGAAAATGAATGTTTGATAAAATTAGGTTCTAATAGGTCTCAAGGCAGAGACCAGGATGACATAGTAATGTCAAAAGACACCCCACATATAAAACGGAATGCAAAATGTGGAAACAGATGATACCCAGCAGTCGAGACAGAGCAGCATCCAATTCAATGACACGAAAGTGCAGCAACAGATGAATATGGCTCATATGCGAGAATTTTGAGGTGAATCCATTTAAAGGACCTCGTTGAGGGTACAAGAGAGAGCAACGTTGAGGTTGACGAGACCACTCTGAGAAACCGGTTAGATCAAAATCATGCTTGAATCAGTGAAGATATTCTTACCTGGACATCACTGTCCTTGCAGCAGTAAACGCTGCCACCGGAGCAGTCCTTGCCGAGGAGACCGGGGGCGACGTTGCCGAGGGTGATGAGACCACCATTGCCGTTGCCAGAGCAGACGACACTCTCTCCAGCGGCGCAGACAGATCCACCTTCAGCAGCGCGGGGAACACCGGCGAAGGCGGTAGCAAAGAGAGCAAAGGTAGCGAGGATGAACTGCATAGTTGCGGTGGGAGAGGTTTTTTTGTTTGGGATTGAAAGGGGTTTAGAGAGATGAAATGGATTGGATGGATGATGAGAGGATGAGATGCTGATGGGATGATGATTGAGATGGGCGGCACATTGACTGTCTTTAAATACTATTCCACTGAGCGAAGAATACATTTTGAGAGGCGCCATGAATGCGGGTGGCTTTTTTTACAGGACATGAGGAATGTGACCCTTGACACACGAGGAAGGGATCGACCCTAAGAATGTGAAGCTTGGTCTTCATTATGGGGAGTAGTAATATGGATCGACAAGCAGGGATGCGCGCTAATGAAAGGAAACTCCATTTTATGCTACTTTATCTACAGTCTAGCCAATGGGGACGTTCATAGTGGACAAGCTTCTCTCCCAATGCTTTTCCATATGTAGTTTGTTCCTAGTTTACAACCAAGATATCAGTAAGTTTCTTACCCAGGAAACTCCTTTTGAGGTTCAAATTTCGAACACGCCCTATGTTTTTTAATGTTTGCCCATGATTCAATCGTTCAAATCGCCGATATTCAAAAATGAACACGGAAAATTACCTATCTGTCATGGACGATTTCTAGGTATGCTATGCGCCGATCATACAACTTAGCATGCCACTCCGTCATCCCAGCCCTTTCTTGATTAGCCCTAGATTGGACATCATTCTCTATTTTCCAAGTTCACAATGCTTCTGTGGGGCTTTTTCAGTCTCTGTGAGCTTTGATTTGATCGATTCTTCAGCCCAACTGACCCTGAATAAGAAGATCTTCAGGGGACCAGAGCTGGGTGCAGGTCAAGCTCAAAATAGGCCGAAGGAATTGAGATCGCCTCGTGTAACACCTTATTCTGATTAATATGTGACGTCAATTGGTTGCGCTGTTCCGTTTTCACAATCCAGCGTTATCTCTTCCTACAATGTAGACTATAGCTGGTCCAATTCACCCTTGCCCAGGCGGTATTCAGCTTCTAAAATGGCGTATCAGTCATGATCCAAGAAATCACTTGAAGCCAATGAAAATGAAGATCATCGATTAGCTCCTCCTATTTCAGGATCAAATAATTCCCTCTCTGCTGGACTTAATATATTGGTTGATTCAACCTTATGTAAAAGCTCATATCAGTCTCCAATGGCCAAAAGTAATTCATGAGGCGTAAAAGTTCAAAGAGATACAAAGTGAAAATAGTAATTGTCTTAAATTATAACTATTAGAAATAGGTAGATGCATAGGACTATGTAGTGTCTTGGATTCAAATAGACCAATTCTTCAACACTACCTATGTATCACGAAAATTACTAGGAAACTTCTCCAGGTCTAGTTACCTTGGTACCGGTATAACTACTTATCAGAGGTAGTACACCTAGGTAGTAGACAAGGTTCGAGAACTAATATAGTTTCTGGCCTAATTCCATGGAGGTTGTACCCCGGATTAAGAACAGCATTGGAAAACCAACCTCTGAATGAAAGAGAACATTAGAATTCTGAAGAATGACTCGGAAATTTTCATGATATATTTCAATTATGAAAATGATTTGACCGCAGCAAAAGGAACTACCGAGGTCCCTCTCTCGAAGCTGATTTATGTTTCCCATGTAGTCTACAGAATTGAAGGGAAGGAACTTTTAAAGTCAAAAAATAACGAGGAATCGAATCGATTATATGCAGTGCTAATCATGAACATGATCCCAAGGTTTATGAAGGAAATATTGAGGAAAAAGCTGAGATAGGAAAAGTCCCAGTGCCCAAGTGATAAATGGAATTGTTAGATGGATTGACATACATTTTGTGTACTTCTGTATCAGAATATTTTTTTTCTCTCACCAAGTTTAGTTATAAGATCAAGATCTTATGATTACTACCTGCCATGTGATTTAAACCACATGCATATTAGCTAGTTGAACATCATATCTGGAGATACATAGCGCATTGTTGATCAAATTAGGAAATTTGAAGCACATTTTTTACCCTAATATACAGCCCTACTGATTAGCCATGCCTGAGCTGATGACCAAAGGAAGCAGGAACATAAGATCCATACTCTAATCAATCAGGTGATCAATAACAAGTTAGCTCCATGCGAAGTAGCTACGATCTCTCTCGCTTAAAAATGGCGCATCTCTCAGTATCATTTCGCCACAACGGTCAGAAACTACAGCCAATCTCCTCGACATGGTTTTAGCGAATTCAGCACCAAAATCTCACCGATCATCTCATATCAAGAGAAGTGACTAGTACGCCATATGGATGTTCTCCCGCATGAAGTGAGCTACTGTTGGTATCAATTTCTAGTTCATGGTCCCGTCCAATCTCGGTTTATAGATAACTACTATACGGCTAACGTTTGAATCGCATGAACTAGTAGATCAGTACACCAGTTCGGTCGGGAGAATGAACCTCCTCAAATAGGAATTAGGTAGAATTTAACAGACAGTGCCACTTGGGAGAGAAATTTCCCCATGCCCTATAAATTCTTGAAAATAGTGATTATTACCATTATAGGTACATATTTGTGGCGCTGGAGTTCCGCCGGGGTTCCAAGTTCCTATTGCGGCTTCCCGGCGGTTCTCGATTTCAACGAACTTTAAAGTTAGGGTGCTAACAAATTCTCGTAATAATTACGAATCTTCCAACTACTTCAAGCTTTTCTTGAAGCTTATGAAACAAATAATCCCCTTAAGGACTGTAAATCAATTACGCGTCTTTATTGTCTAGTGTGTGGAGGGGCAATATCACCCCGTAGATCCTCAGTATGTAATCCAATTGGACCACTATCCTGCGGTAATCGTTTCTAGCAGGAATACCAGCCCTGACCCCCTCATTTCTCGGTGCGCACCACCTGAGCTCACCACTTCATCCAAACTCATTTTCTACCGCTTGTGGAGAATTCCGGAGTCCGGAGTAGCTTTGACAATTAACCTTGGAACCCTTGAAGCCAGGCGGTAGTTGCTGGCCACATTTGGATTTGGGTTAGTTATTCTGAGCGCTACTGAGTGAAATCCATTGTTGGTGCCCTTGCCAATATCTCATCTATGTTCACCTGTGATACTTCCTAAAATACATTAATGCTAAAAGCTAGAGTGATTGACATAACTAGACGTAAATATTATTTTCATGATTAGGAAAGTATATGGGTAAAAGTGCGGTATGTAGGGATATGGGCTTGAAATTGTAACCTCTCTAGACCTAAAAGGGAATAGTAAAAATAGTCAGTCTAAATTCAGCATGCACGCCGTCGAATGTTACCCATGAGCAGCCGAATTTTTTTAGTTTGGACGATCCCTGGACTAAAAAATCCTTGGTTGTTCATTGAGACATATGGCCCATTTTAGGGTTGAATTGCCTCATGCATGGGCAAATTTTGATATGACTTTCCAAATGGTAATAAGACTATAAAAGGCGAGGTAAGAACAGTACACGAACAAGTAGCGAGAGAATCGATAGCTCTTTGGACACTCTTCTGTTCCCTGAAAATTCAGTGCTGGACAACATGCCTGACTATTCTATAGAGAGGGACACCCCACCTCCGTCCCAGCCTGGGATAAACGATGAAAAGGCCGCCGTCTCTGTCTTAATTGGCAAAGATGACATTAAAGTCCACAAGAGCGAGCAAGGTGGACCCAGTGAATTTGGTGAACCAGATAGTAGTGGCAATGAGGTGGTTATTATTACTGGTGCCGATGCAGCTGCTCACTTGCTACCCTTACGAGATGATCACGACTCCGCGCTATCCTTTCGAAGTATTGTGCTAGCCACGATTCTCGCATGCTTCCAATCTGTCATGAATCAAATTTATTCAGTAGGACAATTTCACAGACAATTTTTTTTCTATATTGACCTGACAATTCATAGTTTAAACCTACATTGATCACCATTCAAGGCACCTTCATCGTCTTAATCTCTTACTTCCTCGGCCTTGCCTGGGCCAAGTTCCTTCCCCGCGGCGATAAATTTGAGGCTAGATGGAGAGCAAAGGGTGGACAAGGTAAAGCACCCTTGTGGATCCGGTCTCTTGTAATCCTGAATCCAGGGCCATGGTCTCTCAAGGAACACTCAATCTGTTCTATCACTGCAACGTCGGCCTCCAACGCTTCGATAACATCAACAGTATTTGCTGCTCAAAAATTGTTCTACAATATGCCCATTAGTCCGGCCATTGTCATCCTAAGTACCATCTCCATCGGTCTCTTTGGCTATGGTCTTTGCGGTTTGATGCGTCCAATTGCAGTCTGGCATACTGAAGCTGTTTACTGGAGTACCCTTCCTACTGTGAAGGTGCTTCAAGGCCTGCATTGGCAGGAAGTAAAGAACTCCAAGCCTTTAAGGTACTTTTGGTATGCCTTCACAGGCATGTCTTTGTACGAAATTATTCCTGCCTATATCTGGCCGTGGCTGAATTCAGTTTCTATTCCGGTATGTACTTCCGAGCTCCTAGAGATACTTGGACTTGATGGATTTAATCCAGCTCGATTTTATCTCCTGGGACTTGTTGCATTCGCCTATTTTGACTCAATACTGACTGTATATTATATAGTGCCTAGCATCTATGAAGGCTACAGGAAATAAGGCTTCCATTCTTACAAATGTATTTGGCGGAGCTACCAACAACGAAGGCATGGGACTATTTACAATCAGTTTCGACTGGCAATACGTAAGAAAGCACTCTCAATCCTTAAACCACTCCATAAGCTAACGCTGCGGCGAAGATAACTTCGTTCCAAACTTCCCTCCCCTTGAAGCTCCAACTCCACCAAGCTACCGGATTCTTTGTGTGCTTCATATGTATGGTAGCCATATATTACGGAAATGGCTGGAATTCGAGGAACCTTCCGTTTATGTCGACACATCTCCTTATGGAGAATGGCACAAAATATCCTGTTGATAGTGTCTTCCCAGATGGACTTCTTGATAAAGCTGCCTTGGCAGAGTATGGTACTCCCAAATTGACAGGTACATTTGCCTTTGCCATGCTCATGGCCAATGCTGCAGTAAGTTCATTATTCTTATCTCTTTCTCTTTCTCTTTATTCCGTTTTCATCACTTCCGAAATACTTATATACTTACCTTTACACAGATTGGTGCACTAATTCTCCATTGTATTCTCTTTTGGGGAAAGGATATCATGCGAACGTACAAAAGTGCAAGAAAAGGTAGATATGATGATCGTCACCATGAACACATGGAGAAACACTACAAAGAAGTACCATGGTGGTGGTATGGGATAATCCTTCTTCTGAGCTTTATCCTTGGGCTCATTGTTGTCCTTAAAGAGGACATTAGTCTTCCAGCCTGGGCTTATATTGTTTCCCTAGTCATTGGAACCATAATTGCACCATTTGTGAGTCCCCTATGGCTTTCAGTGATCAAATAGCTCTAATTAATTTACAGAGCACTATACTTTATGCCCGATATGGTAATGGTATCGCTACCAACAACCTCTCAAAAATGCTGGCTGGCCTTATGCTCCCTGGACGTCCAGTTGGGAACATGTATTTTGCTGCTTGGTCCCACAACGTCATTTCAAACGCAGTCAATCTATCCAATGATCTCAAGATGGGTGAATACCGTGAGTTCTATAGCCGCATCCCTAGAGATCTATTCAAAAACTAATTTGTGATTCTAGTCAAAATTCCCCCTAGAGTCATGTTTCTTACGCAGATTTGGGGCACTATGCTTGGCGGATTCATCAACTACGCTATCATGATCTCCATTGTGTCTAATAATGCTGCGCTTTTGGCCAACGGCAATGGAAACTCATCATGGAGTGGTGCGACCCTCCAAGCTTTTAATACCAACGCAGCATCTTGGGCATTGGCTCCTCATATATACAAAAGAGGTACACAGTATGAGATGGTACCTATCGGTATTGCAATTGGTGCAGGAGCAGTTGTTGTACATCGCCTATTTTATCAAGTAAGTATCCAGATGTCTCCATTCGAGCTACATATTGTCTACCCGAATACTAATATATCGGCTTTTTCAGTTCTTCCCTAAAGTCCGCGGGTTTGACGTTTCAGAGATCAACTTGCCTCAGTTCATTCAATATGCTGGTTACATTCCGTACAATCAAAGTCAAACGTGTGTCATCGCTTCTTGGGTGATCATTGGCTTCTATGTCCAATACTACCTGCGCAATTATCGCCCGCGCATCTTCAAGGACTACTCATATCTGGTCGCTGGCGCCTTTGATGGTGGTAGTCTTACTATCATGTTCATCCTGTCATTTGCAGTCTTTGGGGCTGCTGGTGTATCGCATTCCTTCCCAACATGGTGGGGCAACAATGCAAACGGGAACTATGATATGTGCCCAGTGTCAGATTAAGTATTCTATTGTGGTTGTATTTCTGTGAAGTTAGTTCAGATAATAGCTCGAGCAGTTTAATCATGAATTTTAATAAACTCCACTCATACTATACAAGAGCAAAGTCAAGGTGGTCAAGATAAGGAGCGGTTAAGGGTGGTTAGAAGCGGGCGGGTTATCCGAGACGTTGTCAAATTTCTGATCTTCATGCTCTCTGCTATTAACTGCGACAACTAACTAGTTAGTTATTTACTTTATTTGTGCTTGTTAATTATCTATTACATATTGTAGTGGGGAAGGAGTATCCCCTTAGTATTATGGGTTATGAAGGCGGTGTGATGAGCGGTCAGAGTAGCGGCGGCAGTATAGTTGGCGAGGATGGGACTTCGTCCCAGACCATCATGCTTACATCTACCTTCATTTCCGGGATATTCTGTTACGGAGTCTCATTCCCCTACTGTTAGTGCAGTTCCGACACCTAAGTTCTAGCTGAATCGACCTGTGCATTTCGACTGCACTGCCTACGAGCGTTCCCCGTATCAATATTTAATGACTCAATTGGGGAGTCGATTAGGAATTGACCAACTTAATAGTACTGAAATGAGAAATGATTTTCCCATACTATTTACTCCATATCTAGACATTATAGTTATATGCTAGTACTTTGACATACTTTCACTGTCACTGAGTTTTCATTTTATTCTGAAGTATTCACTCAAATTTCAATTGGCAGCATGCTGAAGAATTAGGAGGGAACTTCCCAGCCATGGGAACATCGTTAGCGGTCATCCAACACGTTCATCATCAGTAGCATGCCAATGGCTCTATTTACTGGTATGTGATGAATTTAATTGGGGCGTTCTTCCAGTTGGATTACTTTTCGCCTCGATCCAAGGACCTAGCATGATCTTGGCTCCGCTGGTCAGATATCTGAAGGATCGAGTTGGCTCGCAGACTCCCACCACAATTGACTTCATTTGTCAAGCGCCATTCTCCTAGTTTCTTAGAGTGGCTGGAGATCCCCGTTTTCCGAGGGCCTTGGGAGATAAGAGGAAGAATAATTTTAGTGTTTACACCACTTCAATCGGGAGTCTTTGGGATCGCTCAATGGTGTCGGTACAATGCAAGCCACTGGTATGTATACTGTTCCACATCCACAATGCAGAATGGAAAACTTAAATATAAAGAAACTATCGAGGAGCTAGAGGCTCCTCAGCCTAGAATCTTTGGGTTGAACGGAGGTATTCACGAGCTATCTCTGTTTCAGGCATGAATTGGATCACCGGTCTATCAATTGGACCTATTCTGGCTGATTTTATGATCGAGAAGTTTGGGTTAGTTATTGTTAACAATGTGTATTATGTAAGTCTTCAAATTCTTGGGGTCAGTCAGTCATAGATTTGGTCGCTGATCTGAACGGGTGTGGTATCTCTGGTGGGCTGGTGGCGGGCTTCATTCAATTTCAATTCTGCTCGTTCAAAGTAAGTTGCTGTGGGAACTCCATAATAGGTGAATCAATAAGTTGAGATATTGTTGATATGAGAGAAAAGTGTGAATGTTCGTTCCAGAACATCATGAGCTGAAGTCAATCCTTGTACTATCCGCATGACGTCACTAATGCATCCTGCTTAATATCCACTTCCAACTTCAATTCCTCTTTCTCTAAGCTCTTCATCTTTTATAATTTATCGTTAGAATGGAATCTCTTGCCCTCCTCCGCCGTGGTCGCAGCAATGAGCTGAACAGACTTGCTAGTGAGCACCTAGAGCACGATCTGCAGCCCGAAGATCGCGACAGGCTTAAGTCCGCCGCTTCCAAGATATCCCTGTGGACAACAGTTGGATCAGCAGTTGGCGTCAGCCTTGGTCTATTTGCTGCAGTTCGATTGCGCAACACACGCAAGGCATTCTTCGCTGCAGTTCGCGCGCAAGAAAAGCCAACCAAAGTGGTTTTCGCCGACGGCCGCACTGGTAAGTATCAGAAAGCTCTCTTGCGGATAAATGCAATTACTAATTTGATGTAGAAGCGATTCCTGACCTGACCCCTCTACTAAAACCTACTGCCCTCGGTGATTTTGCGACTTACTTCTTCGCCTCGCTTGGTGGACTTTTCCTTGGTGGAGAGCTCGGTAAGGTCCTCTTACATCGCAGCAATGGTGAATTGCGCTGATTTCATTTCTATGCAGGTTTCGCTGGCGGTGCTGCTAGTGGAAGCAGCAGCTTTTCTGCCGATACAGAAAGCAGGAAGCGTATCGATAAAGCCTTCCGGGCGTTCCGAGCTGATGTTCTGAGGAAAGAGGCCGACGCCCTGGACCAAGGCTCCAACATCATATTTTAATCACGGATCTACCTTGTATACTCATTAGGGTGGAGTGATGTCATATTCAGGCATATGAAATAGAGCTTGGTCTTCCGAATATTCACTTCTGTCATGCTTATTTCAATCTTTAGACAATTATTCATGACATATTTCTTTGTTGCTGTGATCTACGTACGTGATAGGCCGTATTCACCAGGAAACCAACCCACGGTGAAACAGAGTCAAGACCAGGCAGTCCTAGAGAAGCGGCACTAGAACACCTTATCTACCTATACGCGCCCTCGTGCCTACTGGTTGAAGTCTTCATTTAAATATACCTATGTATTCTATTTGGTAGTTTTAATCTATCAGAAACTCTTATTGAATTAGCATAAGCAGCCCTAGACCGCGAACGAGAAAGTTGACATCACCTAAAAAAATAAATGGCAAGCCATAGTGGCTACTTCATAATGCAACATGCTCCCCAAAAAAGGCCTAGAAGAGTCTAAAGGTTTCTGTGCCTACCTATACCTAAGTCTTACTAGATCCAGAATTTGTGGCTATATATTCAGTGGCTCTATTTTCGATTACGAAACATACCGTGGTGTTGTTTTAGTTCTTACTATTGATACCAAAGTTCTTATAAACGAAGATAGATCAGAGTGTACTAGGCCCATTTTCAAGGGCATATTCAATTGTACGTTTCTCTAGAGAACTAGACCTAAATACGACTGGATAAGTAGTCGCATATTGATTCTGAACAGTGGGAGCAATACTATATCGAGTCGACCTCGATCCAACATCGTGTATATACGATCACAAAATTAGAATATCTAACTATAGGTGTACTCAGATAGTTAATGTATCTAATTTCGGTAATATATTATAATCTACCGAGGGATCCATTCAACGGTGTGAGATCCAGAAGTTATAGTATCGCCATCCTTCATACCAGGCCAACCATATAGTTAGGGTTAACGTACCACCAATAGTAGTTGTAGGCGCTTTATTGGATAGAAGGCCAAGAAAAGATATAGGAGATCTGGTATCTAGGTAATAATGAATCGATTCTTTATTTGCCCTTGATCATCCCGACGTCGAAAATAAGTAATCAATGCAAAGCTCCGGTGCTACTCTACCATTACTCTACACAAGCAAAAAGTCCAAGAGTCGAGGTCTAGACCCTCCTATATAGGTATGGTTTTTAAATATCAAGGTAGGCAGGATATAACGAAGCAAACAAATTGGCTGGAACCGTGGAATAGTGTGAGTGAAATATGGGAAGAGGAGTCAGCCCCCTGCCAAGAGTGACCTTCCAGAACTTTTTGACCTCTGCCACATCAAAAGATCTTGCGTACTTTTCTACGCATGATTTGCGTCATGAAGTGGCATAATAGTTTGATCTATTCAATCTTATCTTTGCCTCTATTACCAAGTGAAGTTAAAGAAATAATTAGAGAATGCTGAATTCAGGAATAGTACAATCCACGGATGAAATATCAATATAATTGGGTGAGTCCCCACTATATTCTAGAATTGCAGAAAAAGATCCACTTATCTACTATAGCTGACTAATCACACTACTTATAAATCTGCTCGATCCAATTAGTCCAATTTTTCCAAAATCTCTGGGACTGAAGAATGCCACGTTTTTATTCTTCTTTATATGCTTTGTCTCTTGTATCAAGTACTCAATGATATATCTAGAGTCAGAGTATATATTAGTCAGCCAATCACCTACTAAGTTTACCATTCCATGATTAGAACCAAGAAACCTTTTCATTTCAACACTCCACTCTTGTATACGTATGCACTCCGTAGTTAAAACTGACCAATCCAAGAAGGTCCACGAGTATATGAAATCATTATACTACGTAGACTATCAAGGCCCACCCTTGCCGAATTAGCAAATGCTCTTCTCTCAATTCTATTTAGATATTATGATTCAAAGTTAGAATTGCGGATTTGACACTTGTCAATGAACTTGTCAGCGCAGCCCTGCAATTAAACCAGTGACTGTATGGCAGTACAGAGAATGGTTCAATGAGGTACTGTCCGACGGCCCGAGGTGAGACTATGGAGAGTCAATAGCTGTCGTCGGGTTTTCAATGCAGGTACGGAGTACTACCGGCAAGTACTACCGGCAAGTACTCCGTACAACTATACAACCACACAATCCGATCAATCCGCAGAAGAAGAGGAAAAAATTAATTCATTCATTCCATATTACAAGCCCTTTGTACGAGGATATACCAGCCAATTATGATATCTACCGTTTCCATACTTGTCGAACCACGGATCTCCTCTTCCCGATCCCGATCTTAGTGCCCAATAGTTTCACTTTCTTTTCAGCCACTATCCAATTGCGCCATGTCATACGTCAAATATTGGGCGCAGGCCCTCCTAGAACATCAAACGCCTTCAAAACCTTTCCCCTTCTCCGCCATTCAGCGTTGGCCACGCTCTCCTGCTCCCTATCCGTGGTTTAGTAGCCAGGAACCAGGAACAATGACTTATGGATGTATTAGTCCAGCCTAATCAAATGTAGGCCGCCAGATTTTTTATTCATGCACAAGTTATATAAAGGCCTTGACTTGGCCGCCACTTTGTTCTATTTTTCTGTCCTACACACTCTCTTTCAACAGAACTTCACTCCTTCCAGTTCTAAGAAGTTTCAAACTCCTGTCATTCCTTTCTACAAGTCGCCTTTCAAACTTGTCTAACTATCTTTTTTTTATCTATACCATATACCTTCTTTGTGAAATACTTTTGTAGTCTAGACTCTACCCTCCTTTTATCCATCATGCATTTCACCAAGTCTCTTTTGCTGCTGGCAGCTCTCACCACCGGTGTGCTTTCTCGCGCCGAGGGTCACCAGCGCCGTCAGGCTACCAATGGCTCTTGGTCTGATATCCCCTCCGATGGTGTCTACTCTACCGATGGATTCGGTAGCAGCACTTCCTCATCCGGCTCCGGTGACACCTACACCGGCAACATTGGCAACCCTTATGGTAGCAACATCATCTCTGTATCTGCCGCCGATGCCAGCAAGTACAAGTATGTTGTCCAGTTCACTGGCTCCGACACTGACGACTGGACTGTCGTCATCTGGAACAAGTACAGCTCAGATGGTACGATGGACGGCTGGTACGGCAAGGCCTCCACCACCTTCACTCTGTCCGCTGGTTCCACCGTCTACTACGCCTTCGATGAGGATTCTCAGGGTGGCTGGGCCGCAGGCAAGGGTACCACTATCCCCACCAACAGCCTGGGTAGCTACGCCTCCACCTGGGGCGAGTTTGACTTCGGCTCTACCGTCAACAGCGGCTGGTCTGGCTTTGATGTCTCTGCCATCCAGGCCCAGCAGGCTAATATGAAGGTCCAGGGAATGAAGATCTGCTCTGCTCTTAGTGACGGTACTTGTTCTTCAATTACCTCCGACGGCACTGCTAGTAACGCCTATACCGCTGCCGAGGCTGCCATTGGCGGTATTGGTGGCAACTATCCTGCTGGTCCCCAGCGCCTGTCTGCCATTATTGACTACAGCGGGTAAGTGTTATTGAAGATTGAAGGAATGTAAATGGAAATGTTGAAAATAGATATGCTTTTTATGAGGACTCATGTTGTACGCTGGTATTTTACCAAATCCTTTCTTTCTCTTGTCTATATAGGGATTTGAGGCTGGTCCTTCTTTTACGTTTGATGTCTCAGGGTTGAACCCAGAATTACAAAACTGTCATGACATCTTGTTTTTTATTATTATTATTATACTATGTAAAAGTACTTAGGGCTAGGGCGGTTATGCGTGTGATGTGACACTATGAGCGAATCGCCACATAATCTGTCCACGTAATCTGTCAGGCGAACTCGTCACTCAGACTAGTCAGACGCATAGACACATAACAATAATGAGATGCCAAATATTGTATTACAAATATCCAATTGGCGCCCTCAGACTTGGCGCAGACAACTGCTGCACTCGGTAAGGATCAATCATTAGCCAAGAGGGCAATCTACAACAAATAGGAGAGCCACAATAGTTGATATTGTTTTAAGCTTAATATATGAATTTGAGGAACGGTGAGCTTCTGCATGCCCAGGTGGAAAGCAGGGCAAGATGAATCGGAGACCCCTCAGGAGTCATGAATATCATCCATAGCTACAGGCATCTTTAGGATTCCTCTAGTTCGCATCTACCAGTCCTAGTGAGCTTTGAAATTTTGAGTATTTGATTCCGAGATCTTCATAAGCTAATAAAAGATATAAATAATTATTGATGAGGGTCATTTCTGCTATATCAATTTCATATCATAAAGTTCCAAGGTTCTATACCTGATTAATTCCGGCGAGGACCAACAATCACAAACATATCCAAAGGCTTCGTACTGAAGGCACCATTAGCGTGAAGATTATAGTTCTTGTCCTCAAGCTCGAAAGACACGTCCTTGAGGATATTGGCCAGAGTGAAAAATGACCATTCCCACGCCCACGCCTTGCCGATACACTCGCGCTTCCCGTTCCCGAAGCCCTTCTTCGCCGCTGCAGGAAGCTTGTCCCATTTCTCGCCGAGCACTTGTTCCGGTCGGAAATCTTCTGGGTATTCGAAGACAGCTGGGTCTCGGTTGACGGCGTGCAGTACGGCAATCAGGGGCTGGTTGTGGGGGACGTTGTACTCTCCACCACCTAGGACAACAGGGGCTTTATCGCTAGACGGTATGGGCTCGATGTTGAAGCCCGGTGCGGTCGCTGACAGTCGGATCGACTCGCGGAGGATGGCCTCGACGTAGTGGAGTTGTTTCAACTGCGTGAGTTCGATCGGGCCATCTCCAACTATCGAATCGATCTCATCGGTGGCTTTCTTGATCTCGCTCGGGTTCTGTGCAAGATAATACATCGCATAGGTGATAAGATTGGCAGCAGTGGCAGCACCGATGAAAATTGTGACGATCTCATCTAGAACTTGTGAATCCTTGAGCTTCTCTCCGCTCTCCGGGTCGACGCCGTTCAACAGTGCATCCATCATATCCTTGCGTGCAAGGTCTGGGTTACTATTCCGATGCTTGACAGCATCAGAAGCGTAGGCGCGCATGGTCTTGGTGAAGTCGGAGAACTTGCGCCCGTAAAGCCAGTTCAGTAATTTCGGGCGCGTCGGTCGCTTCATTGCCTCCATAGTCGCACCCTCCCAAGCCTGTACCATCTCCCAGGCCTTTTGCTGCGTTTGATCCTTTTCACCCAAAACATGTACGCGCTGGTTGAAAAAGCACTTCATGCATGAGGCCAGCAGCAATAAATCCAGATCATCCGACACCTTAACACGCTGCTTTGACGCAGAGGCCCACTTCTTGGTGATGTCCGGGACGACGTCAGCCAAGTCGCTAAAGTTGGCATCGGTCGCTTCTTGTGTCACGTACGGCTTCATGATGCGATGGGCGATGCCCCAGCTCTTCTCATCGTCATAAGCAGTAAAAAGGCTGTCATGCACTGCATATCGAATCTCCACCACAGGACCAGTTACGCACTTGCGGAACCGTGTCTCATCGCAGATTTCTGTGAGAAGCGCGACACTGCCAACAAAAACGATTTGGTGACCCAGCACATTGATCTTGAAAATCGGACCTATAAGGAAGATTAGTGGCGGTTTCGGAGGGGTAAATAGAATCAAAGTACCGTATTCCTTGGCTAACTTAGCCAGTGAGTTCCATGTCTCATTGGGGTTGACATCAAAGATATTTCCCAGAATTGGGATACCAGGCGGCGCGGGTATTCCAGACATGATGGGAATATAATAAATAAAAGACGAAGAGCAGAAAAAGAGGGTGAAGAGAAGGTTGGAAGGGGGGGGGTGAAGCAAGCTTGAAAAGAGACTCATCTCAGCTGAAGGACATGGTATCCGACAGATCAGATCTTCACCAATCATTGGGGTAAGAACTCGACTCCATCGTTCGGTCTAGAGAAGATCGGCATCGAGATGTAATTGTGCAGATTAGCGAGCGCCGATCTGTACTCGATCAGCGATTCTGGATCAATGAGCTTCATCAAAATTGTCAGCTCTCCACTTTGGCTTGGTGGCACTGCATTTCCCTGCTGAGCTGTTCTTGACCGGTTTTCCATGGTGGTTCATTGCTGATTTCGTATGGTCATGGGATATCCATGGATAATGTTTGCTGTTGACAGGTGGGATGAAATTGAATTGTTGAAGTGGCTGGAATGTTGAAGATCCCAACCTCATCCGTTCTCGTATAATCCCTGCCAACTACGTGGACTTTGCGTCAACATCAAGAGATCTGTCATAGGCAATTTACAGTAGTATTTGTATTGTATGACGTACATGAGCTATATATCTTATTCTCATAATCGATACTCCATACTAACCGACATAATCAGTGATCATCTCTTACATCTCATCTTTCCGTGTCATTCTCTCATACCTACAGGCATGACAGAAAGAATGTCTCCTTGCCACCGGATCCAGGGTTAGTGACCTCCATCGGAATGCTATTTATCTGAAGTTTCCCAATCATATCACTCGTAACCGTAGAAATAAAGATTGTCAATGCATTGTGTCATGGCTTGAAGCCTGTGTCAAGAAGTAGGAGAGATTGAGTTGGGTTAGTAGCTTAGTTGATACATGTGTTCTTACCATAAATCTGGAAATATGCTGAGAAAGTTTTGTATCTGGTTTTAGCCAGTTTCCTTTTACATGTGTAGAGCCATGAATAAGTCGTTCTCCAAAGATTAAGCTCCTCAGCTGATCAAAATCCAGATATTTGCTACAGCGGAAAGATCAAGACGATCTAGATGTGCGAACTGAAGGCAGTAAATAGTCTCGAGCAGCTTCTTAAATTGTAGACCCTTCCATTTTGTTGGAGATAATTGTTTGAGAATAGAAGGCGTATATCGTGTCACAAGGAGCTGGAGGCATAATACTGCAGGTATATAACTTCAAATATAAAAACAGATTCTACGTCTGAGGGTTTAGTATATCTCGTCGTAAGTTGAATAATAACCGTCATCTACGCCAGTTAGTTAGTTACAGGTTACATAAGTGATTACCCACTTTATCCAGAGTCCAGACTATTACCGTATTGCTGTTAGTTAATCTCCACCAGTCTCTAGTGTCCTCTCAGGATCAATCATTTTGTCCACCACTTTTCATCAGTTAGCGACTATAGAAACATCTTCAGAAATTCCCTTGAGTTTTATATAAGGATAATTGTGGCTAAGCCTTAATGAGGCCTCTAGGCCTTTAACATGGGTTGTCACCTTTGCTGAGGCTCTAGTGGCGGGATATGGCCTAAATAGGCAATCCAAATTCACAAATTCTGGAGCTGATTCTGGATTAAATCTGCTTGATTATTCTTCACAAATCAAGTAGGTAAGAGTTTGGACGTATTATCTGGTTTCTAGAACTTTTGTACTTGGTGCTCCATATCTATATACACCACCTCTGTCCATTCATATCATTTCTCTTTCTCAGCTGTATCCATAATCAAACCACCTTAAGACCCACCAGGATAAATCTCGGGATCCTCCGGGTCAGGTGGAGCTTTCGCGCCGTAGCTCACCAAGATTAAATTACGGACACAGACCGAGCATTGATTAGATTCAAAAGCACTATCGAGGTAACTTCCTTAGACCTCGGCATGCCGCATATGTCAAACTTGAAACAAACTAAAAACAAAAAATCTCATCGCTCATCTTGGACACTGTCCCGGGCTGTTTGAATCCTAGTGCGCCCAGGTTTTCCTTAGTCGCATGGATGAAGCCTGGTGGTCCACACAGTAGAATCTTGGTGTCGGGTGCTGGTGATGGGAGACGCTCGGCCAGTGTAGTCTGGTTCACGTAGCCTGTTCCGTATTCCCAATCTGCTGGTGCGCTATCTAGAACGTACCACAGTTTAAAGTTTTGGGGATAGCGACGAGCAAATGTCTCTAGTTCCTTTCGTAAGAGGATATCTGACTCCGAGCGGTTGGCGTAGATTAGACTGATCTCCGTTGTGTCGGTATCGTTTTCGCAGATTGCTCGGATGACTTGATACATGGGTGTGATGCCTGTGCCACCAGCCACCATGCCTATTCTGCGGCAGAGGTTGAGAGTGTAGCGCATTGAGCCCTTGGGGCCTCGGAAATCCACTTCAGCGCCAATGTTGAGCCTGGCAAGATATTTGCTGAGTAGCCCGTTGTCGTAGCTTTTCACCACAAGCTCGAGACGTCCGCGGTCGAGGTTGTTGGAAACGGGCGTGTAAGACCTCGTCACTGCCACTCCATCAATCATGGCTTTGACTGCGACGTGCTGTCCAATGGGTAGACCAAGAATACCATTCACCGTGGGAAGAGCAAACACAAAACGGTACACATTGGGGGACACGAGCTCTTTCTCAACTAGGGGAAGGGATTGATATTTCTGTGCAACAAGGAATCCGCGGGCCAGGTGAGGATCGGCTCGAACCACACGCTTTACCTTAATATGGGGCGGGTATCGCATGAAGCCAGATTCAATCTTTGTGAAACTGCTCACTTGGCGAGCAACCATCACACCAATGACTCCGGAAATCATGCTTGCAGCGAGAAATCCATTCACAAATCCACCGCGAGGTAGACTGAGGCTCTTCAGCTGATGAGAAAGCAGACTGGAAATGGCCTCCAGACCTTGTGCAAAGCGAGAATTGCCTGGACCGCAGACGTACAGAATTGGTAGCACAGCTCCTAGAGTGCCAATGATCAGGCTGGCATTGTTGGATGATTTGATCTCATTCAGTGCTTCCCGGGATACCACACGGACAGCCTTAGGGCGCACATATTGCTGGGCATCTTTAAGAGTGCCGACCTGAAATGGCTCCATGATCTCGAGAGCATCATCCGAATGCCCAACATCTTCATATTCAGCCGTTGCATCGCTACCTGCAGTTTCAAGCAGAACGTCTGCCCCTCCGGGGTGATCTTCTACATATTCTGTAATATCGAAAACTTGAAGCTTGTCAGAATATCTGATACTCTGAAGTTCCTTTTTTAACTTCTCTCTTACCTTTTCCATGTATCACAATCCATACATCACCCTTGGTGTTATGTGCTGCAACTTCCTGCAGACTGTATTCTGGCATCTCGACTTCAAGCTCCGACATAGTCATGATGTCGTCTAGGTATGGATAGAAATGTTGAACGGGGAGAATCAAGGTCCTCTATTGAAACTTACAGATCATCCACAATTAAAAGCCCAGCCAACGAAACATGTTCGAATAATGATTTCATAAAATGTACCAGCCCCTATTATCCCGTTATCCATACATACACTTCAAGTCGTACCTCGGGATAGAAATACCTCATACTCGGTGGGTCTCAAACCACTCGGGGTTCGGCCATCTTAAAATTTTCAATCTCAAGGCCGAATCCACATCAAGCCGAAAGCACAGAAAGGTTCCATAGACGTGGGTGAAGATGTTTCCAATTGCTAACGGAAAGTGCGGCGGATTGCGGGTCCTTGCTGATCATATCTTATATTAGAATCGCGCCGTGGATTCTAGATTTGGAACAGTCAAAGTACCGAGGCATTGCAGTTTCATTTCAATGCCTTACATTGCTGTTGAGTTTTTTTTATGAATTTTTCATTCCATTAAGTTAGAAGTTATGTTTATCAAGCGTTAGAGTGGAGTTCTCATTTACTAATAACATTGCCATTAACTACCACTGTAATTGTTTATTCCGTTTAAATAAACTCGGTGTCATCGAGTAGTGCGCCTTTTTTTTGAAATCATTTAGTTTATAATGGCTGTCAAACAGTTCTACTTACTGGGTGAATCCAGTACATCACCTCGAAGTATCGAGGTGGAACCCACTCTCGACTTTGAAGGCATTCAGCATCTCATCGCCGGCAATTTCGCAGTTGTAGAGCCAGATGGTAAGATCAAATCTCAAAGTAATGGACTTCGACTAACTAGTCAACAGGGGTGGGCTTCCAGTCTGAGGATTCATCCTTGTACACCGTCTCAGAAATCCTCTCCAACGAGAAATCCATTGCTATCACGATAGATGGCAAGGCTGTGCGAGAAATCCCCGGTCCAAAGGGTCTGCCTTTTATTGGAAACTACCTTGAAGTATACCCCGATCATCTGGGAAACCATCAACGTCTTTTCGAAACATATGGTCCCATTATCCAAACGACCAACATGGGCCGCACAGTCTACCAAACGAACGACCCCAAATTGTCCTTGATTATGTTCGCCGAGTCAGATTTCTTCACCAAGAAAATTAATGAGGCGCATCCCCTGCATCCCATCAAGAATATTCAAGCAGGTGTGTTCTTGGGAGATACTGATACTCCAGAGTGGCGTGCTGCTCACAAGTTCCTTCCACCAGCCTTGGGACCCAAGGCCGTTCGTCACTATGCTCCAACAATGCAGGCCACTGTCGAGGATTCATTCAAGGTGTTTGATCAGCTGGATGAACAGGACGAAGCCTGGAATGTTTACCAGTACATGCTAAAACTGGGTTCACAGGCCGTTGGCAAGCTGATTCTCGGTATCGACTTTAAGCATTTCACATCTCCTGATGCCCCACTACATGAGCTTGTATACCGCATTGCTGAGTCTTTGGAACTCAATAAGAAAGTGACGGCCCGTGGTGACTGGTACGCCAAGCTACCTTTTGGTGACCCAAAGCGATTGCGCGATGCGAAATGGCGCATAGTTGAGATGGTCAATGAGTCGATTGAAAACACTTCACTGGGAGGAATTGAGGATTTACCCCTTCAGGATGCTGCTCTCAAGGCATCCAACATGATTGGTGAGCCACAGATCCTGTCGTTATTGAATATCAGGCTAACTCTATAGACTACATCATTCGTGCGACGGACAAAAAGGGCGAGAAGCTTCCCAAGACCAGTCTGATGGAGGCCCTGGTGGTTGCGACTGGAGCGGGATTCACCACGACTAGCTCTCTACTGTCATGGCTACTCTACTCGGTAGTCAGCTACGAGGGAATGCAAGAACGTCTGCTGCAGGAGCTGATCGACTACGGCATCGATTCGGATACCCCAATGACAGCCGATCTCACAGACAAATTGACCTTCCTCGACCGCTTCATCAAAGAGACGCAGCGCCGCCATAATCCCTCTTACCAACCTGCCCGCACTTCCAAGGTTGACATGATTCTTCCTGGTGGTTACAGGCTCCCTCAAGAAGCTACTGTCATCCCGGCTCTGCATCATGTTCATAATAATCCAGATATCTGGGATAATCCTGCACGATTTGATCCCGATCGATGGGATCGGGATGAAGTGAAGAATCGTCATAAGGGAGCGTATATTCCATTCGCTACAGGTCCAAGTACGATTATCTTGTCAGCTCTTTCTGTTGAATCTGTGCTAATCCAGTTTTTGTTTTGTTAGGAATGTGTATCGGATTCAGCTTTGCCCTGCAGGAAGTGAAGGTTTTCCTGCCAAAGTTGCTCTATCGGTATAAATTCTCGAGAGCAGACGACAAGCCTATTGAATACGACCCGATGTTCCAGTTGATCAGACCGACCAACTTATATGTTCGGGCAGAGCGACGAGTGAAATGGCCTCTCAGGACTGAGACGGCCAGTTGATATAGGTGATTTCAAAGATACAATTCCACAATGTATCGACAACCTAGAATATTCAAATCCACACATATTCCAATTACATTACAAAACTCGCGTATTATGATGTCTTTTGCGCAGAATCTCAAAGATACAATCTCTCGGAATTCTTCCAAAACAGTGAGAGTTATGTTCATCCAAGCGCCGGAGACTTTGTAGATAAAAATCATCTCTTCCTAGCCTTGGGATATCTCTGAGATCATGTTCTTCTTTCATGAGTGCAGATCATGACTTAAGATTATTCCGAGAAACATAGATCATGGCAAATGCAATAACTGACTTGATGAAAACTAATAGGAGTTGCGCTTTGTAGAAAGCGCTTTGTCCGAGGGGATGGACCGAAGCAAGGGTAGCAAGGGATAATAACTCCACGTTAACACTCAACACTCAGAAATCCAACTTCAGTTCCTTTGTAGCTGCCATTGAACCCAGGGAATTCCTCTTACAAAATTGACAAAACTCAGGCCGAAATCAAATCAGGAAAAAAAGTGCGGGGAAGTGCTGATCATGGCGGGATCCTTTTGTGCCCCGGATTTCTCCAAATTGATCTTCCTGCACCAACGAGCTCCACACTTTCGAGCACCATTCATTATGGATCATCCGAAGCCTGATATTTTCGCGATGGAGGATGTTCATGAAGATAGTCCTGTTGCGCAACAGCAGAAGTTTACCCGTCTTTTATTGAAGTTGGATATGCGGTGGGTCGGCCCTAAAGCTCTGTTTATGGTAAATACTAATGAGTGACATAGAATTCTTCCGGTGCTATCTCTACTATTCCTCTGTTCTTTCCTTGATCGGACTAACGTCGGCAATGCCAAGATCATTGGATTGGAGGCAGATATCCAGATTACTGACCACCAATATCAAATAGGGCTAGCAGTGTTCTATCTTTTCTATATCTGCAGGTAACCTGTCATTTACTATAATTTGGAACCAAATGTTTAACTAACTGGTCCAGTGAGCTACCAAGTAACCTGGTGCTGAAGAAAGCATCGCCAAAGATATGGCTGCCCTTCCTGACAGTCACCTGGGGAATTATCACAATGTGTCTTGGCTTTGTACAGAACTATGCTGGATTTGTGGCTGTGAGGGCACTTTTAGGAGTTGCAGAAGCTGGCTTACTACCAGGCACGGTATGTAATTCATTATGTCCGTTTTGTATGGGTCTAATGGGGTTTAGGTACTGTACCTGTCTACTTTTTACAGACGAAAAGATTTGGCTTTACGCATTGGGCTGTTCTATACAGCGGCGTCTTTGTCGGGTGCTTTTGGTGGTAAGCTATCTTTCCCCTATCTATCTATGGGTGCCAAATATAACCCTGGAAACGCAGGTCTCCTCGCAAGAGGGTTGGCAGAAATTGCTCCTAGAGGCGGATTAGAGGGCTGGCGCTGGATCTTCATTATTGAAGGACTTCTGGTAATCAAATCAATCGGAAGTAATATTGGAAATCTTCTAACGGTACAGACCTTTTTATGTGGTGTGGTGAGCTTCTTCGTTCTTCCGAACGCGATGAATTCTGCGAAATTCCTAACGGCGGAGGAGCGTGAGCTCGGACGTGAAATGTTGATGTTGGATCATCCCAAGCAAGAAGAAGGGTAGGAGTCTTAGAAAGTCGCAATACACTCTTTGCTAATTACAGCAGTTCCGTGACTGCACATGAAGAGTCATTTCAATGGTCCGAAGTACGCCGAGGAATTCTAGACCCACAAGTCTGGCTCTCTGCCAGTACATATTTTGCTATTCTTGCCGGTTTGTATTCATTTGGCTTATTTGTATGACCTTTTCTGGAGATCTGGGAGTGAATGTATTGACATGTTTATAGCTACCAACTATCATCAAAAATCTCGGGTTCGCCAAAGATGCCAACGAGGTCCAATTATGGTCAGTGATACCATATGCCGTTGCAGCCGTCATCACAGGTAAGTTAAAGACTCCAAACTCGAGATCCAGACAGAACACTCTGGACTAATTAAAGCAAAGTTGTTGTGGCATTCATCTCGGATCGCCTGAGACTTAGAGGAATCGTCATGCTCTTCACCCTCCCTATTGCGATCATCGGCTATGCAGTCATAGCCAGCGTTGATCATCCACATGTGCAGTACGGAATGACATTCCTTATGGCAACGGGCTTGTATGCAAGTGTGCCCTGCGTACTAGTGTGGCTGTCGAATAACTCCGCAGGGCATTACAAACGGGCAACAACCTCAGCTTTACAGTTAGCTATTGCAAATGCAGGAGGGTTCGTAGCTAGTATGTTATATTCACTTATCAACGGGACGAACACTGACATTGAGGAATAGCATTCAGCTACTCTTCTCATGAGGGATCTCAGTTTCGTCGCAGTCACATCACTATTCTTGGACTACTTGTTTTTGCGTGGTTCATGTGAGTAGCTGCCATCATAACACGTATTTGAGGTCGCCTTGGTACTGACTTTAGGGCTGTCACAGGATCTTATTTAATGTGCTTTATTGCGCGAAAGTTAATCGCGATAAACAGAGCGGAAAATATGATTGTTTCGTTGGATATAATGATGATCGAAATCCCGAGTTCAAGTTGGTGCTGTGATGCTTATACAGCAAGTTCAATGCTCCAGTCAACTCGCCGGCAACCGTGGAGATCCATGAGTCTTCCAAGGATTCCATTGTTGATTGGAACGGGAAACTCTACCAATATATATACCAAGGTATATATCGATTTGCGTATGTAGCCCTGTAGATAGCTGGAAAGAAGAGGACCTCAACTTAGACTCACTTCTTTACACCCTCTTGCAGGCCAAGATAGTAAATGGTTACTCCCATATACAGTTGTCATTACTGTGTTGATACTTCCAAGATTCTCCGTCGGTTGACTACAGTAAATTGTTGCGGCAGCGGTTGAGACAATTAACAAGTTTTCTATTTCGAGTCACTGAATTTGAGTTGAGTGCGTGACTCAGGTATCAGGTCTATATGGAGCTTACTATGATGGCTTGATTCTACAGGTAAGATATATGAAGAGATTTTGGTTTATAGTCGCGTAAATCAACGGGCTTATATACAAGCCCTGCCGGGCTAGCTCAATCGGTAGAGCGTGTGACTCTTAATCACAAGGTTGGGGGTTCGACCCCCCCGTTCGGCTATTCCTACTACGAACCTTCGAGTCTTCTTTTTTATTTTATTCATTTTGATACATTACTTGCTATTTTTACGAAGGTTCTTATCTTACCTTTTTGCACTTTCTTTCGTTTCAATTAATAGAATCAGTGAAGATCCATAGCAGGGTGGTTAACTATAGCCACTCACTAATGAGATCATTCCATAACTAATCACTGACTACGAATTACCTTCAACGTCCAGATGATACAACGTGGAGGTATAAGTTGATGGTAACGGTGTAGTATACAAGTTGAGAACGTAATACCGGAAATGGATCATCACTATGAGATCGTAGCGGAAGAAGGAATTTTATTCGCGCCCATGAATAGGTGTATAAATATTAAACTGCAGATTCATAATCAAACAGTTACTAGTAGTTGTGGTATCAATCATCAAACAGTATTACAGGCATTGCCACTCAGGATTCAGCCTTTACAGTCTCCTCCAGTCATCAATTGACTCGACCAATATCTCTCTCCTCCTGGCTCTGAATCAAGGCACCAGATGCCTCTGCGCCATTCTCCCGAGTCGAGCGCTGCTCCGCGTTCACTTCTCCCATCTCGGGATCCCGAGTTTCAACAGCTGGGACAGCCCGATCCGCAGATCCTGGCCTTGACTGCTGCGCGGTCGCTCCAGACACGAGCGGCTGTTCAGCGTTGGGTACGGCAGCTCGCGGGTTCTTCTGAGGGCGCTTGCTAGCCTCCACGCGCGGCGGGGCCTCACCTAGCATAGGCGGGTACTTGAAGCGGAAGCCCCAAACGAAGAAGAGACGGAGTTTGGTCCAGAAACTCATCTCCTTCCACTTCTGTCGGAGGACTTCGGCGTCTTCAGCGCTGCGGGCGCGGTATCCCTTTTTGAAGGCGAAGAGCAGGAATAGAGATAGTGGGAGGAGTGTCAATGACCAGAACACTGGGAGGCCGCGCCGGGTTTGCCAGCCTGTCATCAGGCGCCGGAAACGAATCCAGGCTTCGATGAAGCCGGCGATCAGCATAACGCCTATCCATCCTAGGAGGGTGATGAGAGTTATGGCTAGCAAAGAGATTCCCCAATAGGAGGATATGAACCAGTTGTAGTCATCGTCACCGTACGAATAATAGTTGGAGTTCCCGTATGTACCGGTAGTGTAGCTTCCATCTTCATCGGTGCCATAGTTTGAAGCTACGGAGGTGTAGTAGCAGCCATTACCTGTGTAGAGGTCACTTGGGTAGTTGTAATTGCTCAGCGCAGCGAGTGAGGAGCTGGGGATTTGGGTCGGGTCCACAAAGATGTAGTCGTAGGTGTAAGTTGTTGGCTGGAAGGCGATCCTAGTATCCACTGACAGTGAGGTTGAGACAGCAGTCTTGGGGAGCAATGACTTGATCGTTTCGCTGGGATACACCGTGGCTGCAGTTGTGGTTGTCCATGCTGTTGAGCAACCGGTAGGTGCACTAAAGGTCATGTTGACAACCCAAACAGTCACTACATTGTCGTAGTCGTAGTCGTATGAATAGACTTGAACTTTCCCAGCTCCAGTAGGGTACAGTTTCTCCACAATGGTGATATCGGTATTAGAGTAAGGGTTCACAACGACGGTAGATACCGCGGCTGGGAGGGGTGTGGCTGTGGGAATGATGGCTTCAATAATACGAGTCACCTCTGGGGTTGATGTCTCATAGTAATAGTAATAATCGTAGACGGTGCTCGTAACTTCTTCGTAGTAGCCAGTTACAATCCATGGTGCAGCGAGAGTGGATGGAAGCAAAGAAAAGGTTAAAACGAGTGACAGTAGGTACACGAGCGAGTGTGAAGGTGTCATGATTAATGACCCTTGAAAAGGAACACGCCAGACGAAATGAGAGAAACTGTGTGTTCAGAGAGGGAAAATAGAAGAGTAGGTCTCCACAGAACGAATTTAGGGGAAAGAGTTCGAAAGACCCTGAGGACATGCCATGGCTTTTGAATAAAAGCGCCCAAACAACGCCTCAGACCCTAATGAAAATTGAAGACCCTTTTACCCTTTTACAAGACCGCGTGGTTAGCTTATATCCTAAAAAGGACAAGCGTGTGATAGCCACCAATCAAAAGCGAGGCTTAATCTATGGCTGAAGATGCTATTGGTTAATCAAATGAGCTAAAACTGAAATAAGAAAAGCCAAGACGCTAGAGTCTCACTCCTGTTCCGTCTTCGTACTCGTAAAACTCTGCTAGAACAAAATTAGAGAAAGAAAACATATGGAAAGTGTGCATTAGTGTCAATATAACTGAAGGAATGACAATCAATTTGAAAATTTAAGGAATGGGGATAGAAATTAATTTCGGACCCTGATAATGTGGGGTCCGAATAGCGAACTCGGCTATCTGCTCGGAACTTTACCGGAAGTTTATACTACTTAGGTACGGATACAATACCGTCCAAAGGCAGATTCATGCTATTGAAATATGGAAAGTAAGAGAGACCTTGGTGAATGTGAAAAGGCATAACTTCATAGGCAAAAGACAGATTGCCTTGTCATGTATAGAAAAGATGAGAACAAAAGCCTTGGCCACTGGCAGGCTGGATGTCAAACCGGTACTCCGTGTAAAAAGTAGAGAATAAAGTATCACCTGTCAATGAGTCAATATAGACAAGCAGTCCCATCTTAATTGGCAGCTCGTAAAGCGCGCAGTCGAGCTCCTAATCCATCCTCGACATCGGCATCTACTTTAACTTGTTGGTCCTTGACCTCGTTCTTCGGAGCCTGATCAGTATCGAGCGCCATCCGCATATCAACACCTGCGTCATCGGCCAACTGCTCCATCAACCGATCAACTTCCGTCTCCCCCTCAGCCCCATACTCCTGCATAGATACACCCTGCGCCACATCATCAATAGCGGCACTCGCAATCTTGAAATCTTCTGACCGAGCCAGGAAGTTATTTGCATGCGCGACCAAATGTTCCAAGTTGACACTCTTTGATGCTGCGTCGAGGCCCCTTGAGGCGAGAGCCAGTGTTCGTGATGTGTCGCGTGTGCTCTGGGCCGCTTTCAGCTCGTTGATGATCACATCGGAGCGAGCGGCTTCGGATTTAAGGGTGACTTGGCGCCGCTTCTCACGAACGGCGGAGGCGGCATGGATTCGGGCAATCTGGAACTCGCGGTTCTTCATTGCCTTGTCCGCTTTAGCTTTCTCGGACTTGTAAGTTGCCTCAGCACGCGCGGCTTCCTTTTTCAATCGGTTGGAGTGGAGCTGGAGGGGTGATCAGCGAGGGCTCCGAGTGCGGGGTGTTTTGATTAGACTTACCTTGACATTTGTGCGGGCTTCGAAGATGGGATCTTTGCGAACCATATTGTATAAGTGTGTGGGTGGTTGAGGAAGTAGTCAGGAAGATGAGATGAGTGAGTTGGAAGTTGGAGGTGGAAAGGGAGCTGGAGAGAGAAAAGTTCAGGAAGTTCGGTGGCAAACGTCACCGCATTCAGCAGTTTAGCGTGATTTTACCAAGCTGGTCAGAGCGTTTGTTTTTCAGCATTCGAGTATTCCATGAGTGTTTCAGCATTCAGTATATTCATTATTCCAGTTCTGATTGCTGTAAATAGTGAGAGTTGAATTAAACTTGGCCTGCGGGGTTGCCGATGCACAGATCAGCAGCATGGCACCAGACATAGCATGCATATATATACTCCGGAAGATCTAAAGCTACACAGATTACAAAACTACTTCACACGTACGAAAAACTTATGATAAAAAAGCCGGTCAATTTTGATTCGAGGCTTAAGCAAGAGATAGAATTATTGTACAGCCTAACCGTGGCAAAAGCCGAAAACCCCGTTCATAAATGTTTGCCCATGAGCAGAGACGTAAGAGTCTTGCTAGGGTCTGAACTCCAGGAACTCCTTACGCCACTCCGATGAATCTTTCCGTAAATGCGTCGCCGGCCAACTTTCCGATGTCCTCGTCGGGACGGGTCTAGACTATCAATCGCCCGGATCATAGACAATAGCGACTCCATGCGCAATCGACCCGGGGCGTCGGCCAAAACAGTCTGCGGGGAGAGGATCTGCTCACTAACCGCTAGCTGCAATGCTCTGCCCGTCGCATCTCGAAGTGGACGCGCCAAGGCTGGGCTGCATGCTAGCAGGCGGGTGAGTAGTCTCATCCGGAAGACCGATCGGGTCAACGCCTTCGAGGGCGACAGACTCGGGGTCGAAATCAACCAATGAATCAAAGGGAAATGCTGATAGATCTCCTCCGTCGAGAACGTCAAAGGCAAACCCGTCTTCAGGGAATGAAGGATTTGAGTCAGTGGGAGAATCACCGTTGAATAGGCGGCGGAAGTCATCATCAGAAAGAGGAGCGGCAACATCATTGTTAACCGGAGGTTCGAGGCTCGGTCCCAGGTCGAAGAGAGGGAGAGCACTTCCAGCTCCATCGAGGTCAGAGACGGACACTGCAGGTCGCACAACACCGCTGCAGGATGTTGTGTCACGTCAGAGACCTCAGCCAGAGTGGAAGGCTTGAGCGTCGGGGAGTAGTCGGTTGATGGGGTAGGGAAAGGAATACGCTCCATGGGGAGTTCTATCCCTTCCTGCTTGAACAGGGTCGGTGTAAGAGTGGGGGATTCGAGGGCGGGTGTTGCCGCCTTGGGAGTAGAGCTACGAGACCCGCGGACCTCTGCAGAGAGCTGAGCCACCTGTTGTGACAGGCGGTTATTCTCGGCTTCCATCTGAGTAAGTCGTTGAAGGAGGAACTGGTTTTGTTGCTCCATGCGGATCTTCTCCGTCTCTAGCTTCTCCATTTCCAATCTTTTCCGCTCGCGGGAAGTCTGAGCCGCAGCGCGGTTCCGGAGCACTCGCTCAATTCTTCGTTGTTCTTTCTCATCGTCTGTTTTGGCACGTTTTCTTCGAGATGTCAGTGAGTGTTCGATTTGGAAGCAGTGTATAAAACATACCGTGGTGGGAGATTTGTCTTAGGAACTGGGAGTTCTTGACCCCATGACTTTCTCTTTTTGGAGGGCTTCTTCTCGTCCCCCTCCTCTTCTTTTGGTATTGTCTCCGGTTCCGGGGAATCAAGGGATGTGTCTGCGGGGGAGACAGTCCAAGCGATCTCCGAAGGAGTAGCTGGTAATGAATCCAACGAATTTGTGATGTCTGTCATTTCTGTCATGATGTGGTGGGGTGTGTGTAGAGTCCAAAGGAGACTCAAGAGACTCAAGAGTCAAAGCGTTGCCTTGACACTCAAGGCCACGTTGTCATCGGAATAGAATCCGGAAACGGGAAGAGGAGGGTGAGTCAGCAAGAGTAAGATGTGTTTGGAAAGCAGAGAGAGTAGGATTCGAGGCAGTTTAAGTAGAGGCCAGCGTGGTCTAAAGGCATTGCGTACCATTTATCCCTGAAAAGTGGAGTCAAAGGGGGTGAAAACAAAGGGGGAACAGAGAGGGTACTCCGAATTGCACATAGCTTCATATGTAGTCTCAAGTACCGATACCCACTTAGTCATCAAATTACAGTACAAAACACAATGACGCCTTCGCCCCCTGGATTCCACAGTCTTACTTCAGTCTTACTTTTATATTGTCACTACACATTACACAAGTACTACCATTATGCAATATCTACTCCGTAGTGTCAATAATGTATGATGAATTATAAAATTGAATTCAGATCATCCATCTCAGCTTCAACTTCCCTTCATGACTTTATGTAGAGAGTACCGAGTACCGAGTACCGAGTACCATGACCGGAGCATACTCGTCTTGCTGAGCCACAAAATTGGAATAGGAGTTCCCCCACCTGCATAGGGGCTGTGTCCACAGTGCGCAACTCAGTGTTACTATCATTTGTGGAAATGCTGGAACTGAGAGTGGATCCTGCATCAAGGTGTGGAATGTTCGGAATGAGTATCAACCCAATTAATTCTACGCCCCTTATTATCCCTCCTTTGGAATGTACCTGGGCTCACCTGGATATGTGGACAGAGAGATAAGGAAAGGCACGCAATGAAAGGATATAGAATGATGCGGTGTAGATGTACGTCGTAGTTCGTGACCTACGCTGTATGGAGGATGAAATACACTAGAACAACCTAGACGCAGGGGCCAAAAAGCCTTGACCACAGCGGGGATATGACGCTTCAGCTGCAGATAAAGCAATATACATATGGCAATTCAGACTAAAATGAGTGAAAGTGTATTGAGTACAGATCAACTGTACAAGTCATTTATGATTTCTCTTTTTCAATGCTAACTATAGGCAATCTTATTTGTCTTGCATCATTACTATTAATAGAAGGCGATCGAGATCGCCCCCCACATGGAAATCATTGTAAATCATGGGGCGACGATGAGATACTAAATACATCGTACAATACTAAGATTAGGTAGGAACTATTTATTTTTTTTACTCCTATTACATAATATTAAATATCACTATTTAACTTAGTTACTTGTTTGAGCCTGGATAGCTGTGTTGATGATTTCAAGAACCAAAAACATAGTTGCACGCTAAACTAAACTTGGGCTTTCCTTGACGGCCGTAATAAAAAAGATAATAAAAAAAATAAAAAGGTGCAGCCTCAGCAAGATTGCTTAAGAAATATCTAAACGGAAGCCAGGCATTATGGCAACATCGCAAATGGGAAATGGCAATGAGATAGATGGCCAGCAAAAGAAAAAGAAAAAAAAAAAAAGGATTCAAAAATCAAAAATCCCTGGTCTCAAAAGATCATAAGGCAAGTATGAGTACCTAAGCGAGGTGCTCCTTAGCCTCAAAACCAGTAGCCTGGGGCTCAGTCGCCTCCAGTGCGGTGGTCTCGCTGCTGAAGAACATTCCAAACTGGTCCACGGTATATTCCTCAATGTTGTCAAAGACCTCGGGAAGCTTGCGCTTACGAGTGGATGGAACAGTGAGTTCCTCAGACATGCCGCTCACAACGTTGTGAGGACCTTCAAACTCGAGGGTCTTCTTAAAGCCACGCTTACGAGTGGCCTTCTTGGGCTTGGCCTGACTTTTCGAAGGTGCAGGAGAAGATGAGGGAGCGTCTCCGACATTAACATTGACGCCATCATTGTCGATGGCAGCATCAATTGTACCTGATTTAACCAAGGTACCATCACAATCGCTGTCATTGATACTCGCAAAGGTTCGGCGTGCCTTGTTGAAAGTCACCTGCGCGCTGCGAAAGGTGTAGCCAGACTTGGCGACCAACTTGTCCCAGTCCATCTGGGTGAGAAAATAATTAACAAAATCAGCACCAAAATGGGCTGGGGGAATGATCTCACTTTGGGAGACTTCTCATAGCAGAGGGTGGCCAGAAGAATGATTCTGGCCTCGGCCATGCTGAGGCCCAGGATCTTGGTGTCTTTTGCGGTAGTTGTCTTTGCGGTGTCCTTCACGGTGTCTTTGGAAACAACCATGCTCATGGCGTCCTTGGGGGAAGCCATCTGAAAAAAGGGATTTAAGATTCTCTGAATTTGAAAGAAGGTTAGAAAGATCTTGGGGAGTTTGAGATGATGATGGATGTCAAGGATGTGAGGTGAAAAAAGGATGGAGCAAAACACATGGAGTGGAGGTATTGACAGATTGATATCTTGATATTATCTCAAGCGAGGTATTATTTGAAAGATCTCAAGAGACTGAGAGTATGTTTGATGCAAAGATAACGAGGAAGCAGTAGTGAAAGGCTTGGGGGAATATTCGGATGCAATACATACCAAGCAGGGTGGTGTAGGAAATATCTTGAAAGTTGGAGAGCATGAGCGTTGTAAAGGGAATAAAGATAAGAACGCCGAAGAAGTGGTATTTATTGTGAGTACTGGCTCTTTGCCTCGACTATACTCGAGTATCCCAAGTGAATTTAACCCAACTTATTTGCCCCCTGGGCATTCCGTTACTTCAACCTCAGATTCCTATCTCTTCTGCGCTCACCTTAGTCTCCGTAACCAGATACCTATTTATCATGCAGATGAAATATTAGGCTGTTGGGTCTACTAGATTATGGAGGTAAGAAGAGAAGGTATATGACAAGTTGCTCAGTTTCTGCTCAGTTGACTAGGACAGTTCTTAGTATTATACTACTTCAGCCTTATGCAGGCAACACTTGACAATAAATGTTTTATAGCATGAGTATATTCACAACGCTTTTTTGGTTCATCGACACTGCGGTGATCTATCGAGTCCACTAGTTCCAACACCAGGGGAATAATATGCAGTCCCCGCACAAGAAGAAAAGAATAAGAAAGAAAACACAAACGCCGTCCATCAGTACGTGCTCATGACCGAATCATAGGTGGTATATGCAGGGAAGAAATTTTGATAACAAAGGAGACAAATAAATCAAAAGATCAGACATCTACATGTCCATATCCATTGTGTCGTCACCGGCATCAAGGGCATTTTGCCGTTCAGGGTCAGGAAGTACAACACCTCGACCACGGCCAGCAAGTAGTTCACGTCTGACTTCAGGGCCGATATCCTTGTGTCCACGGACCAGCAGCAAATCAAGAAGAGCCTCACGCTGGTCCTCGGTGATGTCATTGCGATACCGCTGAGCAAAAACCAACAAAGACTGGTGCCACAAGACGGGCAACTTGTAAGCCTTGGAATTGGCGTCCATCATGACATCTTCTGAGCCATCGGCGGCTCGGAAGCGCATGAAGTGGAAGACAAGTGCATCGATCACCTTGTATGGCAGAGCATACTTCTTCTCCAGGAACACCCGGATGAATGTGTTGACGGCACCAGTGCTCTCGAGGGACCGAGTGGACTGCTCAGCGGCAATATCACACATGCGGAGAAGGGCCGCGGCGGAGTGGAGCACAGGAATAGACACACGGGCAATCACCGAGGAGACTATATGGGCCTCGCGCAGAGAGCAAGTGCCGCTAGCTACTAGCGGAAAGAGCAGGCCCTTGAAGAAGCATGCAGGCTTGTAAAGAGCTTTACGAAGAGAGTTGTAGGTGTGGACGTTCAGCTTTTTGGTCTCGTGGATCTCTTCACGGACGCGGTCCAACAATACAGTGCCGATAAATTCTTGCGCCACATGGGGCTTAGAAGAGATAAAGATACGAGTACCAGCAAAGACGGCATTGGCAGTCCATCTCTCAGGTTGGGTGATGTCTAGAAGAGTCTGCCAGTTTGGCACAGAAGGGAGAATCTTGAAGGGCTTGGGAAGCGGGCCCGATTTGTAGCGAGAGAGAATCGTGGCGACCCTGGTTGCGAGAAGTGGTTAGCTCAAAATTGCCTTTTTTATGGCGACTATCACCTACTTCTCAAAGACTTCGATTGCCTTGGCCGGAATTTGGACGGCATCCTCAGCCAGACCACCACCGTGAATGAATGGTTGACCGCTCTCACCTGCCTGCTTGGCCTCGTGCTCTGCAATCTTCTCCAAGATCAGATCGGCAAGGTTTGTAGTCTCACCAGCCGCTGCAGGGTCCCGTGGGTGAAAGATGGGGTCATCCTCATGGTCTCCTGGCATAAACTTGTTGAACATATCAAGATCGTTGGGATCAACATCCTGCTATTCTATTAGGATCTAAATTGCTGGCTTTGAATATGAGTATCTTACCACTGCCTCGACATCCTCGTCCACCCACTCTTCATTTCCAAAGTTCTCGTCATCTGAAAGGGCCTCGTCTTCAAATCGAGAGTCAAACTCAAAGGCAGCATTTGATTTGGGTTGCATGGAGCCCATTGCAAGCTTTTGTTCGGCGGCATCTTCTTCAGCTAATTCTCGACCAATCTGGAGAATCTTTCTCGACATATTGGCATCAACAAAGCCTTGTCCACTCTCACCATTTTCATCTCCATCTTGAGACTGACGCTTGCCTTTCTTGCTGGTCTGGGTTCGGAGGTGCCCCGCGGACGTAATATCCTCTGCTAGAGGGTTGTGTCTGCGTGCAGCAGCAGCAGCACGGGAGCTGCTGACCTTAGGCATAATGAGTAGATCTTGATCTAGTTGTATCAAGAATATAGGAGATAAGAGGGTCTGGCGGGTTATATTATCATGGACCAGAGAAACAATCTGTGGGTAAATTTTGTAATCATGTGATCTAATCAATGATTTTCTTTTTCTTTTTCTGCCAGGCGGAGAGAACAACCGCCCACTCTCACCGCCTGATAAATATAGCTCACCGCCATGAGGCTGCCTCTTTTTGCCATGTAATTTGTGAACCGCGTCTTGCATCCATCTTTATTGCTCTACTGTCGTGGTCTTGGAATAATTGACGTTAGAATTTGAGACATATACTTCAGGTTCAGCACTAGAAACGCAAAACCTCAACCTATCTATTCACCGTCATAATCTCGCATCACGAAACAACCTGGTTGTGTCCGTACAACTGCACCTGTTAATTTGAATTGAGGTAGGATTCAGGCTTCCTAAAATGACTTTTTTCCAAGAACATTGGATCTACGGATCATCATGGAACCAATCTTCATACTTCTCAATAGTCGTTTACAATGACTAAAATATCTCAGATATTTGGCTATGCATTAGGCTGGTCAATTCCTCCTACAGAAAGATTCATTACTATCATTACTTCCATCATGGCATCTGGCCCTGCTCCTGGATCACCTGCACCCTCCTCCAACATCAACTCCCCCATCCTCCACCCTGGCAACGGCCTTCTCCTCAATGGCCCACTTTCTGAACTGACCTCCCGGTCCTCTCCTGCACCCACTACCACGTCTGGTCAAGGTGATGGCCCTAGCCGTTCAAAACGTAATAAGCGGGATAGTCGCAAGAAACGTGAAGCAAAGGGCCTAGACGTGGAAAGCGCTCCTCCGCCCAGGAAGCGAGCAAATGCTGCTGCTAACACCGCTATTCCAAGCTCAGACCTACAAATCTTGCGCCCACTCCTTCTTGCTGAGCCTCGTACCTCAGACCATTTTCCTCCTGGGTCTCGTCAGTTTAGTCTTGTCACTCGGAAGACATCAGATATAATTGGCCAAAGCTGGGATTTTTATGAGGTCGTGGATAAACTCACCAACAAGAATGGCTTTCGCTATAGCTATGCCATAGCCGACTTGGGGTTTCCTCACATAAAATATCGTCAGACCGATATTCGCCCCTATCATGCCCGCTTTAGCTACGAGGATTCTCCGGCTGCTATCTCCTTCTCAAAAGATGCTACGGCGGTAACTACCAGTGATGCATGGCACACTGCGCGGGCAAATGTCTGTGCTCGCGAGGGGTCTTACTACTACGAGGCTCGAGTTATCAGCGGGGTAGTCCCCAACGGTGCCGCTCATAATGATGGCTCTAGCCGTGGTCATGTCCGTCTTGGATTCGCTCGACGTGAAGCTGATCTTGATGTCAATGTGGGTGTTGATTGCTACGGGTACGGAATCCGTGATGTGAATGGGGAGGTTGTCAATCGTATGCGCTGCGAGTTCTTCTTTCCAAAGGGTGAAGCTATAAACGAAGGCGATGTGATTGGCATGCTCATTACACTGCCACCATTATCTCTACACAAAAAGATTGTCGAAGGCACCTACGACCCTGCTGTTGACAGCGGTGACTCCACCCCTACTTCTACCAACATCATTCGTGATCGTATCCCCTTTCACTATAAGTCCGACTTTTGCTGGCAGCAATCCAATGTCTTCTCCGCGAAGCATCTGCGTGACTATGCCTTCAATCTTAAGGAAACACCAACATTTGGTCCTCCATCTCCATCAAATAGTGAAGATCCCTCGTTACGAACATTGCCCGGCTCCAGTATCACTATTTTCAAAAACGGTGTCAAGATGGGATCCCCCTTCAAGGAACTGTACGCATTCCTCCCGCCGGCTACTCGTTTTGCCAATGCCACTAACAACCTTGGCATTGGGGAACGTGAAAACGCCGACGATGGCATGATCGGCTATTACCCAGCTGTGAGCTGTTACGGCGGTGGTGCAGTCGAGTGTCGCTTCGAGGCACCGTGGTGGGTTGGTCCTCCCGCAACGACTGATGCTGGAGAACCTATTCGGCCAATTGGCGAGCGCTTCAACGACCAAATTGCAGAGGATGTGGTTGCCGATCTTGTAGATGAGGTAGAGGCTATGTTTACATGGGGCGGTATTGATGGAGATGTTATCGCGAATAATAATGCTGAGCCTGGTGCTGTTGCAGGCTCCGATGTCCTCAAAGGTGGCCTTGACTCAATTCCTACTCCCGGGGTATCAGAGTCTGCAGCAAACAGTAATCAGGCAACACCTGCAGCAACTGGAATTGCTACGACTATGGAGGATGCAATGGGTGTTGGAGCGGCTCACACGCCAAACTTTGCGGTGGAAATCATAGAAGTGGATAGGCCCGCAGATGAAGATGTTGAGATGACTTGAAGTTTCAACTAGATCTGTCATGTGCCTGCTGGTACTTGTTAACCTTAGAATAGCCGGGCGTTTAGGAATTTGCGTATCTTGATACCAATAAATATTTCACGACTTTATATGATAGTTCAACTTGGCTTCTATGGAGACAGATGAATGTATTGATAATATAGAATTGATGGTATCTTGGTAGTTTTACATGGAAAGGCTCGATTAGTTTAGACAGAGAAGTCTATTCTGCACCTTCAAATTTCTTGCCTTCGAGCAACTCTCCGACTTTCATCACAAGCTCATCATCCCCATATTGCCCTATAACTTGGATACCAGCCAGTTCATTGACCACAGAGCCTTGGATTGACTCGGACACGGTCACTGGCACAGATATGGCAGGCAGTCCCGCCAGACTAGCCGGAACTGTAAAGACATCGTTGATGTATGCATCCAGAGGTGATGATCCGGCAGATGTATCAATCACATCCGACAGTCGCGGCGGTGGAGATGGCGCGGTAGGGCAGATGATAACATCTACGGCAGCCGATTCGGAGCGACCTATGTCTGTCTGATTGACTTTTTCCAATGGATGCGTGGCACTGAAAACAGCATTAAAATCTTTCTGGACAATTCGACGTACACGCTGTGCCTGGATAAAGTAGTTGTCCATAGCATCAGCGCTCAAGCTGAATGTGCCTAGAAGAATACGTCGCTGCACCTCTGCTCCGAAACCACTGCCCCGAGTTTTGGAGTAGAGGTATCCTCCTGGATTTCTATCAATATCCGGTTCATTGTCGCGAGTACCATATCGCACGCCGTCGTATTTGGCCAAGTTTGATGACGCCTCAGCCGGGGCTAGCACATAGTACGCTGAAAGTGCGTGTTTTGTCGTCGGTAGCGAAACAGGATGAATGGTATGGCCTTTATTTCGCAGGATCTCCAAAGACAAAAGCCAGGCGCGTCGAACCGAAGGTGATAGTTCGGAAATGTTATACTCCAGAGGTACTCCGATTCGGAGTGGAGCCGAAGTCAATCGCGACGCAAGTCGAGAGGTCTGAAGATGTGATACAATTCGTGATCGGGCGGATTCAGAGATACTGGTGGGATCATGCGCATCGTGTTTATTGAGGATTGCTTTGCGAATGTTATTAGCAATCTTGGTCCTTCAATGACTGGCAGGGGAGGGTAGGATTGACTTACAGAAGATATCTCGGACAGCAAACGTTTTTTGCCCTAGAATACCTACGGTATCTAGTGAATTGGCATATGCGATCACACCCCATCGAGAAATCAACCCGTATGATGGTTTAAATCCGACAATACCTGTATATGCCGCCGGCAGTCGGACAGAGCCTCCGGTATCTGTTCCAAGTGCACTTGAAAAACAATCACAGTCAGTGACTGGCTTCCCCTTCAGTTTTTAATGTACTAATAGCACTCACGCATAGCATTGCTCTGCAGCAACAGCCACGGCACTTCCACCGGAGCTACCACCAGCAGAAATATCATGACCGCCATGATCCCGCCTCGAATTCTTCACCGGACCGAATCGTGAGTGAACCGAGTGTGATCCCATTCCAAACTCATCCAAATTGGTCTTTCCAGCTATGATAGCACCAGCGGCCTCCAGTTTATCGACAACCGTCGCATTAAACGGACTGGTGAATTTATCCAAGATTCCAGAGGCGCATGTAGTCGGAAAGCTGCTTGTACAGATATTGTCTTTTATAGATATCAGACGACCATCAATTGAGGACTTGGGATTCCCTGCGATGAGTTATGTGAGTCAAGTATACAATGTGTTGCCCCGATGCAAGCATACCTTGCTCGCCGCGTCCCTCTGCCTCCTTCACCCGGTTTAGCCATTGCCCTGCGCGTGGCAGTGGTGTTATGAAGGAATTGAAGTTATTTGCATATTGATTGGCGATGCATTTTTCTGCTTCACGTAATAGGGACATTTAGATCGAGAGTAAGAGAGAAATAGTAGTTGTGGGCGGTGGAAATGGATATCGCAATGGCACGTGCTGATCTATGTCAAGCTTGATACTCAATAGTAGCACTACAAGTACAATGAAAGTAATACATTCAGGATGCCAAGATTATTTGATTGGCAAATTTAGAGAACTTATCTTTCACATTTTCTATAAAAGGTCCCAGATTGAAATGCCTAGTATCGCTCTAAGATGTTAGCAGTTCTTAACATCACGTGATCTAATCAAGATGTCAAATGGCCATTCCTATTTTAGTCTAGTCAATTCTATTAGTCAGCTTACGTAAATATGCTCTTTAGTTAGTTATTTACTGCAGTTAAAGTATTTCACCACTGGTCACACTACTGAACGGGTCACCCCACCAATTTTACGCGTCAGTCTGGTGTTTCCATTTTCAACTACCCACCATGCCCCCCTAAATGCTCTATATGTCCAAGACAAACAGGATCAGGAGAATAGGGTCTTATTAGCTTACCAAGCTTACAAGAATGGCGATATATCATCAATGCGTAAAGCTGCAGCTATGTTTAATATACCATTTTCAACCCTCCAACGCCGCCATTCTGGTGTCCAATTTCGTCTTGAAACACACCCACCGCAGTCTAAACTGACTGAATCTGAAGAGGATTCATTACTTCAATGGGTCGTCTCTCTAGATGATCGCGGCTGTGCTCCTAGAACTAAAGATGTTGGTAGAATGGCTAATATCCTACTCGCCGACCGCGGAACCAACCCTCCTCTTACGATCGGTAAAAACTGGGTTACTAGGTTTGCGACGCGTTTACCTGAACTTAAGACGACCTATTCAACACCGCGCGATTTTACACGTGCGCGTCAAGAGGACTATAATGTGATCAATAATTGGTTCAAACTGGTTGAAAACACGATCGCAAAATATGGTATCACCACCGACGATATCTATAATTTTGACGAGACTGGGTTTGCGATGGGACGATGTGCGACCGCGAGAGTGGTTACTAGAGCTGGTTATTATGGTAAACGCGCAAAAAAACAGCCTGGTAACCGGGAATGGGTTACTGTGATAGAGTGTTTAGGCGCGTCTGGTTACGCACCTCCACCCTGTATTATCTTTAAGGGTAAGGTGATGATGCAGAGCTGGTTTGCTCCTGATCTAGGTTTACCACCTAATTGGCGTCTTGAGATTAGTCCTAATGGCTGGACATCAAATCAAATAGGGCTCCGTTGGCTTGAAAAGCTCTTTATACCTGCTACTGCTCGTACTAAAGGACGGTATCGCCTTCTGATCTTAGATGGCCATGGTAGCCATTTAACACCTGATTTCGACAAAATCTGCCAGGAGCATGATATTATACCATTATGTATGCCTGCGCATGCGTCTCATCTTCTTCAACCTCTTGATGTTGGGTGTTTTGCGGTGTTAAAACGCTCTTATTCTCGGCTGGTTGAGTCTAGAGTAGAGCTTGGTTTTTCCCACATTAGTAAAGGAGATTTCCTAGAGATATATCCTACTGCGCGTATTGAAGCATTTGCATCTGCTTCTAATGCGTTTGCTGCAACTGGAATCGTGCCACTTGACCCTACTAGGGTGTTAAAAAAGCTTACTATGCGCGTCGATACACCACCACCACCACCCTCTATAGGAAGCGATTCAAGTCGAAATTGGACACCTAAGACGCCTAGGACGCAGAAAGATTTACGACGTCAACACCAAGCTATATTACGCACTGTATCTCGAACGCCACCAACACCATCTAAGAGAGCATTAGACCAGATAGTAAAGGGTGCAAATTACCTATATCAAGAGAATGCTCTCTTACGCCTGGAAAACAGAGATTTACGCGCCGCCCATGAGAAAAAGAAAAAACAAAAAGAACGTCCGAATCGTCAATTAACAGTAGTAGGGGGTCTTACAATTCAGGAGGGATTAGACCTGGTTGACGCGTCGAATGGTGGCCCTAAACTTAATGATGCCAATTTACAAGAGGGCCAGGCGCCTGTAAGGGCGCCTGTAACCCAACGCCGGTGTGGGATATGTAAGACACCTGGACATAGGAGGGAAACCTGTCCTAGTAGGCCCATTCAGTAGTTTTTTTTTACTATATTACATAGTAAATAATGGAGTTATTGGGATTCATAAAAATAAGTGGGTCAAACTGACCCGTTCAGTAGTGTGACCCGTTCAGTGGTGAAATACTTTACACATATTTGAGATTATGAAGTCTTCTGATTGGTTCTTATAATCCCACTTCCTCGCCCAAGTTGACACAAGAGATATTTAGTTATGATTGTACTCCGTCAATAGTTAACCACGAGTACTTGTAAGTATTCGGTACGTATTCTTTAGATGCAAAATCTCAGGGTTTTCTTCTATTTTTACATGGATTATTGAAATTTCGATTCAAGAAAAGTAGTCAGTCTATATAGCTATCCAGTGACAAGTACGAATTGCACAGTAAGCGACTCGTTAATAACAGGGAATCATTGATATTTTATATCTGTAAGGATCCAGGACCATCAGCCTCCTCTAAGAACCATATAAGAACAGGATGAATAAATAGTATACATCATATCAAATGGTGTTCCCTTCGGCCCGAGCTAAATCGCCGAAGGACGTCATCCGAGGCTCCGCTATTCTTTTCACTCTTCTTTACTTCAACTTCACACTTTCACCAAACACACAATGTTGTCGCGCAGTATCCTTCAAGCTACACGAAGCACTGGGAATAAATCTCTAGCTAGAGTGATCTTTCTATCTACGAACAAAGCTCAATGCACTAGCTCCAACTTCCCCGAGGGTCGGAGATATGCTTCTGTGTACGGCTACACGCAAGCTAAGGCACTGGTCTATTCGAAATATGGCGAGCCCAAGGACGTACTTCGGTAAGTGGAACTGTTTCCTGGTCTGGTATTTCTCGTATACCACATTCCATATACTCGGAGGGCTCGACTGATTTAGGATGTCTTTTCCAGTCTACATAAACACTCTATCTCTGCTCCGCATGGCACCCAAGTGAACCTTCGCCTCCTTACAGCACCCATGAACCCAGCAGATGTCAACCAGGTTCAAGGAGTGTATCCCAGTAAGCCCCCATTTGAGACTACACTTGGCACCAGCGAGCCCTCGGCTGTCGGTGGCAATGAGGGTGCCTTTGAGGTTATATCTACTGGCGCTGGCGTCAAAGGCTTGTCTCAGGGTGATTGGGTCATCATGAAACGTACTGGTCAAGGTACCTGGCGTACGCACGCCCAGATGGACGAGTCTCAGCTCATCCGCATCGAGAACAAAGAAGGCTTGACGCCGTTGCAAGTTGGTACCATTAGTGTAAACCCCGTCACTGCCTACCGCATGATTCGCGATTTCTGCGAGTGGGACTGGATGCGCGCCGGGGAAGAGTGGCTGATCCAGAATGGTGCCAATAGTGGTGTTGGCCGTGCTGCGATCCAGTTGGGTCGTGAGTGGGGGATCAAGACACTGAATGTTGTTCGTGAACGGAAAACTCCCGAGGAAACTGAGATTTTGAAGCAGGAGCTGAAGGATCTGGGTGCGACAGTCGTTGTGACTGAGGAAGAAATGCTCACTGGCCATTTCCGAGACTTGGTCAAAGAAGCGACCCGTGGAGGTCGAGAGCCTATCCGCCTAGCGTTGAACTGCGTTGGTGGTAAGAATGCCACAGCTCTTGCTAAGACTCTGGCACCGGAGTCGCACATGGTCACCTATGGTGCCATGTCGAAACAGCCTGTGGCTCTTCCTTCAGGCCTGTTAATTTTCAAGAATCTCACTTTTGATGGATTCTGGGTCAGCAGATGGGGCGATAAGAACCCAGAGCTGAAGGAAAGCACTATCCAGGATGTTCTGCAATTGACTCGTGCGGGTCGGTTCAAGGACATTCCCGTAGATGATGTCAAGTGGAACTGGAACTCTGAGGGTCCTGACCTGGCTGAAAGTGTGCAGGGCACTCTGGGTGGCTACCGTAGTGGAAAGGGCGTGTTCACCTTTACAGGTGGCGATGAATAAGTGACCAGAGACGAAGTGTTCGTTTAATGTATCATATTTATCAATCTTAAGTAGGTCTATAGAAGACGTTTCTCATGTCTAATTGTGCCATTGGCCAACGGGTTATTCTACGATTAGAAGTTATGGACAAAAGCTATTCTTAACGAACGCATCACTTGCACTTCCAGTGCTTCTTCACCCAGGCGAGAATCATATCCGTCAAGGTGGATGACGGCATGTACTCTTCGCTGTCCTTTTCAAAATCGACATCGAGGCCCGCAAATTTAGCAGCTAGAGTCACATGCGGTTGCACGAACTCAATGTAGATAAAATCTACTGTCTCTGGCACCGCTGATTGATTTGCAAACAGCAATGCTTGTATACAGTTTGGCACCTGGTAGAATGAGACGGGAAGATGAACCGTATCATCTCCATCGTGACCCGCGTCATCCTGGGTTGTGTATCCCGGCACGAGCTTGTGCTCATGTCCATTGGAAGAAAGAGGAGCTTGGGAGTAACGAGATCCCTCAAGGTTAAGTAACCAATCCTGCGAATCATCGACCACTTTGTCCTCTGTGTATGCTAGCTGCTCCGGCGGTGCAAGAGGGATTGATGGGCTCATCTGGGTATGTGTTTGAGCGACAACTGTCGGGTCATTCTCGTGCTCTGTTGTCTCTAAGATTCTTGTCTGTTTGTTTAGTACCTCCATAATCAGCTGCACCTTCTCATAGGGCACATCCTTCACATAGCGAAATCTATTCGTAAACGGAGAGATGATGAATGTAGTATCCTGGGTGAACGGGCCCTGGAAAATGTCGAAACGTATTGCTCCCGAATTCATAATAGCCACGGAGGGGACTTCACCGCGAGATTCGTCTCTTAGTGAATCAGCTAGCAACTCGGTCTCTAGCCAAGTATAGACGCTGTCCTGGTGGGGGTACGGAACCCGGGACATCCAAAGATCGCGTGGAGCACAGCCATGGACCTCGTCTAGGTCAAGGGCGCTCCGTGCCTTAGAAATCAACTGAGAAACATTGCGACCTTCCTCGGTGGGAAACGAGTTTTCATCAAGGCCAGTGTGGTGATGAAATGAGAAGAGATTGTTGTCAATGTATCGCCGCTTAAATACGGGGCTTCTTTTTATTCTAGGCGAATCCGTGGTAGAGAGACCATCAATGGACATGAAGCCGATGGTTTCCATGAAACGGCCACTTGCAAGAGCGACAGCTTTGGAATCATATTGTGCATAGTCTCGAATATGTTGATGTCCCCCGAAGAACTGAATTGGTATGTCCCAATGAATTTTTCGAATAGCTTTGAAGATCGCTCGGTATTCTGGCGAATGAGCTGGAACATGGCCTGCTACTAGGAATAGATCCACATCTTTGTCCTGGATGGCTTCCTGGAACCAGTCCTGCAGGATAGTCTCTTCCACTGTCCGCACTGCGGTATTCTGGTAGTTGCCGGTGAAATCAAAGAGAAAACCAAAAGCTACGATACGAATGCCCTGCAATTTTGTGGTAAATTTCTTGAATCGCGGGGCCAACGGAACCAGCTCTTTGGTTTGAGGATGGTAAATGTCGATATTAGAGGCCAGATAATAGCCCCGGAAATTTGGAACTGTGACCATCAACTCCCTTTCCGAAGTATTATGCTTGTACAGTTCATGGTTTCCAGAAGTTATTATGTCGATATGTTGATGGCGAAAGATCTCTGATAACCAGACGCCCTTGGGTTCATCTGAATCGTAGAGACCATTACCTTCAACGCGATCACCTGTATCTATTACCAGCAGGTCTTGGCCCTGTGCCTCCACCTTTTCTCGAATGCGCGTCGCAAATGAGATATAGTCGCCCCAATCTGCCGAAAACGATGGTCTGCGACGCGTATGAGTTAGAGCTTACGAAAGAGGATTTCCAGTGCCATACTCCTGCAAATGACCGGCTAGCCAGCCATGAGTATCGGTTGTATGAAGAAAGTTGACCTGCCCAAACTCCAGATCGCGCAGAAGTGGAGGTATGGGGGTGGATTGAGCGGCGAGAACCGACGGGAAGAACCAGGGCAACACCAACAACAGCATTACGGACACTTTTGTTGACCAGAGAACAGCGCAATGGGATAAGACAGTTTCCTAAAGAAGAGAAGAGAGAAAGAGAGAAAAAGGGTGGTCTCAGTATATATACAGCCTTGAATAGATGAAAGTACAGCTCTACAGTTAACTACGGAAGGAGCTGCCGGTGTAGCTGCTGACTCAGCTACCCAACATCTTTCTGACAATCCGCGATTTGCATCTCAAAGATTCTTAGCGGCCTCTTCTTTTCCCAACCTCATCTCCTAGGTCTCCCACGCCTGTGTGCCTGAATTTGGCCCGATAGACCTGTCAATTTCCCCTGCAACCTTTCTCCACTCTTTGAATTTGAGCTCAATTCCCCGCAATGGCCGCCCCCAGACTTTTCCGCCCAGCTACCCGGCTGCTTTCTTCGCGCCTTTCTTCCACCCCTCTTCGCTCATCTTTTGTTCGTCCTTCTTGCGCTCAGTTTGCCCTACGCGCCCGCGGATATGCCTCGGAGAGTGGTACCAAGGAGGTTACCGTCCGTGATGCCTTGAACGAAGCCCTAGCAGAGGAGTTGGAGAGCAACCACAAGACCTTCATCATGGGTGAGGAGGTCGCACAATACAACGGAGCGTAAGATGCCCTTCAATATGGTAGAACAAAGGAACATCTTACTGATTTTGATCTTATTTCTATAGATACAAGGTCACAAGGGGTCTTCTGGACCGCTTCGGCCCCAAGCGTGTGATTGATACTCCTATCACTGAGATGGGTTTCACTGGTCTTGCTGTTGGTGCTGCTCTTGCTGGCCTGCACCCCATTGTAAGTTGCACAATTTTCGAAGAAGCTGTCATTCTGGGAACATTGAGTCGGAGAACTAATTGTTTCCATACTTCTAGGTCGAGTTCATGACCTTCAACTTCGCCATGCAGTCTATCGATCAGATCATCAATTCTGCCGCTAAGACTCACTACATGTCCGGTGGTATTCAGCCCTGCAACATCACTTTCCGTGGACCCAACGGCTTTGCTGCCGGTGTTGCTGCTCAGCACTCTCAGGACTTCTCTGCCTGGTACGGTAGCATTCCCGGTCTCAAGGTCGTCTGTCCCTGGAGCTCTGAGGATGCCAAGGGTCTGTTGAAGGCCGCCATCCGCGACCCTAACCCCGTCTGCGTTTTGGAGAACGAGTAAGTTTCACAATTTTTTTTTCCCCTGGGGGGCTGTTCGAATGCCAAGGGATGTCATGTATGACATTGGGGGTTTGATCAGACACAGATAATTAATAATTTGCTTCCCAACAGGCTTATGTACGGTGTTTCTTTCCCCATGAGCGAGGCTGCTCAGAAGAGCGATTTCGTTCTGCCCATTGGCAAGGCCAAGATTGAGCGTCCCGGAAAGGACCTGACCATCGTCTCTCTTTCCCGTTGCGTTGGTTTGTCCCTGGACGCTGCCGCTGAGCTGAAACAGAAGTATGGTGTTGACGCCGAGGTCATCAACCTGCGCTCTGTCAAGCCCCTCGATGTTGAATCTATCATTGCCTCTGTCAAGAAGACTGGCCGCCTAATGGTCGTTGAGTCCGGCTACCCCATGTACGGTGTTGCTTCCGAGATCCTGGCTCTGGCCATGGAGTACGGCTTCGACTACCTGACTGCCCCTGCTGCCCGTGTCACTGGTGCCGAGGTTCCCACTCCTTACGCCGCTGGCCTCGAGGACATGTCCTTCCCCCAGCAGGACACCATTGTCAAGCACGCTGCCAAGATCCTGCGGTTGTAAGACAAGTGCCAATAATAAAACCTGTGTCTACCACCATTTCTCATCAATCCCGTTTTCCTCTTATGTTGTTTTCCTTCATCATGTTGTTATCCATCTTCGCCTAGGCAAGATCCTTGGAAAGCTTTGTAAGATTACCTTTTCGGGTCAGTGCCTCGTTATTCACTCAGCGTAAATTGGCTTTTGAATCAAATATTTAGATTGATAGACATTGGTCGTTCAATTGTCTTTCTAAGAAGATATCATGTATAGTAAGGTGTCTCCGAGGAAGTGCAAATAATCCTATTTTCTAACTCCAACTAATTTGAACGTCTCATTATCCTGTACGAAGTGTACGGCTTGGCATCAGTATTATCAAGGTACGACTTTGACTTCCCGACCAGGACAACCAGGGAAACAACTGGTTGGCCGTCGAGGATCATAATAAGCTTGCCCATTCGTGTATTGCTCATCGTCACTTTCGGTTTCCTGAACACTGCCACCAGCCGCCGGTTTGTAATCCTTGGACGAGGTATTATCTGAAGATTTGACCGGACGTTCATCATCGGAATCTTCTAGGACATTCTTCTTCGCCGCTACAGGACCCTTGATAGTCGTAAAAGAACTTTTGAAGCCGCCCTTTTTGAAACCTCCAGTCAGAGTGCTCTTTTTAGATGCCCCGTTGCCTGTGGGTGCATCAAGGACTTTCAGTCCAGCCTCGGCATCTGCTTTACGCTCTGCGCGGCGCGCCTTCTCAGCTGCATTGGGGTCGCGCGAGAGTTGTTTGAGGTCCTGTAAGCGCTGGCGATGCAGGTGGTCATAAGAGCCGATATGTGCTTCGAATTCTGGATGTCGGGAGTAGGACTTGTTGCATAGTGTGCAAGTGAAGGCGCTGAGGGCAGATCGCGCGGACTCGGTCTGTGGAGGCTTTATTAGCGGCGTCCTTCTATTTAATGGGTTGGATAACTCACTCACCCTTGGAGGAGGGTTAGTTAAGCTTCGCTATATAGAATTAGTAATTTAAAGGTCAATTGATATTCGTTTTAGGGAGAATACCGGAGGCATGTTTAGTTCAGGTGGGGGGATGTGCAGAAGTTACGAGCTTTGGTGGAGACGACGTACTAGTTACAACCCGCGCTTGGCAGAAACTCCCCGCCCAACAATTCTTGCTATTTCTAATCTCCACGACTCATGATCATCTGGTGTATTCCTTTTTTTTTTTTTTTTTTTTTCCACGAGCCTATCGAAAATAAATCAGAGATCGAAACGTCAAACCCATGTCCTCCAGGGACCCTAAACCGTTGGATATCGACACCAAGTCCATCCTTTCCATGCAGGAATTGGAACCCTCGCCAGTGGACGACTCCATTCCAAACCTGGAGAGCGGCGATTATTTCCCCAAGCAAGAAGAGGAGAAACCTCAGCGCCCATTTGGATTTGCGATCCCGAAAGTAGGCCTTAGTGACGCATTATGTACGTTCATCTTCAACGTTTCAGCCAGATTCAGATTTAATTCATATGAGCCACAGTGTCCGGCATACAAAAATACTCAACCTATCCAACAACAGCCTTCTTTATTCTACATTTCGCTAACACTGCCCTAATTCCTCTCGCAACCCGCTCTATCCCGGCAAGCGAGCCCTATCTCTTGCTCACGCGGCCATTCTACCAAGCTCCTGGCCTTGAGCATCTTCTCCTTACCGTTCCCATCATTGCCCATATTACTTCTGGGATTTTACTGCGAAATATTCGTGGCTCAAGACGCGCTCGGCTATATGGCGCTGAGACTCGTGCTCAGCGTCATCTGTTATCTTTCTGGCCTCGTGTCTCTCTCCAGGCCCGTACAGGATATCTTCTCATACCTCTTCTTGGACTTCATTCGTTTGTCAACCGTATTACACCTTTGATGGTAGATGGCGGCAGTTCGGGTGTGGGGTTGGGCTATGTTGCTCACGGCGTGGCCCGAAGTCCCGTTTTCTGGAACAGCTTCTATCTGATCTTTGTAGCCACGAGCGTATGGCATTTTGTGGGTGGATGGGCAACTTGGATGGGATGGCGAGTGACAACTGCCCGCAAAGAACGCCGCAGTAAAGGTTCGCTGTCGGGTTATCTGGGATATCAAGAGAATCATGACCGTGTTAAACGGCAGCGCAAGATGTGGTGGGTGATCAATGGAATCGCTGCTGCAGGTGCTGCCATATGGCTAGCAGGTGCTCTTGGTATTATTGGACGTGCTGGAGAAGGCTCTGGTTGGGAAGCTCAAGGGTGGAATGAAATGTATAGCCAAGTACCAGTCATTGGAGCTTGGTTGTAGTTTATAGAGCTGATGCGTACTATATACATACTGTACCCTAGCTGTGATTATATAGATAGACTAATATTTAATACATTTATGACTGACAATTGAAATATATAGTTCATTATACAGCAAGTAGAACTGTACATACTCGACATGTACTCGGTGTCTTCTGAATAGTAAGAGTCCGTTAGTTTATAAACGAACATAAGGTACAAATAGTTAAACATTTAAATATTTTGTTATAATTTTGAATCTTTTTATGTGTTATAATGATTTAAAATGTGTTATTTAATCAAGATATTTACCCACCTGGTCCGTGCACATAATCTTTTTTTTTCCCGACGTCGCGACAGCTAACTCTTCACACATCTTAGCTCATGAACTCTCAATTTGCCTATTCACTTTTCGCACTGTTTCCAAAATGTGCGCTTAAATTAAATCGAATTTTTACACCATTTCCTCTAAGCCAAACCCGGTTTTCACAGAGACAACTCTCTTATTCCCTGACAGCTATGGCTATGGAGATCACGCCTAATCAGCCCAACCGGGTGGAATTTCACGGCACTGAATACCAAGTCATTAAAGAAGGCTTGGCTAACATTCTCAATCCACCTGCGCAAGATGCCGCCTCCAAGGGTACCAAGAAGGACCTGAAGGCCGATGACGAAATCCAGTCCGTCTTCTACAACCCAATCCAGCAATTCAACCGTGACCTGAGTGTCTTAGCAATCCGAGCTTTTGGAGAACACTCTGTGGATCTGAGAAAAAAGAAGCTGGATCAGAAGCTTAAGAGGAGTGGACCAGGAAATGGAGCGTCTAAGGGAACAAAGCGGAAGCGGGAGGACAGTGCAGAGAATCAGAACCCCGAGGCCGGTGCAGAGGCTGGAAGTAACGGACAGCCAGAGACAAATCCCAAGAAGCCAGCTGACGGACTGAACGCCAAACAAGATGCGCAGTCAGATCCACCCGCTGCACCTTCGTTTACAATTCTGGATGCTTTGTCTGCGACAGGTCTCCGCGCACTTCGATATGCCTCGGAGCTCCCAATGGTTAGCAAGGTCGTGGCAAACGATTTGTCTTCTTCTGCTATCCAGTCCATGAAGACCAATATCGATTACAATGAGCTGCAAGACCGTATCCAGCCCAATCTGGGCGACGCACGTGCCTACATGTACTCGCTAAATGTACACAAGTTCGATGTCATTGACCTAGATCCATATGGCTCGGCAGCTCCATTCATTGACGCTGCTGTCCAAGGAGTGAAGGATGGTGGTCTGCTTTGTGTCACTTGCACTGATGCCGGTGTTTGGGCATCGACTGGCTACGCAGAGAAATCTTTCTCCCTGTACGGAGGTACGCCACTCAAGGGTTCTCACTCGCACGAGGGTGGTCTACGCTTGATTTTGAACAGTATTGCAATGTCCGCAGCAAAGTATGGATTGTCCATTGAGCCGCTGCTCTCCCTGTCAATTGATTTTTACGCACGCGTGTTTGTTCGTGTATACCGATCCCCAGCTCAAGTCAAGTTCACTGCTGGCAATAGTATGGTCGTTTACAACTGCGATTCAGGATGCGGTGCCTGGTCTATACAGCCTCTGGCTCTGACAAAACAAAAACTTGACCGCAAGGGTAATCCCATGTACCACCATGTCCTAGCCCAGGGACCTGTCGCTGGCCAAAATTGCGAGCACTGCGGTTTCAAAACACATATTGCAGGTCCTATGTGGGCTGGTCCGCTGCACAATCCTCACTTCATTCAAAAGGTTCTGGGCCTGCTTCCTACCCTTGATTCCAACATATATCATACCATTCCTCGAATTGAGGGCATGCTAACCAACGCGCTCGAAGAGGATCTTGATCCCATTCAAAACACTGAATCCAACAAGAATTCTCTAGATCTGGAGTACCCGGCTATCATTCCCAGAACGGATCCAGCAATTCGGGATCCGTACCCCTTCTATTTCACACTCAGTGCCCTATCAAAAGTTTTACATTGTTCCACCACCCCAATTGACGAGTTTCACGGTGCTCTACGGTCTATCGGCTACCGCTCAACCCGCAGCCACGCTAAGCCCAATTCTATCCGCACTGATGCCCCGTGGACCGTCATCTGGGAGATCATGCGTGAATGGGTACGCCAACACTCTCCTATCAAGGAGGCCAATCTCAAGCCAGGCAGTCCAGGCTTGAATATCTTGAGAAAGAGCCGCTCCAACTTGCGTAAGGTGCACGAAGGGAACCAATGGCTGTCCCAATTGAAGAAGGATCTACTTGAAGCTGTCGATTCTGGTCGTGATGTTGGTGATTTAATCACCAAAGTAGAAGCCTCACTCTATAGATCTGGATCACGGCAGACTGAAAAAACCGAAAAAATTCCATTTAAACAGCCGGATATAGCTGATGCCGAGGCTCAGCCACAAGAAGCTCCGGAGGGGGAAGCATCTGAGACTCATTCAGGTCCTCCTCATCCTAGCTCACTTGATATCAAATTTGATGCGGCTCTCGGTCGGCAAGCCACTCACTCGAATAAGCGCCTGGTGCGGTATCAGCTCAATCCCCGTCCCAATTGGGGTCCATTGAACCGTGCGGCAGTGACCCTGAAATAATTATACTTCATATTTGTACTTTAATTGATCCTATTTCATCACGAACTTACTGTTGATCATCAAAATCAGGAATTTGACCGACTCGACAGCCTAGTATTAAGAACTCGATTGAAAATAGTTGACGCCGGGATCCAAGCAAAGGAGTTTTTAGAATTATTAAGCCAGTCACAGAACTTACAGTATGTCCTAGCAAACATTGGAAGAGCATTACGCCGGGGTATGGAGCTCACCAATGACGCAGTGTATATCACTACTCAGAGAGCCTGGGAAGAAACTCGGAAGCTGTCCATTGGTAGAATCTCATACAAATGCAACTACGTAGCCTGGAGAGTGAGGAGAAGGTAGATACGAGAACGAATGAGCTTATAGATCAATTCATTAACAAATATTAGCACTAATTAGGTACGCAAGGTTGGTTAGAACAAAATTATAGGATTTCATTACTCCCATTATAAACACCGACGAACCAGGAGACGAAATTGGCTCGAATCTAGAAAAGAAAAAGCTACATAAATCACAGTCATCACGTCTCAAATAGAACCTGGGCCAAGGGAGGAGAGGTGGGTGTCACCCGCCGGCCTCCTTCAGCCTCTGTGTAAAACACAAAAAAGAAGGCGCGAATAATTAGAATCCGCAAAATCAGAACTGCGAAACGGCGACGGCGACGGCTTGCGAGTCGCTATGACTGATGCTGACATTGACTTGCTTGACACCGGCCTCCTTAGCGGCGGTGGCGGCAACACCGTGAAGCTGAAAAAAGTGGAATGTTAGCGTCGCTGATTTATCTTTGGGAATAACTCGATATACTTACGTTAACCACAGGGGCGCCGTTGGCGTCAATTCCAATCTCGATGTCCTTAAGAGCTGCACCGGCACCCTTGCTACTCACACCAAGTGACTTGAAGACAGCTTCCTTTGCACTCCACCGGCCAGCAAACGAAGCTTGAGGGGATGCAGCCTTGCGGCAGTATTCCTGTTCACTGGCGGTGAAGTTGCGTTCCACGAAGGTTTCGTTGGAGATATTGATAGAATCAATCTGCTCGACATCAACACCAATCTTGGAGTTTTCAGTGGCGTTGGCTTTTGCGAGGGACTCAATCACTTGGCGAGTGCCTTCAGTGCTTGAGCTCTTGGCTTCAGGGGCTGTGCTTGAGTACTTCAGCTCGGAGGTCTTCTTATCAACGCTCACACGGTAGTCGGGGTTGAGGAAGACCTGGCTCTGGATCTTGTCCTCATAGGGAGCCTTGCTCTTAGCAACAAAGATGCTATTGTTGATCAGACCATTGTGGAAGAAACGGTAAGCCTTCTTCTGACGGGCCTCGACCTTGGTCTTGTAGGTCTGGTATTGAGACTTGTCAAGAACAGCATAGAGGTACTTGGGGTGGATACCAATGGCCTGGGCACCCTTCTGACCGAAACCGAAGGATGTGACTGAGAAAGCCTTGATGCCGTCGGTCTGGATGCTGTGGCTGGGGTACACGATGTAATCGAACTTCTCCATCACCTTGTCGACGTTATCGGCGTTACGGTTACCGGGGACAATACCGGTTTCTAGGACCTGCAGAGCACCGTTGAACATCCAGGCACCGGCGGCACCCTTGGGGTGACCAGTGAGGTACTTCTGGAAGATACCCATGACGGCGTTACCCTTCTTGCGACCCAGATGCTTGAGCTGTTGGCAGATGACATCGGATTCGTTCTTGTCATTGGCCATTGTAGAGGTACCGTGGAAGGAGGCGACGCCAATGTCATCGACAGTCAGGCCCCAAGTGGCCAGGGCACCGCGCAGGGGAGCAATGCGCGAATCCTGCTTCCAGAAGTTGTTGCCAAGGGAGAACTGAGCATCCTTCTCTTGGCGAGTAGCTTCACGCTCAATGTGCTGGGCACGCTCGTGCATATATTCGGAGGCGCTGAAGGTCTCGTCGCTCTGTGCCTGCATGGCATCAACTTCCTCCTGCAGGTAGAGCAGCTCGGACTCGTGCCACTCCTTGATTTGCTTTTTGCGCAGATCCAGCTGGCGGCGGCGGTACTTGATATCCAACAAAGGCGAAGGGAACTTGCCGGGGTTCTCACGGGCAGTGGTCAGAACACCCTGGCCGGGAGCAGGCACGGAGCGACCAATCTTATCGGTGGCAGTAGTTGTCAGAGCAACGATACCGTAGATGGGGACACCCATGTCGAGGGCGAGTTGGGCACTCATGATGAGCTGAATACCGCAACCCTGCGACTCCATGAAACCGGCACGGGTAGTGGTAGTGGGACGCGACATTTCCTGCGGTGTACGACCGTGGGCGAATTCCTCCTCGGCGTTGCTGGTCGCCTTCATGTTGGCGAACTCGTATGATCCCTCCTCCTGGAAGTCATCGAAACCACCGACGAAGCAGACACGGGCCTTGCCCTCGACGATGGTCTCGTAACCAATGTCGACGGATTCGACAGCAGTGGCACAAGCGCCGACAGGAGTCTTGATAGGACCGGTGGAGGACAGGAGTAGCATGTTCACCCAGGCGCTCATTGTATTGATGAAGGACTCCTGCAAGATATCCTTCTGCAGGGGCTTGTCAAGATAGCGGTCCTTGTACATACCGCGCAAAGCGTGTGTACCACCGATACCGGAACCGATGCAGTTACCGACCTCTGAGAGATGGACGTACTTGTAGAACTCGTAAGGGTCGGTGATACCAGCGGACAGCATGGACTCAGCAGTGCAGACCAAGACAAACAGGGTGACAGGATCAACCTGCTCGATGATATCGTCAGGAATACCATAGCGGCGGGCATCCCAGCCAGTAGGGATCTGGCCTGCAACAAGGCGGTCGAATTGGAGTGCCTTGGGGATGAGCAGGTTGGCACCCTTGCGGAGACGAACGGTGTACTCGCCGGACTCGGGGATCTCGAAGATCTCGACCTTGTCGCCATGCTCGCGCTTGAACTCCTCGGCAGTTTCTTTGGAGGCCTCGAAGGGCTCGAGATCCTCCTGGATGACAATTTCCTGGAGAAGCTGCTTCTTCTTGGGATCGTATCCCTTGAACAGCTCGGGCTCGATGAGACGAATACCGCTGTGCTCCAAAATGAACTTCTCGTACTTGGTCTTAACATCCTTATCATCGACAGGGTCACTGGTCTTGGCATCAACCCAACCGGAGTATGCCTTGCCCTTAAGGGGACCGTTGTGGTGCTTGATCAGACCCATGATCCAGGCCATCTCGACACAGCCCTCAAGAGAGAACTTGCCGTGGGCCTCCATCTGCCAGCGAGTACGGGAGTTACCCCAAGGACCAACTTCAGCAAAACCAGTGACGACAACCACCTTATCCAAGTTGACCATGCCCTTGAGAGATTCGCTGAGCGGCTTGACCTCCTGCTCCCAGTCGGGCAGAGTGGGGAACTCAAACTTGATGTTGGCACGGGGCTCAGCAACAACCTTCTTATACAGAGCACCGCTGTCCTCGCCATTGATGATCTTGTGCTCGATGGCAGTCTCCTTGATGACAGCCTGGCGAACATCGCTGGTCTCCATGATTTCGGTGCGGAGTTTGGTCATCAGACCCTTGAGGTCGGGGATGAACTGCAGTCCTCCGTTGAGATCAGCGAAGACGGGGTCGAGTTGGCACAGGTTGACGATGGCAGGGGACATCAAACCAAGAAGGTTGAAGGCCATCTCCTGCTGGGAGAAAGTGCGGACACCGAGCTTTTCAACACCTTCAGCGACCATGTTATTGCCACTCATCAAGCCAGTACCACGGGTCCAACCAATGACAGCACCGCAGATAGTGAGGTAGTTGCTCCAGTTCTCAGAGTACCAGCGGTTGAAGAGAGTCTCGAGTGCCAGCTTGGACTCAGAGTACAAACCGTCGTTACCAAAGGTACCGTGGTTAGGAGACAGGGGAAGAATGACCTGGGCAGGGCGGGTGACGAAGCCATGCGCCTGCTTCTGGGTCTTGACTGCACCAAGAAGACGGAGCAAGTTGGTCAACATAATACGGTGAGCTAGCTCCGACTTGGAGTCGATGGAGTCGATCTCGCGGCCATTCTCAGGAATTGCGGCGAAAGGAACGACGAAGTCCAAGTCCCAGCCAAGGCCCTTCTTAGTGTCATACACGTAGTCAATCAGAGCCTGCACATCCTGTTGGCTACCCTGATTGAAAGGCACGACAACCAGCTGGGAGCCACGAGCACCGAAGCGGGCGTACATGGCCTGGTAGTATTCAGTGACCTCGCGGGAGAAACGGCTGGTGGTGACGATAACCTTGGCACCACCGCTGATCAAGCCCTGGAGGACCTCTGCACCAATGGAACCGGCACCGGCGCCGGTCATGAGCACGTTCTTGCCCTGAAAAGTGAGACCAGAGCCAGCAGCAGACTCGAGCACATTCAGGTAGACTCCGGTGAGCTTCTTGCTGTAGTCCCAGCCGTGCTCACTCTTCTTCTTGAGGTGAAGGAATGGGATGGTCTCCACCTTTCCGGGGCGAACTGCAGTGCGCTTCAAGCCGCTAACACCGGACTTCTTAACGCTACCGTTCTCCTGGGGCATGATCTGGCTCTCGTTCATGTTGAGAGCGTGCAGAACGTTCTTGTAGAGAGCATCGAACTGAATTTGCGAAGCCTTGGAGAGGCGATGTTGCTTTCGGATCAACTTGTAAACATTCTTCAAGTCATTTTGCACCTTGTTGCGGTTGCTGTACTCGGAGATGGGTCCACCCTCTGCCATTTGCTTGACGTAGTGCTCGAGCTTGCGAGCACTAGTGCGGGGAACTTCCTTGAAGCCAATGTTGCCGCGGGAGTCAATGGTGGTCTGGGGACCAGTTGGGACATTAACATCCTTGTACGCAGGAGGGACATCAAGAACCTCCCGGCAGTTCTCAATGAGCTGCTGGCCCAACTCCTTGGCCAACTGATAGGTCTCACCACGTTCAGCAGGGCAGTTGTCGATGTGGTACTGCATGAAGTCGAGGAGAAGAGGATTGGAACGGTTCATGATACGAATACACTGGCTGACGATGTCACGGTCCACGACCTGCAGGCGGCCAAAGATGATGTCGTAGTACATGCTCAGAGCATCTTGACGAGCCCAGTTCCATGAAGAATCGTAGATACGGGCCTTGAGCGGGTCAAAGGAGGGCTCGATACCCGAGGCATAGAAGTCGCCGTGCTCCGCTTGCCACAAGTCGATTTGTGCTTGCAGTGTCTTTTGAGTCTCCTGAGATGTGATAAAGGCCTTGTCACCGGCGCGCAGATCCATCTTCAGGTAGCGAGCGATGACCTCCAATTGCTGTTTGAACATGGCACGCTGGTCCTTGGTTAGAGCATCTAGGGCGGCAGGATCCATCATCATACCACCACCAGAAGCACCGGCATCGCCACCGGCAGCAGGTGCTGAGAGGTTAATGCCAGCAGCTCCAGCATATTTGTTGGTCACATCGTCGAGGAAAAGCTTGGCATCAGCTTCTGAACCAAGACGAGCGGCTGGCTCCATGGTGATAGCGAGCAAGAGCACACCGTCCTGACGGCCTGAGCCCAAGCCCCATCGAGTCTCAAGGTACTTGCGAACTGCTGTGATATTGAAACCACCGGGCATCTTTGAGGCGACCATGCGAGCAATGAGGGATGATGACTGCTTGCCCAATTGACCATTGAAGGTGGCCTGCATAGCAGCACCCAACTCATCTAGTGGGGTATCTTCTGGCTTCTCAGGTGTTGAGCCGAATTCCTTTCCTAGATCACCCAGGATTTCATTTTGTAATGTGGATTTACCTGAAAAAAGAGAGAAAAATACATTTGTTAGCTTCTTTTTTCAACTGCATTGATATGCATCAAATTATGGTCTGAAGTCAAAACTTACCTCCGACAAGATCCTTAATGGCTTTTGACAACGGCACATCGGCCAGACCCTTCTTCAACTTCTGGGCGACCAAAGATCGCAGAATATCAACGGCAGTGACCGGTGTATCCTCCACAGAAGCAGCGGGGCCAGCATTGGATGGGGGAGCAGCGACAGCAGCAACAGGAGCACTCGCAGCTGCGGGAGCAGCAGCCGGAGTAGCGGCAGTCTCCGCTACCGGCTCCTCCTCCTCAATGGGGTCCACATCGTAGTAGATCTCCTTTGCGTCTTTGTTGTAGCAAAGGATCTGACGCTGCACGGAAGTAGCAGCATCGTAGGACTCATACTTGGTAGATAGTGTCCGTCGGGCCATTCCTCCCAAAGTGTCTGCCGGACCAATCTCCACAATGCGCTCGGTGCGCTGTTCGGCTAGGATAACATCTTGAGTTTCAATCCATCGAACTGGCGAGGCAAACTGATAGGCGAGAAGCTCCACCAGCAAGGTGTGAGCCAGCTCTTGTTCAATTTCAGGACGCATGGTATATGTTGTGTTTGTGATGGAGAGGGTGGGTATAGTCGATATTAGGGTAGGAGAAAGGACGTGCACGTCCTGGGAAGGGCGCGACTAATGGGGGGGACTCGTCGCTGAATACCCACGAGAGGTTTATAATAATTGAAATAAAGAAACACACAAGAAGATAACAAGGGAATTGGACTTGGAAGATTCAATGGAGGGAGAAGAGAAGAGGTCGGAATTTGACCAAGTGGATTCACAAACCCTCGAGAAAAAAAAGGTGGGAAAGCGATAGGAATGATAAAGTGGTAATACAAATACGGTAACTTTGAGTCCTTGGGATTTCTAGTTTTTAGTTCCGGCCGAAACTGTGGATGTTCTCTTTATTTCTAGTCTTTCTATTTCTATTTCTTTCTTTTGAATGATCATCTAGCTTATTCTGTGGTATTCAAATCCTTCTATTGATGTTTACTTGGTACTATAGATTTTACGTATTAAAAAGAAGAGCTCGATCGAGAAAATATATACATGCGTTAGTATAAATATAACTATAGCTATAGTAACTAGTATAGGTACCTAATTGTATACATGATGCATGAAATGATATGTTTTTAAAATATTTAATGTAAACACTATCCCATCCCACTAGCATCAGACCTAGGACTACGCGGTAGAATAGAAGGGATGGGAAAGGTAAAAATTAGTGTGTTGGGGCTCCGAATAGAAGCTGTACAAGCTGTACCTGGTCATGTAATAAACCAATAATAAGACTCCCAACAACCCCAATGTTTGTCACCCGTTTTTTAATACGACGAAACATGTTGAACACCTATTGGGGTAGGTCCCGCACGCACTAGTCTACTTTGGGACAGATGCAGTTCAACAGCGGATCTTTTTTTTACACACACTCTACTCCTCTTCCATCTTCATGCGATCTTGAGTCCAATTTCCTTTTCTTTTTTTGATGTCATTTCTACTCTTTTTGCGACTCCCCTCTTCTTATATTTCTCCTACCCTTTTATAATCCTTTTGTGCAAAAAGATCCCTTACTCACTTCCCCTAAAATCGAGGTTGGTACGTGCTCTAAATTCCATCCCTCCGCATATTCAGTTCCCACAAAAAGCTCATACCATCTATCGTTCTATATAGCTCCCTCAATTGACCTTCTGAGTCCTCTTAGGGTTTCTTGGATTACTGGATCATTCAAAGAGAGGAATTTCCAATCATGTACGGCACATCTACTGGTCCTCAGACCGGCATCAATACCCCCCGATCCTCTCAATCCCTCCGTCCTCTCATCATTTCACATGGTTCCCTCGAGTTCCCTTTCCTTATTCCAACTTCTCTCCATTTCCACGCCTCGCAGTTGAAAGACAGCTTCACAGCATCATTACCCGAGCCCACAGATGAATTGGCTCTCGATGATGAGCCCTCATCCGAGGCCGAGTTGGTAGCCCGCTACATTGGTCATGTGGCTCATGAGGTTGAGGAGGGTGAGGATGATGCTCAGGGCAGTTACCAAGAGGTCCTTAAGCTCATTTTGAACGAGTTTGAGCGTGCCTTTATGCGTGGTAATGATGTCCACGCTGTAGCCGCTGCCCTTCCGGGTATCGTCCCTAAAAAGAACCAGGTCGTCCAGTTCTACTACGCCGGACGTGCCGCCGCAGGCCGGCCTAACAAGCCCTACAATTCAGCTCTTTTCCGTGCTGCCTCTGATAAGGCCGCTGGCATTTACACCGTTTTTGGTGGTCAAGGAAACATTGAGGAGTACTTTGACGAGCTCCGTGCCATCTACACTACCTACCCCTCCTTTGTAGAGGAACTTATTACTGCCTCTGCAGAGCTCTTGCAAACACTCTCACGCGAACCTGAAGCTAGCAAGCTCTATCCTAAGGGCTTAGATATCCTGCAATGGTTGAAGGACAAGGATGCTCAGCCCGATACCGACTACCTGGTCTCGGCCCCCGTCAGTCTGCCTTTGATCGGTCTGGTCCAGCTAGCCCACTTCATGGTCACTTGCAAGGTCATGGGATGCCAACCCGGTGATCTACTCGAGCGTGTCCGGGGTACTACTGGTCACTCACAGGGTGTTGTAACTGCCGCCGCTATTGCGACTGCCACCACCTGGGAGTCCTTTGCCAAGGCTTCAAGTGATGCTTTGACTATGCTCTTCTGGATTGGTCTGCGCAGCCAACAAGCCTATCCTCGCACCTCCCTTGCCCCTTCGGTCCTCCAGGACTCGATTGAGCACGGCGAGGGTATTCCCACTCCCATGCTGTCCATTCGAGATCTTTCCCGTTCAGCTGTCCAGGAACACCTTGATGCCACCAACCAGCACTTGCCCGAGGATCGCCACGTTGCAATCTCCCTGGTAAACAGTGCCCGCAACTTTGTGGTGACTGGCCCCCGATCTCTCTGTACGGTTTGAATCTGAGCCTGCGCAAGGTCAAGGCCCCTACCGGCCTAGACCAGAACCGTGTTCCCTTCACCCAGCGCAAGGTCCGGTTTGTCAACCGCTTCCTTCCTATTACTGCTCCTTTCCACAGTCAATATCTCACTTCAGCCTATGACAAGATCCTGGAAGATTTGGAGGACATTGACATGCCCGCCAAGTCTCTCCAGATCCCCGTCTTTGATACCAAGACTGGAGAGGATTTGCGCCAGTTGGGCGACAAGAGCGCCGTTCCATCCTTGGTCCGTATGATCACTCATGATGCGGTCAACTGGGAACAAGCTACCGTCTTCCCTGGTGCTACCCACATCGTCGACTTTGGCCCTGGTGGCATTTCTGGTCTGGGTGTCCTCACCAACCGGAACAAGGATGGTACTGGTGTCCGGGTTATTCTTGCTGGAGAAATGGACGGCACCAACGCAGAGGTTGGCTATAAGCCTGAGTTGTTTGATCGCGACGAACACTCTGTGAATTATGCTGTGGACTGGGTCAAGGAACATGGCCCACGTCTTGTGCAGACCTCTACCGGTCAGACTTACGTGGACACCAAGATGAGTCGTCTTTTGGGTATCCCCCCGTCATGGTGGCTGGTATGACCCCCACTACAGTCGCATGGGACTTTGTGGCTGCTACAATGAACGCAGGCTACCACATTGAGTTGGGTGGTGGTGGTTACTATAATGCGAAGATGATGACCGAGGCAGTCACCAAGATTGAGAAGGCCATCCCACCAGGACGTGGTATCACTATCAACTTGATCTATGTCAACCCCCATGCAATGGCCTGGCAGATTCCTCTGATTGGCCGCCTGCGCGCCGACGGTGTGCCCATCGAGGGTCTGACCATTGGTGCTGGTGTGCCCTCCATCGAAGTGGCCAATGAATACATCGAGACCCTTGGCATCAAGCACATCGCCTTCAAGCCCGGCTCTGTCGATGCGATCCAGCAGGTGATCAACATCGCCAAGGCCAACCCCAAGTTCCCCATCCTTTTGCAGTGGACTGGCGGTCGCGGCGGTGGTCACCACTCGTTTGAGGACTTCCACCAGCCTATTCTTCAGATGTACAGCCGTATCCGCAAACAAGACAACATTGTCCTCGTTGCTGGTAGCGGTTTCGGTGGAGCAGAGGATACCTACCTCTACCTCTCAGGTTCCTGGTCCGCTAAGTTCGGTTACCCCCCTATGCCCTTCGACGGCTGTCTTTTTGGTAGTCGAGTGATGATTTCCAAGGAGGCACACACCTCTAAGAACGCCAAGAAGGCCATTGCCGATGCTCCTGGTGTGGATGATGCGGAGTGGGAGAAGACCTACAAGGGTGCTACCGGTGGTGTTGTCACTGTCTTGTCTGAGATGGGTGAGCCGATCCACAAATTGGCCACCCGTGGTGTCCTGTTCTGGAAGGAAATGGACGACAAGATCTTCAAGCTGGACAAGGCCAAGCGCGTTCCCGAGCTGAAGAAGCAGCGAAACTACATAATCAAGAAGCTTAACGATGATTTCCACAAGGTGTGGTTCGGCCGCAATGCCACAGGTGAAACCGTGGACCTGGAAGACATGACCTACACCGAGGTTGTACACCGTATGGTCGAACTGATGTACATCAAGCACGAGTCTCGCTGGATTGATGACTCGCTCAAACGCCTGACCGGTGATTTCCTGCGCCGTGTTGAGGAGCGTTTCACCACCACTGAAGGCCAAGCTTCGTTGCTGCAGAACTACACTGAGCTCGATAGTCCTTATCCGGCTGTTGACAATATTATTGCCGCCTACCCCGACGCTTCGGCTCAATTGATCAACGCTCAGGATGCACAGCACTTCCTGCTCCTCTGCCAGCGCCGAGGACAGAAGCCCGTTCCCTTCGTTCCTGCACTCGATGAGAACTTCGAGTATTTCTTCAAGAAGGACTCATTGTGGCAGAGTGAAGATCTCGAGGCTGTTGTTGACCAAGATGTTGGCCGTACCTGTATTCTTCACGGTCCTATGGCTGCTCGATTCTCCAATGTTATTGATGAGCCTGTCAAGGACATTCTGGACGGTGTACACAATGGCCACATTGCAGGCCTACTTCGTGATGTCTACGGCGGCGACAAGTCCAAGATTCCTGTGATCGAGTACTTTGGCGGCAAGCTGATTAGTGATGAGAATGAGCCTGAGGTAGATGGCTTGACTATCTCGGAAGAGACCGACAAGATCAGCTTCCGTCTGTCATCCTCTTCTCCCGCCGACCTACCTGACTTGGACCGCTGGCTTCGTCTACTGGCTGGTGAAAAATACTCTTGGCGCCATGCTCTCTTCCTGGCCGATGTTTTCGTCCAGGGCCACCGTTTCCAAACCAACCCTATGAAGCGGATTGTGGCCCCTACCGCCGGCATGTTCGTCGAGATCACCAACCCGAATGATCCTGCCAAGACTGTTGTCAGCGTTCGTGAACCTTACCAATCTGGCAAGCTTGTGAAGACCGTTGAAGCCAAGGTCAATGAAAATGGCGAGATCAGTTTGTCTTTGTTTGAGGGCCGCACTGCAGAGGGTGGTGTTGTTCCCCTGACCTTCCTGTTCACTTACCACCCAGATACCGGCTATGCCCCTATCCGTGAGGTTATGGGAGACCGCAATGATCGCATCAAGGAGTTTTACTACCGGATCTGGTTCGGCACCAAGGACGTGCCCTTCGACACACCCACCACCGCCACTTTCAACGGTGGCCAGGAGACCATCACTTCTCAGGCTGTGGCAGACTTCGTCCACGCTGTTGGCAATACTGGCGAGGCTTTTGTTGACCGCCCCGGAAAAGAGGTATTCGCTCCTATGGACTTTGCCATTGTGGCAGGTTGGAAGGCCATCACGATGCCCATCTTCCCTCGCACCATTGACGGTGACTTGTTGAAGCTGGTTCATCTGTCCAACGGCTTCAAGATGGTTCCTGGCGCTCAGCCTTTGAAGGTCGGCGACGTCCTTGAGACTACTGCTCAGATCAACGCTGTGATCAACCAGGAGTCCGGCAAGATGGTCGAGGTGTGCGGTACTCTTACTCGTAATGGCCAAGCCATTATGCAAGTAACCAGCCAGTTCTTGTACCGTGGTGCCTACTCTGACTTCGAGAACACCTTCCAGCGCAAGGAGGAGGTTCCCATCCAGGTTCACCTGGCGACAACTCGAGATGTCGCTATTCTCCGCTCGAAGGAGTGGTTCCGCATGGATGAGTCTGACATTGAGCTTCTGGGCCAAACCCTCACTTTCCGTCTCCAGAGCTTAATCCGCTTCAAGAACACTACTGTCTTTAGCAACGTCCAGACCATCGGTCAGGTTCTGGTTGAGCTTCCTACCAAGGAGGTCATTCAGGTGGCGTCGGTAGACTACGAAGCTGGAACTTCTCACGGTAACCCAGTGATTGATTACCTCCAGCGTAACGGTACCTCCATTGAACAGCCTGTCTACTTTGAAAACCCCATCCCTCTCAGCGGCAAGACTGCTCTGGAGCTGCGTGCTCCCGCCTCCAACGAGACCTATGCCCGCGTTTCTGGAGACTACAACCCCATCCACGTTTCTCGTGTTTTCTCCAGCTACGCCAATCTCCCTGGTACCATCACCCACGGCATGTACAGCAGTGCTGCCGTGCGTAGCCTCGTCGAGACCTGGGCAGCTGAGAACAATATTGGCCGTGTTCGTGGATTCCACGTTTCTCTGGTCGGCATGGTGCTGCCCAACGATATGATCACTGTCAAGCTCCAGCATGTCGGTATGATTGCCGGTCGCAAGATCATCCAGGTTGAGGCTAGCAACAAGGAAACCGAGGAGAAGGTCCTTGTGGGCGAGGCCGAGGTTGAGCAGCCTGTCACCTCCTACGTCTTCACCGGCCAGGGCTCTCAGGAACAAGGTATGGGTATGGAGCTCTATGCCAGCAGTCCCGTCGCAAAAGAGGTCTGGGATCGTGCTGATCGCCACTTTATGGATAACTACGGTCTCTCCATTATTGACATTGTCAAGAACAACCCCAAGGAGCTCACTGTCTACTTCGGTGGTCCTCAGGGTAAGGCTATCCGCGAGAACTACATGGCAATGACATTCGAGACTGTGAACGCCGATGGCTCGATCAAATCTGAGAAGATCTTCAAGACCATTGACGCGGAAACTGCCTCGTACACATACCGCTCACCAACCGGCCTGCTGTCTGCAACTCAATTTACTCAGCCCGCTCTGACTCTGATGGAGAAGGCCAGCTTTGAGGACATGCGCTCCAAGGGTCTGGTCCAGCGTGACAGCAGCTTCGCTGGTCACTCCCTTGGTGAATACTCAGCCCTCGCTGCCCTAGCAGATGTCATGCCCATTGAGAGCTTGGTGTCTGTCGTGTTCTACCGTGGTCTGACCATGCAAGTTGCCGTCGAGCGTGATGAGCAGGGTCGCTCAAACTACTCAATGTGCGCTGTCAACCCCAGCCGTATCTCCAAGACCTTCAACGAGCAGGCTCTGCAGTACGTTGTTGAGGTCATTGCTGAGCAAACTGGCTGGCTTCTGGAGATTGTCAACTACAACGTGGCTAACATGCAATATGTTGCCGCTGGTGATCTCCGTGCTCTTGACTGTCTCACCAACCTCTTGAACTTCCTGAAGGCTCAAAACATCGACATCCCCACCCTCATGCAGACCATGTCCTTGGAGGATGTCAAGGCTCACCTGGTGAGCATCATCCAGGAGTGTGTCAAGCAAACAGATGCCAAGCCTCGGCCAATCCAGTTGGAGCGTGGCTTCGCTACAATCCCTCTCAAGGGTATTGACGTACCATTTCACAGCACCTTCTTGCGATCTGGTGTCAAGCCCTTCCGCTCTTTCTTGTTGAAGAAGATCAACAAGACTACCATCGATCCTAGCAAGCTCGTTGGCAAGTACATTCCTAACGTCACTGCTCGTCCATTCGAGATCACAAAGGAGTACTTTGAGGATGTCTACCGCCTCACTAACTCCCCTCGTATCGCCTCCATCTTGGCGAACTGGGACAAGTACGAAGAGGGCACTGAGGCTGCCGCCCGTGCCGCTTAATTATGTATCTTGTGATTCCCCCTAGTCTCTAATGTCTTTTTTTCTTTCTCATTTTCATTTTCATCTTTGTTTGGTTGATAGATAGACATACCTTCTCGAGGTCAATGATGTGACATGTCTCAAACTTTGGCGGAGTTGTTCTTGTTGCATGTGTATGAATGTTCTTATAGTTGATATTATTTTTCCTATCGGTATTACATAACATATTCTCTTCTCTCACGTAGTCATACTCTTAGTAACTAGAATGCATCGATATTTCTTTACGTTTGTTCCCTACTATACTACTCGCTAAACCTAAGCGCCAAAATAGATAGCCAACAAGTTGAAAACAAGATGAGTTCATAGCTTAAGTGAAATGTAGCCTTAGTAATAGAGGCAAAAAATATACCTAGGTATGAGAGACAAAGGACTACGAGCAAGAAAGGTATTATGTAAAATCATGGAGGTCCCCTTCAAACCGCTGGCCTTCCCTGCAAAAAAGATATGTAGAATCTTTCAAGTCTCTTTCAGAACACCGGGTCGCAGCATTCGGTCTTCCTTGCTGTAGACACTAATATCCTTGACGATGACAATAAAGCGCCGGTGGTTTTCCTTTGATCCTCCAATACGCGGGCGAAATATGCGCAGAAGGTCACTGCTGAGAATACCACTAGCTGGAATGGCTGCATAGATCTCTGAAGGAGACGGGAATGTCTGGTTTCCAGATGGCACTGGAGTTGACATGCGACCATGGCCTATAACGGATAGCAGTTAGTAATATTATAATGGATTTCATAGAATGAAAGGCAATGCTTACCATCGGGACTACTCGCTCGGCTGCCAGGGAAGTTTCTGTTGCCAGCAACAGGGCTTGCAGCCCGAGATCCCTGCGGTGTTCCTCCTCGAGAGGGACCAGTAGGTGGGTTCAACTTGAGCTTCTTGGATTTTCCATTTTCGGCCATCTCAGCTCCAGATCCCGCACCAACATCAACATCGCTGCCAGACCCGGAAGCACCAAGTGGGAGATTTCGAATCCTCTTTTTGCCAGCCTGTTCATATGAGCATTGCCATTCCCAATTAGCTTCATGAGGAATTGAACTTACCTGCATGGAAGAGGGCGACATGGGGCGCGACGAAGGCTGTGGTGTCGGGTGCGAAGACGAATGCTTGTTCTTAATCTTCTTTCGAGAAGTGTCGGTACCACTAGCATCCGAAGCATTTGGCGACCCCAGTCGTTTTCGAGATGGGTTCTTGAGAGCATCAATATGCTTCGGGCGGCCCGAAGGCGTGTTGCTACCTTTAGTGGAAGAAGAGGCAGATTCTTTCTGCGCTTTCTCTTTCTCTTCCTGAGTCTTACCCTCTTCTTCCTTGAGGCGCTCAGCTTCGCTGTCATCGGAACTCTGTAAGTGAATATTAATAATTAGTCTCGTATATAGTAAGGATGGAAAGAGCCAACGTACTTCATCAGTATACGGATTCACGTCAGAGCCACTGCTGTACTCAAAATTCTTCTCCCGTCTCTTGAGCATCTTCAGTATGCGCTTACCCTCATGAATTCGGGTATCTCGTTCATGCTTCTCGTTTTCCTCCTCTTTGTCATAGTCTCTTTCATCTTTGAGATCGAACACATTTGCCTTCAGCTGATCATCTTTGATACGTTTTTCAGCAGCCTTGGTGTCCTCATCCTGTTCGTTAAATAGATCGGTATGCTCTTCGTCATCAGCAAATCGGTCCTCCTCAAAATCCATCTCCCTGATCTCCAATCCGGCGGTTTTTTTATCTTCCTTTGGTACAGCCCGAACCTGGCGTTGCTTGGCATATTGCTCCAGCTGCATCTGCTGGGCAACCTCCTGCTGTTTTTCCATGAACCACCGCGGGTCCTTGACCCGTTTGGACATGAATTTTTCTGCCTCTTCAATTGTTAACGCCTTAAAGTGGCTCTTGGCGCTGAATTTGTACCACTTCTCAGCTGGAATCATGCGCATTTTGTTTTGCTCTTTGTCAAGACAAAATACTGCGTGTGTCTCAGATAGCGCCGCTTCGTAGTTACCCACCCATGTATTGCGATTGTCAAAATCCTCGAGGTGCCAGGGAAGCGCTTCTTCGTACTTGATCCGAGCTTTCGCAATCTCATCGCGAGTCAAATCCGACTTGTAGACCTGTTGGGTTTTTTGCTTTGGGGCATTCGGTCGCTTTGTAGCGGCTGCGCCGCCAGCAGGTGCGATCTGAGACAGATTCTCGGCACGCTCCTTCTCGCGTGCAGCTCTTCTCGCGTCCAGCGCCTCTCGTTCTGCCTCGTCAAGCTGTTGACCATCCGGACCAATCATTCTTTCTGCATTTTGATCAGATCTTGAGCGAGGATCGCGGCGCTGCAATCTGACAGGCCGAGTAAACTGGGATTCGTCGCGCAGGTCCACGCTCCGTTTAGCAGCAAATCGAGCGATATGATGCTTCAATCCTTCTCGTAGAGCTCGCTTAGTTGTCACCACCGGGAAATCTCTGTAGTTCTGGGAAAGTAAAGGTCCATTGAACCCATTCACAGCCTCATCTTTCACACCAGGCGGTGGAAGAATCCTCTCGGATTGCGTTAACGACGGGGCAATAGAGGGTGAAGGACGCGAAGGGAGGGTCTTCATAGCTGTAGCCCTAGCCGGAGGAGCTCCAGCTGGCCTGATAGGTCGCCTCTTTGGGCGCACTAATGGATCAGCTGCTTTGGGACGACGCATTCGCATAATGGGAGCTCCATTGGGGCCCGTTGGTGTCCGGCCGTTGGGAGGGTTGGTTGGCGTGGACATTTTTGTAAGATGAGAAGCAAAATCCCGAAATTTATTTATTTTTGTGGTGAACAAATAAGCCCAAGGGATATTCGGGGTCGTCCCTGGGGAAGTTGTGAGATGGGAGGCTTGGAAGTGAGGATATGAGATGATGAGGCGCTTTGGATGCTAGCTTAGGTAACGGCTTGGCATTCGCGAAGAAGACAGGAAAGTCATGTAAAGAAAGAAAAGACTTTAGAAGAAGAATCAGATGAGATTAAGAAATTTCAAGGAGAATGAAATTAAAATTTCAAGAGAAAGTGAGAATAGGGATTCCTAAAATAAGATATGAAAGTAAGAGTAAGTCAAATATCACCTGACCAGATAGATTGTTTGAAGTCAACTTGTTCGAGAAGCATCAAATAGTCAAGAAAGGATATCTACACTTTACATGCAGTGGTTTGAAAGCTGAATGTTAAGCATTTCAGTCTTTAGTTGCAAAATGGTGTAAGATGAATATATAGGTGTCTGTATATTGAAAAACAAGGCATCTATTCATTATTCCCCAAATTTCTGACCAGGTTCTAAGGACCGATATGGACATGCATACCAATCGCAACCTTGCTTGTAGATTTCTGTTCCCCACCACTTGAACCCTGAAGCCCAACCAGGGTACACAATTGCGAAGAATACAACTATCACCGCAAAGGCCAATCCTGAATCTAAGGCAGCCGAAAGAGTCATGGCATACTTCTCCCACCAGGCTGTTCTTCGACGTCGGATGACATAGTTAAATACAAAGCAGACCAACGCCCAGACGGAGAAGTTCAAACCGGTAGCTGGAGGAATCCAACTGAGACTGCCGAATAGAATGGGGAAATTTACCTTGCGCCAGAAGCTTTTCTTGCTTTGACGACCAAGAGCCCAAGCCCCTAGGGGTGCCACAGCACCCACCAAGAACGCCCACACCAGAGGGCGATATAGACCCCCGGGACCAAAGAAGCGCTGCGGTCCCACGACTCCCCAAAGAACACTGCCGTTGAAATGAACCCGTGCAATGGGGCAGTTGAAACCATTCATCGCCTGGGGCGTACATAGCTTTGGAATGTAAATGAACATCCAATTCAAAACGCCAATTTGAACTAAGCTAGACACCAGTGTCGCCACCATTTGCACGGTGAAGAGAATACGTGGCGGAATCTTCATGTAGTGGCCGAGTTTGAGATCCGAGGAAAACTTGATGCCCTGGGCGGAGCTGATATACGAGTAGGTCACAAAAATCATATTTGCAACAGGTCGCCCAGGAAAGACAATACCACAGATGAGCTGACAGATTAGATAGAGACTGCTGTGCTGGTTTGTTACAGCCATAATAATACCAACGGGGATGAAAAACACACAGGTAATACCGAGGGCTAACAACAGTCCAAACCAGGGCAAGTGAGTTTGGTAGCTTTGGATAGAGATCAGTACTCGTGAAGACTGAAAAAATAAGATTGGTAGATAGTGGAGGACTTACTGCTCCACGGTGTAAGTGGCAATTGCTAGCGTCGTTATAAAAACGATGAGATACCATGTGAGTGGAGCATCTTTGTAACGCCTCATTAGGCGACAGTGGACATCTTCACCCGACAGTATCTCCCGAGTGGGATCTTGAGAGCCGTCTCCGGAAAAGTCGTGGCTACAACGAGGCTGAGAGTGACCACTATCACTCTGAAGGGGCTGATATGTGTCCAGATCAGGAAGATCCCGCCGTTCCTCAAAGGCCTTCTTAGTTTGATGCCAAATATCTTTACCATACCAGCAAGCGGTGTGGGTAACGAGAGATGTCAGAGCAGCAAACTGGACACCATACGACAATACATAGGTGATAGGGAGATAAACAGGAGAATAGGCCTTATAAGCTTTTTCATCAAACAAATAGTCCGCTGTTAGGATTCGACTCACGTCGTATGGATGACCGGTGTTGTCAAAGACTGCTGCAGACAAAATGGGCATGTACGAGGAGAAAAGAACATTTTTATAATCTTATAGTCTTGTCAGTGATCAGGCATAATGACAATGTGGTATGGGAGTTTACAACGTACACAATATTGGGGCAAGAATCCATGTGACAACCACCAGGCCAGTGACAATATTAGCAGCAGCCCACCACGGTGTGAGCAATGGAGATCCGATATATGCAATTTGGGCCCAGTCAAAAGTTAAGGGGAACATTCCCAGACCAGAGGCCACGCCAAACTAAACAAGTTAGTAACAAATGAGACAAAATGGTACAAGGGGAAACATACCAGATTTGATATCACGACATTTTTGGGGGCGAACCAAGTGATCACGCTAAAATAGCTGAGAGCCGGCATCAAAAAGCCGGGTATAAAGTACCAGAGAAACGCACCTCCCCAAACAAGGATGAAGAACTTGTATCGTGAGATACTCCATCCATCTGCCTTTTTATTAGCAGTCTTATGCATTGTAGAGAACATTGCTGTCGACATGAGCGTTCCCGGCCATATCATGGCTGATGGTCGCACAAGAAAACGTCTAGTAATTCCAGCGAAGGAGTACCCGAGGACTTGAGTAGAAATGATCAGCAGTAGCTGATATAGGATAGGAACTTCCTGGTTGTAGAACTTATGTTGCTCCACGATGACCTATATTTAATGTCAGACTTGGAAAGAAGCCAACTTGATCTATGCCCAATACTCACGTCAGTCGCGAAGGCAAATCCGAACGACACGTTGCTACTTATGTAGACACAGGCATGTTCTTTTTCATTCCAACGACCCTGGGCCAGCCAGATTCGTATCCTATTTCCCCAGGAAGATTCTAGGCAGTCAATATTGCCTGATTGTGGCTCTCGGTGATGAAGAGAACCGTTCTCAAACACTTCAAGGGGGTCATCGGACTTCTTCAGAAGCACGTCCCAGAATTTTCCTAGTGGATGGACCAACACCAGCGCAATAATCGGTGTGATGGAAACGCTTGGGTAGCGAAGTGAGAAGAAAAGGTTTGCAGCAGACCCAGCCAAAGAGAACAGCAGTGAGAGAATCCACATACGGGGAGCTTCATTAGATAAATATTTAATGATTAGATGGAATAATTATTGGATAGGTGCACAAGTCCACGTACTGTTAATAGAAAGAGAGATGTCATCTGTCGCAGGTACAGCAGCTCGAACTTGTGAGTAACTACAAGATATGAACATTAGCACGAAAAAAGAGCTGAGAGGCAGGGAAGCCTCAAATAAAATAATAGGAGCTTACGGTGAATTATCTGGGGGATCATCTTCTGGAGATTTTGGGTCTTCGTCATCTATATCCGATATATCTTCCCCGTCGCTGGGAATATAAGTCGAAGAGACCGGAGTTTCTTGCATTACTGGGTTTCCCGGTACTGCGAGACCCGTCGCAAACGAGAATTTGGAGTCGGCACCCATTCCAATATCAGAAGTTGCTGCTGAAGGTCGTCGATTACGACCCTCGCTGTACCAGCCATTGCTTCTTCGTCTCACAGTAGAATGAGATCGTCTTCTTTTTGCGCTCTGTCCATCAGTCGATGGGCCCTCCACGCAGCTCTCGGAGTCAGAGCTGTCGTTTTGTGATCTGAATAGGCTCTTCTGTGGATTTTTTCGCCGATGAGAATCGGAGTCATCATTGTTTTCAAGATCCTCTTGTAGAATCTCGGCAGCGTCGTCCGACGATGAGCCTAGCAACGAGCGTACCAGAGGGACGTGCGACATGAGGGCCCGGAACTGCTGTGCGATAGAGGTTCCTGATCGGACGGGTTTCAAAGGATCGGAGTCGGAATCATACGTCAAATTCAAGTCGTAGTTTCCATTGCAGTCGCTACTGTCTCTATAATTGAGATTAGTGATTCGGTTCGAAGAAAAGCCGCCCGGGTTCGAAGGCAAAGAGATCCTCCGCGTTTGCAGAGGTATTTCAGCCGTCGTATCGAGAATAGAAATCAAAGATAGAGGAATGTAATTGATAGAGCTTCTAGTATCTCACTGGTACTAGCTCGTGTAGTCAGTTCAATACTAACTACCGGTGGTATGAAGCTCAGGAGGAAGTTGGAAGAGAAAATGAGTGGGGAAAAAAGAAGCCCCACTGTCCTCGACGAATGCAGGATTTTTAAGCCTCTTTATGTATCCTTGACAGATCTATATACTGGGGTAGTCTAAAACAATTCCTCTATTTTCTCATCCTCATTCTTTGAAGATGCCTCAATCTGCGCTTGGACTTGAGCTTGTTCCAAATCGGCCTCAGTCTTGGCTCCTTCGCCTGCCTCATCTCGCATCAACACCTGCACAAGTCGATCGCACGCCTCTCGCACATCATCGTCCTCGACATTGAGATGACATTCACGGATAAAAGGGTACACCTGCACATCACGCATCTTTTCCCGACCTTCAAGAGTAGTAGTCAACAGAAGCAATGTCTCTAGGTGAGTGATAAGAATGGAGTTGTCGGACTCTCGCTCCTTGTCTGGGGGTAGTAGCTGGAGATCTGGCAGCATTGACGACATTTCATCATCGGGAAACTCTTCAGGGCCTGCGATCGGCAAGAGTAGATATGGCAACAGGTTGGCTTCATCCTCAGCGAACAGCATAGGATGCGAGGAAATATCGAAGGCCACATTCTTAATTGTGGAGGCCACGCCCTTGCGGCGGATGTCACTTTTGTGTTCCGTGAAGACGGTCAGCTTGGTAATGGGGACCACCCCATCGTACTCCTGACGCGTAGTAAAATATTTACGACCTGCTTCGGATTGCGATAGGTCGGCAAACATGTATGACAGGTAGTCGTAGTTGGCGTGCTTGTTAAGGTTCCCCTCGGCTCCCTTCACGAAACAATCCATCAGTTGGTCGATGGCATTCTCTGAACTAGATACCGACTCGGGGGCTTTGCGTTTCAGCGTGTGGAGCTTCTGTAGGTGGTCGGACTTTACAAGGTTTGCCAGTAGCATGGCCACCTCATCAACGTTCGGATCTTTGACATTCTGATATTGTTGCAAACGGAGTCAGTTTGCCCATGTCATCTGTTCCAGGGAAGTGGTCTCTCATACTGTTAATTTCAACAACAATGTCTCAATGAACTGATCATCCTCAGCTAAGCTTTTCAATATCTCTTCATCAGCCGACAAATTGATCAGGATAGTCAAGGCATTTTTCGCGATAGGCTGGAGCGCGCATTAGTCAATTGATCGGGAGGCTGATACATCGCAAGCAACGCACTGTATAGTCTCGGGCCAAAAGCTTCAGGTCGCGCACTGGCAGTAGTTGGTGGCGCTTAAATAGACTGGGTTGGGCTGTAGAGAAGCCAACTAGATTCTCACAGGCTATCCAGGAAGAGGCGTCAGATCATGTCGGAGTGTGTTGGGTGTTGAGTGGAAAAGGTGTACCAATCTGTCGAATTTGGGTGTTTCCATGGTGAAGAAACTCCACCAGCTATAGTTAAAAAGAGAGTTAGAAATGATGGAGATTAACTAGATGTTTGATCAAAACTATACCTCTTCTAGTTCTGTGGGCATCTTGGAAATGTTGGAGAGAGGATGGAGATTTGGTCGAAATCTTTTTTTTCCCGAAGTGGGGGTTGCTTACCTTTCTACGTCACCGACTCAGTTATCTAATCTTTCTCTTGTCACAACAAAAATTTTAGTACCGACACGACACAACAAAATCATTATGTCAGCCGCCAACTGCATCAAATTTATTTTATTTTGGTAGATTCTAATAATTACTGTAGCAACCTAGTATTAACTCTAGATAAGATCTAATTATCATTACTGGAATCTACTGAAGCTACCCTTAATTTCTTCAATTTCTTACTACCAAACCTTCGAATCTAGACTGATTCTGATCGATTCCGTCTTACAATTTGCGCTTTCTCTTGGCTTTCTGCTACTACTATTTCATCTAATAATGATAGAAATATATATTAGATGTGATCGTGGTGGTCAATATCATGATTGAATTAATGCACCAGAAGGTGTAAATAGGCTGTTTCTTTTTCAATGGGGGAATTGCTTATGTAACTGGTTTTGTTGTGTCCCTAACAATTCCCCTTTGTGAAGTCCCCTTTATTATTTATTTTTAGCCCTGATCACAGAGGAAGACTAGAGTTTGCCTAATTAGTTAAGTAGTGGGGGAAATAACTACTTCAAGCGGGGCTGATCTTCAACTTCTCGAGCCCCCGGATTTCCAACAAACACACTCTGTCAAAGCCATGGCTGCTCCGAATTTGAATGAAATACATGATTTCCTGGTGTCATTGGCCTACCAGGCTGGCGACATCATCACAAATGCCCTTCTAGACACCAATGACACTGGATCCAAGAAGAACAGTGCTGATCTCGTCACTCAATATGATCGCGCCGTGGAGAACATGATCTCCTCATCGCTAAAGAATAAATATCCCGATTATGTGTAGGTCCAAGGATCGGCCACCTTCATGTTCATTTGTTAATCATAATTCACTTTCTCTCTCTGTCGCTCAGCTTCCATGGCGAGGAAACTTATGACCCTTCGCACCCATTGACCGATGCCCCCACCTTCATCGTGGACCCAATTGATGGCACAATCAACTTTGTGCACGGATTTCCTCACTCCTGTGTCTCCCTTGGTTTTGCCGTTGGTCAAGTACCAACCGTAGGTGTGGTCTACAATCCCTCCACAAAAACCCTTTACTCGGCCATTCGTGGACAGGGTGCATTTTTGAATCGTGAAACCCGCTTGCCATTGAATCACAGAATTTCGGAGCCCCTTTCTGGCTTGAGTAATGCTACCATCAGTATTGAATGGGGCAATGAACGGAGTGGCCCCAACTGGCAGACCAAGATCAGGACATTTGAGAGATTGGGCCAAGCCAAGGAGAACGGCGGCGCAATGGTTCGCGCCATGCGAAGTCTTGGTTCTGCAGCGCTTAATATCTGCGCTGTTGCTGCGGGTACCCTTGACTTATACTGGGAGGGTGGATGCTGGGAGTGGGATGTCTGCGCTGGTTGGGTGATTCTGACGGAGGCTGGGGGCATGATAGTTGATGGCAACCCAGGGAGTTGGAAAACTACTCTTGATGGACGAAAATACCTGGCTGTCCGCGGAGCTCCCCAATCGGGGCAGAAAGAGATCATTGAGGAGTTTTGGGGCCATGTCCAAGGTAAATTGGAATATTAGATGCAAAGAAGTTAAAGAAATAAATTGAGCAGATTAATTACGGGATATGATATAATATGTACAATTTCTATTGGTGCTTTCCACTGCGTCGGCTGGCTCGCCATTATGGCCGAGGAGCTGTTGACCATCGGAAGCCCGCATCCTCACCCTCTTCATCAAGCCCGGATTCACAATCATCATCCTCGTCGAGTTCGCGATCCGTCCATTGAACAGAGCTCTCTCTAGACACTCCAGGAGAACGGGATTTTCCATTGATACTAGCCACCTCATAGGATTCATCTTCGAGGTGTTCTGTATAGGTATGCGAAATAGGCTTGGATGAGCTAGCTGTGGGATCAGAAACAGTCCACTCACTCTTATTTGAATCCCTCTCTTCAATATCAGCTTCACCCTCAATCTCGTCTCCAGAGCTGGTAGGTGCAATTCCCAGAGATTTGGCTCTCTCTGCATTGCCCTTGAATACATCATCTATCTCTACTGTAGGGGAGTGGCTGAAATGTGCGTCGACAAGGTGCTTCACAACAGGCCATCCGTATGCATTAGTGAACATGCGCCGTACAATGATGTTGTTGTGGGCGTCTGGCTCGAGCCGAACAAGTACCTTGCGCCAAGTGAGATCACGATGGTAGGCTCGCGCAATTTTCTCCTCGACTTTCAGGCCACTTTGGGCGCCATTGACGTTGGAATTTAACGTGGAGTTGGAGCCAGAGCTAGTTGGTAGAGGAGTAGCCGTAGCAGGCGCTACCTTTGAATGCTTGTTTTGAAGTGGACCAAATGCCAACGTGCGCCGTTTCACTGGAAGGGGAGGCGGTATATCCTCAGGGTGGTAGATGCGGTCATGAAATATGGTGCGAGGTCGCGCAGTAGGATCCAGGATAAAGTCGGTAGGAGGCAGAGGCGGCATCAGTAAGTCACCGGCTGATTCAAAGAATGTTGTCTTAGGGGGTGTATATACACCTCCCTCCTCCTCAAAGAGAGAATTTCCACGGACAGCAGGTTTTATAGTTCCATTATCGTCGAAGGAGCTGAGGGTCTGGCTGCGTTTGTATATTCTTGCATGCTTGCTGTTGGGGGATTTTTTGGTCTCCTTTGGGCGAAAGAGGGAGAGGAAAGTGCTCAAGGCACCTGGTGAGGTGTTGCTACCTGGGACATTCTCATTTGACCTAGTTTCCGCAGTGTTGCTAGTTTGGTGCGAGGAATGCCTGCTATGGGCGAGGAATTGAGCTGGGCTTGGAGAGGTTGGCTCTTCCAAAGCAAGATCTGCCTGCTCTTGCAAGGCTTGTTCACCGGTGCCCAGATCCGTGATTTCAGAGCGATTAAGACGTGGTGACTTTGAATTTGCCCCAGTCAATTCCGCCCAGCCCCATTCAGCCATTGTTCCGACGATTCCGTTATCTCTTCTCGCCTTCTCAACACGGTCAAGGCCTCTCCAGTCCAGAAACAAAAGGCTAGATGTTCTGAGTGGAACAATACCGTCATTCACCACGTTGGAGTAGACAGTCCGATGATGGAATTTCTGAAGGACTTCATGAGCGGGTCCACAAGGTAGGATTCGTAGAAGGGGCTTTGTGCCCGGTTCTACATTGCTTTGGTCCTTTGATGGATCTCCTCGACCACCGATAATGGCCCCCCAGCCACTGCGTACCTTCGGAGCTGTCCAACTAAGCCCAAGGTCCTGTCCGGTTCGCCCAACTAGTCCCAGATCCAGCGCAAACCGAACATACATGGGGTTTTCGTTGCTGAGGCCCAAAAGGGCGTTGCAAGAGCAATAAAGTTGATTGGTTGGATGTGATCGAAAAATTGGGGTGAATGTTTTTGAATATATGCGATTGCGTATGTTTGAACTAGTCCACCCAAGGAATGCCCGATGAAGCTGATGCTGGTGATTTCGTATGCATGGTCTTCCACGTACTCATCTCCATGCTCGCCTTGAGCCGATGACGAGAGTGGATCTAGAGAGGATCTAAGCTGTTCATTTCGAGGACTGAAAGGACGTGGAAACTTTGATTTCGAGCCTTTGAGAGGAAAATAAGGCTGATCAGGATATGTCATCAACAGGATGTATTTTGCCAATCGTTTGCCGAGATATTGAATTCCACGCTCAGTACGAACGGCGTTGCCCGAAAAGCCGCGAACAATAATCTGTTCATCTGCATCATTACTTTCACGGCTCTTGGTCTGCTCCTTCAGCTTTTTGGCAGCGGCATCGATGCTTTCCTTGAGATATAGCATATCTGCCCCTAGATTGCTGTGCAATCCATGGGTGATCACCACCAGATGAATCCGCTCTTTTTGTTGTTTTTTGGGTGGGAGCTTAGTTTCATCTCCTACAGATTGAGGTTCTGCTGTGGAGCCACGGCTATTAGCCTGAGCATTTGGTAGATTATCGGTAGTATGGGTTTTTGAGGGTAGAGCGGGACTGTTCCACAAACTACTGGTGTCATCAACGTGCAATGTGATAGATTTAGAGTACACCCCATTCGTGGCAAGCACCTGCTGGCCCTGTGTCTCGGGGGTCCAGTGATCAGACACTTTGGCCGGGGGCCCCATTTCAGTCGATGATCCATTGGATGAGAAAAAATTCAAAGATTTAGCATCACGGGCAACCAGCAATTCAAAATGGACTGCTGCACTACTCGAAAATACCACCTGGGACACGATCTCAATCACCCAGGTCATACTCAAGTCTCCATTTGGTCCTACTTGACCAGCAGCGAGACTGTGTGAGTCCCCAAAGCATGTCGGCATCTTGATGGTTGCATCCCAGTTGCCCCCTGCCTTGAGGTAGGGCTCAAACTGTGGGGCTCCATCGGTTTCTTGTCGGTCATATTTGCTGTTGGGGTCAAATTTAGACGGGTAACAGGCTGCGTAAAGAGTGTACGGGCCGTGGAGGTATGCGGCTCGGAGCGGAATTGCAGATGTGTTTTTGACCCTGACGTGTAGTTCAGATGGTATAGGCAAAATTGGATCAGACGCTGGTGTATATGTCACAGTGTATCTATCCAGTCAATCTTATTAGCATCATAGTTAAGATATGGGCCACCGACAAGCATTCAAAGTACAGGGCTAAACTGACCTGACAACATCACCCACGCGCACGCTGCCAACTTGGTGGATCAGTAGCATATCTACTGCTGGCTCTCTATCCACAGTATTCTGACGCCACCCAGTAAGCGTGTGGAAGTGGGATGCGCCCTCTTTACGGGAGACAGCCGCTCCTTGATCTGGCGTTTGCGAGGCAAAATACGTTCGAGGGGTGATCAGCATCGAATGTAGCGAACGATTCCATGATCTGGCATACCAGTACTGTCGCTTATACAGTTGGTTTGTTGGTTTGCGTGCGCTGAGCACATATGCAGAGAGTTGGAAGGCTTATCAGAATCTCCTGCATGCGATAGCAGATGATACGGAGTGCACAACATTGCATAGTTAACACTGCACACAACTCAACTTATGTAGTGCCTATGTCGAACATAACATCAAATAGTTGTCTAATATCTACTCCATAACTAATATTAAAGTTTTGTTTATTTACAATTTACCATCTTAGATGAAGATTTCGACCTTGAAAACATAGCCACGTGACATGAATAAACGCTCTATACTCCTTCTGTTTCGAACCTTGGGCCTCAAGATTTTTATCCCCCTAGATATATCATATACCTGAATATACTCCGAGGCTCATTCATTACCGAATAATGAATCACAGTAGTATTCAAGGATCAAAATTATGGCTTAATTACATTCAACAACTGTCGTGGCTCCTTGCAAATCTCTATCCAGCCCCCCTCCTCGATAGCAACAATCCTCCCATCAATGCAAACTCGTCTCCATCTCTCTTGACCTTCTTGGAAATCGATACGCATCTTTTCAAATTCAACATAGGTCACTAGCTTATCCAGTACATGTTGACCCCCCTGGTAGGCCAGAGCCATAAGACGCATAGCCTCGTCTGCGGGTAAAGGACCAAAATGCACCAAACGTAGTGATCCCCCCAATGGCTCTGAAGCAGGTGATATTAAGAAGTCCTTCTCTAAACGAGGTACAAGTGTAGCCAGCACGTACATATGCTCGTCTTCTATGACCTCCCGGTGAGCACCCGTAAGGGTTATCCTGCCCTGGAATCGATGAGGTTCTGCACCATCCGAAGGATATAGGAGTTCTTTTGCTGCCAGTTGGAACCTCTCTGATCCAAATTTGCGATATTCGGCAGTATCGCTATCTGCGACTAAAGCTGCGTGCATGCCCCAGCTCGCCACAACGGCACCATATATTATTCGATGGGAGGAATCCGGAGTCAAGTCTATTGGAGTTCGTTGACGTCCCTCGTCTGCTACCATCTGGCTACCCAGTGATAACTTTGTGGCAAATATCGGGACTGAAGTTGGTTGTCCGCGGAATATTGCCGTGAGGCCAGAGGCTGGAGATCTGAGTCCTATTGAACTAGCCATGGCATTTCCTGTTCCACAGGGAATCAAGAAAATATGTGGTGACACCAGTAAATGTTGTGTAGATTTGTAAAAGACATCGACAATGTCAATTAAGCCCCCATCACCGGATAGAAGTACGATATTTTGGGAGATCCCCGCGCAAGCTCTTTCCAAAAACTGCGTTTGAGACAGTTCGACAATCGTTTGATCAGACTGTGTCTCATGAATCCGATAATCAATATCCAAATACGTGAAAAGAGGTTGAAGAAGATTCTCAAAGACCGTCATCGCGGTGCCTGTGCCAGAACGTGTTGAAATCACGACATCGACAGGCTTTTCAAGTCGAAGATGAATTGGGAACTCTGTCAACAACTGAGACAAGGCAGCCTCACTTGGTAGAGACGAGATATTTGTTTTTAGAAGGCGTGTAGAAGATTCATCTCCTTGAGCTCGCTCTAGGAACAGGACAATATACCCAGGTTGAGGTAAATTGGGCAATATAGCGACTATATCATCCAAGTCGATTTTTCTCTCGTTGCATTTCAAGGAATTCCCGACCACTTCCACTGTCTCTAACATCGCGTTCCAGTCCATTTCAGTAGTAAAAAGTATAGCGATGAAGGCGTGAGTAGTTGTAAATAAGAGTTGGCGGGGTCAAAGTATGAGCAATTTTGGGACTTTATTGATAAGCTGTGGGGTTAGCTGACTAGTTAACATAAATATATTTACATATTTAGTTATTTAAATTATAAACACAAGGTACCACTAGTATATGCAATACTTGTTCATATATATTCTAGCGCTATTTTATTTTATCTTCTGGAAATTATGACGGACATACAAAGAAAATAAATACAATAACAAGATCGGATCAAAATATCAATAAGCAGAGCATTCTAACATAGGACCAACCCAGACTCAGGTTCAAAAAAATAGTAATCTCGTCTCTTCAGTCTGAAGATTCTTGTCCGTCGGTCTGACGGGGAAAGTGCTTGTCACTGAGATTCACAGCGAGGAATGACTTGGGAAGTTTGACACTTTATGATTAGGGTCAGCGAAGTTTGCAGGGAAAACCCAAAGCTCTGGGTACTTACGTGTCAAATTTCGCCTTGAGGGTCTCAATGACCTCTTTCCAGTCTTGATGTGCGGTCAAGCTGCGACGTGGAGCACAGCCGATGGCATGTCGGGAGTCGAGCTGCACGTCAAGCGGATCAAACGCATGGCAACCAGGACTGATCGAAATCCGAATTGAATAGGAGTTTACAGCAGATTCACTATCACGGGCTTCATACAATTCAAAGCAAATCTGAGAGAGATAATCGAGTTCTGGAATGGCGCTGCGAGCAATTTTGGTCTGAATCCCACCTTCAAGAATGCAGTTAAGCAGGGTGTATATGTGGGATTCTTTGGTAAAGTAGAAAAAGGACTTGGCATCTGGAGAGGCCTGAACTTCCTCCAAGTCGCGGACGATTTCTTGCAAGAGGGGCAAAGAGGTAAGAAGCCCGATCTCGAGTTTTTCGCTGTCCTTGATTCCGTACTCCTGGGGAGTCACGTAATCAAACAGGACTTTAGCCAACTTGTATAGATCCCGAAGCTTAGAAAGACGTTCGTCCATCTTAGATTTGCTTGAATTAGAGCCTGGAAACAGCTTGAAATAATTTCCATATGAATCATCCAGAGCCCGAAGATGCGGCAACGAATCAAAGGCGTGAAGTCGCTTCTTTAGTCCAAACCGTTTGGTGAAGGTGTGGCTTTCAGCGCGCTCTTCTGTTCTTTCGTTCGTCGCATCTGCTCCGGACTTGCCCTCCATCAAGGCTAAGTCTTGTTTACTCAAGCTTCTGCGATTTAGGCTACTCTTATCATCTTCGTCGCGATCAACATCTGGGGGCATGAAGACCCACTCCAGGAACTGGCGATTATGAAGCGCATCAAACTTCATACTATCATAGAGCTCTGACAGCTTACTAGGGTCAACTTTTTCGGTATCACAGAACTCCGCGAAAAGCTTTTCCCATCGCTCCTTGAAAAGACGAGGATCTTCTCCTGCACACCAACGCCCCTGAATACTGGAGATTTCAGGATGAGTCGATTCGGGATTAGCTGGGTCATGAGGGCTGGTTGATGAGCTCTCAAACTTGGCAAAGTTGTGGCGCATGACATCTCGGTGGAATTTCATCAACTCAACTACTGTTGCCAGTACCACGGACGGTTCCGGGATATTACTGTCCTTTGGCCATGCAAACTGTGAAGGCGCAGACCCTTCACGAAGCAGCAGTTTGAGTTTCTTCTTGACCTTATCCATGACGTCCTTGGCAGCATTGGAGTCATCAAGAAGGTCCTTTCTGACCTGAAGAAAGTCTTCGGGCAATTCCTTTTGATCAAGGAATGAGCAGGCCCAGATTTGAGCTATTCAACGTCAGTCAACGGTATTCTGTCAAAATAAGGAAAGCAATGACATATTCGCATTTGAGAAATATCCCTCACTTACCACTTGTGCTCACTCGTCGCTCAGAGCTCGTGAACAGACGAACATTATTGAGAGCTTCCTTATTCATCAACTTCAAATCATCTCGCATATTCATTCCGAGGTCCTGCGCCTGATAACGGGCCGCGTGTGTGGGCTCTCCTCCCCATTTGATGACAAGCTGGAGCTTATCCAGAATGAGATCATTCTCTACTGCAGAGAACCGGGAGAATGTTGGGCCAGATATTGAATCGCTGCGTGTCTGGGGTCTGTTGAAAGGATCAATGTCGGGTGTAGCCTCATGGGTAGCGGATGAGAGAGATTCCTCTTGAGGAATTTCAGCCGATTGCGCGGTAGGAGTAGTAGTTGATGATTCTGGCTCCCGCATCTCTTCCGGTCTGCGCTTTCGAAACATAGGCTTGATCTGAACCTTAGTTCCAGGCCAGCCGCCTTTCTTTTCCAACGACGTCCGAAGCAGTTTCAGTTTTTCAGGATCCTCCAATCCTTGCTCTATAGCCAACTTCACTGCATCAGAGACGCTAGACAAAGCCGACGCTCCTTTGATGACCACTTCCTCCTGGTGACCCTTCAAGAGGTCTACGAACGGTTGGCTATGGAATGTGAATTTGAACTTTTGCTTCGGAGTGCGATCGGCATGCCGGATGACAGCTACCATTCCCTTTAATTTCCAAGAGTGCTTGGAAGCTGGGAGTGGCGGTAGAGTTCCTTCAGTGACATGGTGGACCGAAACAGCAGGGGACTTTGGATTTGAAGGACTATATCCACGGGAATTGGAGAGAATTTCACGAGAGTTCTGGTTGTTGGAGTTAGGGCTAGCATTATTACCGTCCAGCCCAGAGGAGGACGTGATGGAGGTGGCATCCGAGACGACAGCATCGTGAGACTTGGATGCATGCTGACTGCTGTACAGCCTAGACGTGCTCGGAGACTTGAATAGCGTTTTCAGACTCTGGCGATGATCTCCGGTCATCGTTCCTCTTCTGGTGGCTGGGGGTATGACCGGCGACGGGGGTTCAGAGGGCTCCATTGATTCCTCATATTTTCTCATTTCTGCCAGAAATATTTCCCGAAGAATATTGGCAGACTTGTCGTAATAGTCGTTGTTATCCTTGACGAAACTCCAGCCATTAACATCGATAACATAGCTTTTATCACCTACGCGAAGCATATCAAACCCGCAGATCCGCTGGCCGAAGCCATTAGATATCTTCGATGCTATTGCGGCCTCTTCCTTGCTTAGCTTTGTGATGTATCGCACTTCTTTACCATGTGTATTGCGGCGAACGAGTCCATCTACCACGGGAGACTTGCGAGTCTCAGCGTGGCAAAAGTCTGGTCCAACTGTGTACGCCTTCACATCTTCCGCGTTATCCACCCGTAGGAATTGTTCGTACAGGTAGCTAGTTTCAGATTCGGTAATAGACCGAGGTACTTTCAAGTTGGAATCATACTCGGAGCTTTTATTGCCCACTTTGCGGAATAGTCTGCGTCCTCCACCACCGTATTGCTCATCGTTGGGGAAATATATATGAATGTTGTGGTCTTCGCCGTTGACTGGTTTTTCCACAAAGGGTTTCTTGAAAACCTTGCCATCCACGATCAATGATTCACCATCGTCGGACATGTGTACATGTTGGGTTCTGGGAGCACCACCGCCCGTTCCATCTTCAGAACCCTCTAGCTTGACTCCAGTCAGACGATATATGTGCTGCGCAAGCTCCGATGATTCCAATACCGGTCCACCATCGCGGTTGACCTCCAGACGCTTGGGCGTTGGAACACCCATCTGATCTAGAATTCGCAGGCAGAGCCGTCGATCCCACAACACTTTTTGCATCGGAAGGTCATTGACACAGAATGGCTTCCGGAGCTTGGCATATGCGATGGCTTTGTCCAAGGGAAAGCCGTCAGAGAAGAAGGCGATCAAGAAATCACACACCGGCCAATTCTCTACAGCTTCGTCCAGAATTACCTTGTCACCAAAGACAATCACTTCAAATTCGCCTTTGGATTGAAGTCGAGTGAGAATATTCTGGCTGGGCTTGCTGCGCGCTTTCACATCTAATGCACATACTCCAATTCTCCATGGCTTAGGACTACCAGGATCCAATTCACTCATGGAGCTAGCTGCAGTACTGGCGGCTGTACTGCCACTAAATCTTCGCATATGCCGGCTGGTCGATTGTGTGGATTGGCCCAAGATCCCCGTCAAGCGAGTATCTGCTGTTGCTTCCACTCTATGTTTGATCGGTGAATATTGCGCATGGGGGCGGGTTGACGTCAATGGTTCCGAAGATTGGTCTTTCTGCTCTTGATCACCAGGATGTGCCGGTAAGCCTGGTATCTGGTCTAATACCTCTTTTAAGGGCTCTGCATCCACAGAGGAGTCACCACTATGGCCACTATCGGGATCCATATCTCAGAAAAGTGTGTGAGAAGGACCTGGAGAAAATGAGACAAATCGAGGGGTAAGGAGGTTGTGAGGACTGGTGAGTGTGGGATCCAGAAAGAGAAATAATGGAACCAACGAATTGACGAACAATTGGCCTTGGGTTGAGAGTGGTAAGAAGTAGAAGCGGTAGAAGGAGTAGATGGGCGAAGGAAGGATGACATGTAGTAAGGTTACCCTGAGAAAAAGTAAGGTTTTCAAACCCGTCAATTTGATACAATTGGTTCCATAGAAGCCCAGCCTTTTCTCTTCGAGAGAAAAATAGGGAAAGGAATGTGTCGCATATTGATTGCGACCAATTTACTTGTTTCTATGTACTTCTCTTTCTATGGTTTTATCTGGATTTGACATCTATTTCTTATAAATAGTACTAGATCAATTTAATTAGGCGTGGAAGTATACCTATTTTATTGCAATTCCTTTTTATATCTCGGGATATAATTATATCCTGCATTACTTGCAATAATGAGCCCCCTAATTCACGATTTATAGATAATTATAGCTTCTATCAAGGTAGTTGAGTAAGAGTATGGACTTGCTTCGATCTTCCTTATGCGTATGAAGGCGGTCAACAATCCAAGGGCGGAGAAGGAAAAATCCTCACCAAAAAAAAAAAAAGATAGAAACAATTCATCCTCCATACAATAAAGTCACCCAATAATGTGTGGCTGGTCATATTAACGGACATAGGTATCAGAGGCTGAATTTGGTAACAGAATTTGCTATTTGAGACCTCTATCTTCCTAGTTCTACTCCATTGCCTTATTGCCTTATTCCGTCAGTTCTACGGCGCATCGCGTTCTTCTTCCCTGCAACATGCCAGCTGTAACCAACGATACTTTTGATCTGCCTCTAGCAAAGAGGCAGAAACGTGCTTCTGATAAGGATCTTCTACAAAAAAAAAGTGGAGGCTCCAAAATATTTGCTCCTTTCCGAGTATGTCAAGCACATGGAAGCCACAAAACCGAATGCGTTCTGATGCTAATGGCCTTCTGTAGACTCTAGGTCTTGTCTCGCCAACACCAGTCCCTTTTACAAGTGTTCGTCTGGGTAAATCGACCTTTCAGATTACTACCTCGGTGGGCCATTCACTACAGACCTATGATTTGCGCCGAGGCCTGAACTTGATATTTCTGAGTCGACCTCAAACTCCAGAGATCATTACTGCCACATACGCCTGGCAGGACAAAGTATTTGCCGCGTGGGGCCATCTTCGACCTCGATCATCCGGGGGAATTTGGGTCTTCAAGCGAGGCAAACGAGTCGCTTCCCTGGATAGTCCGGCGCTCGATGGACCTATTGAACGTTTGATTGTGTTTGGATCGTGGGTGGTTGGATGCTGGTCTGGAGGTCTGGAAGTATGGAAGACAGGAACCTATGAGCATTATACCAGTCTAAGACCCCAGACAAGCTCATTGGGGGATCAAGTCTACGCGGGAGTTATGTGCAACATGCCAACCTATCTCAACAAGATTTTTGTAGGACGAGTTGATGGCGGAGTTGATATTTGGAACCTGCGCTCTGGAAAGCTACTCCATACGCTTCTCCCATCTTCATTCAACACTGGGCCAGTGACTGCAATTCAGCCAACCCCTGCTCTTTCACTGCTAGCTATCGCCCACAAAAACGGCGCGCTGTCAATCCAGAACGTCGATTCAGGTAATCTCATTCTATCTCTCCGGACAGCCTCCGCTCGTGCCCTACCGGTGACTTCAATCAATTTCCGAAGTGATGGCCTGGGAGCAGGACATGATGGTAGGATGGACGGGGTGATGGCAACTGCTTCAAGTGGGAGCGGCGATATCACCATATGGGACTTAAATGAGAGCCGAGTGGCCGGAATTCTTCGTGGTGCTCACAAAATCTCAAACAGCCAGTCAGCCTTGGGCGTGAATCGGATTGAGTTTTTGGATGCGCAGCCCGTTCTTGTATCAACGGGAGACGACAATGCCCTCAAGACATGGATTTTCGACGAGACCCCATTTTCTTCGACTCCACGTCCTCTCCACACCAGAGGTGGTCATTCTGCAGCCGTCAGCGCTGTTGAATTCTTACCGGCGGCCTCGGATGGCTCCGATTCCGGGGGAAAATGGCTTCTTAGTGCAAGCAAGGATTGTAGTCTATGGGGGCTCAGTGTACGCAAAGACAGCCAGCACACAGAACTTTCTCAGGGAAACTTGGCGCACAAGGCGAAAAAGCTAGGCCCATCGGATCTTGCTAGCTCTGTTGTGGACACACTCAAGGCGCCTGAGATCACCTGCATCGCGTCCTCGCTCAATCGGGATGGTGGAATGGGAGTCTCAACCTCAGGCTCCATTTGGTCAAATCCAAAGTTCACAAATGCCGATGCTTCCAACGCTACCGGGTGGGAAAGTGTGGTTACTGGCCACCGGGGTGATATTTATGCTCGGACATGGTTCTGGGGCAAGAAAAAGGCTGGACGATGGGCGTTTGTGACCAGTGATGGAACTGAAGTCAAGGTAGGCTTTTACCTCGCCATCTCCTGGCAGCACATTCCTAACATTGAGACAGAGTGTGGCCGTATCACAATGTGGAACTTTTGCCGTTATTGGATCGGCAGGCGGTGCTATTGACCTGTTCAACTTGCAGTCTGGCCAACATCGTCAGAGCTTTCCACCTCGGTCGCCCAAATCCCGCACCAATGGCAATACAGCCACCCTAGCATTGTCGAATGCCCGTCATACAAAAGCGGTCACTGGTTTGATGATTGATAATCTCAACCGAACTGTGATTAGTGGTGGACTAGACGGCAAGGTTAAGGTAACGTTTCCTCGTTTACTCTTACTAATCGACCGGATTTGCTGACTTTTGCCCCTTTGATTTAGTTCTGGGACTTGCTTACCGGGTCATTGATTGACGAGCTGGATTGGCATCCAATGGCAGCAGTGACTGGGCTTCGCTATAGCAAGACAAGTGAGCTGGTGGCCTTCAGTTGTGATGATCTTTCCATCCGTGTCATCGATCTCGAGACGAGAAAGCTTGTTCGTGAGTTCTGGGGATGTGTTGGTCAAGTGAATGACTTCATTTTCTCCAGCGACGGCCGATGGATTATCGCAGCCTCGATGGATTCAGTGCTGCGGGTGTGGGATCTGCCTACCGGACATCTCATTGATCTTTTCCGGGTCTCTAGTACCTGCGTTTCACTAGCCATGCCAGCGACTGGGGAATTCCTTGCCACTGCACATGCAGGGAGCATAGGGGTCAGCCTATGGAGCAACCGCAGCCTGTTCATGCCGATTTCCACAAAGAATCTGGATGAAGATGTGATCGAGGACGTGGCTGTTCCCACCTCATCTGGTGAAAGCGGTGCCGGTCTTGTAGAGGCGGCATTCTTGGATGCTCCCGAGTCTGATGATGCGGAAGGACCAGTGCTGGCTACTGAGCAATTGCAACAAGACATGCTCACCCTCAGCCTGGTTCCAAAAAGTAAATGGCAGGCTTTGATTCACCTCGAGTCAATCAGAGTACGTTCTTAACCTTTCTCTTTCTAGCCATTTTCTTAGTTGCTGACATGTTTCCAGGAACGTAATCGACCTAAGGAAGCTCCCAAGGCCCCCGAAAAGGCTCCTTTCTTCTTACCCTCCCTTGTAGGTGGCGGTGACTCGCAGCCCAATAATGGAACAGTCCATGAGACGACTGAATTTGGTTCTCTCACACAGAATGTGGAGGCAGAGCGCTCTCGAGTGTCCAAAATCCCTGGGGGAGTGAGCTCTGCTGAATCCTCTATTACTCAATTATTGAAATCTGGCTCTAGCTCTGGTGACTTCGAACATTTGATTACGCATCTCAAATCACTTTCTCCATCCAAAGCAGATTTGGAGATACGTTCTCTCGATCCTCGGGTGCGTGGAGGTTTCTCTGAATTATCAGCTTTTGTCGACGCTTTGACTATGCGCCTTAAGTTGAAGAGAGATTTTGAGTTGGTGAATGCGTGGATGGCAGTCTTCTTGAAGATTCATGCGGATACAGTTGGACTGTGTTCTCATCGTGAAGAACCCGAATATCGCCTCCTGCGGGACGCTCTGAGCTCCTGGGCTTCTGAACAGGAACAGGAAGGGAAACGTCTAGCTGGTTTGGTAGGCTACTGTCGCGGAGTCGTGGGATTCCTGAGATCAGCCCGATAGATATAGGAGTTGTACATGTCATGTTGATTATTATCGTATTTCGGGGTGAAAATCCCTCTTGTTTCAATGTATCGCAATATATTTCTATCTTAATTGGTGTTAATAAACGAACTAGGTAGAAGTACTGGTAGTCTCTTGTATATTTATACTGCAGAGTGCTGACAGATCCTGACTAATTAAAAATATTCTCCACAATCTCTGCCCTTAGGATATTTTCCTCGTCTACAAGACTACAACCCTCACTTCAAGCACTTTTGGTCATGGGGATTCCTCATTTGACTAAACATCTGCTCCCATATGGAAAAACTGCTGTTCTAAGCGGGAATCAAAATCAAGAGCTTTCTCACGTATCGTCAGTGGTCATTGATGGTCCTAGTCTGGTATACTACGTGTATGATCGGCTTTTAGCTTGGACAAATCTGGAAATCGACGTGTTGGATATCCAGCCATCATGCGACGAGGTTAGTCGTGGATTTGTGAGTTATTTGCTAGAATTGGCCTATCTTGGGGTCGAAATGTATGAAGAATAAAACCATTTTGGTCAAGAATCCAATTCTGACATAAGAACTGCAGACACCAGATATGTTTCGATGGTGCATTGCCTCTATCTAAACGGCAAACTCGATTAGCCCGAGTGGAAAAGTCCCGACGACGATTAGAATCGTTTCGTCGGAGAAATCCCTTCTCGGTGAGAAAATACTGCAAGGAGACCGTCATTTGGCCCACGCAGATTTGGAAAGACCAAAATTTGCCTTCACGGCGAAGAATTGTACCCGAAAATCCATTCATGGTCTCTGCAGTTTTTGAAGATCTGAAGTTCCGATGGGACAGAAAGACAGTACAGAAAGAAGTCCCGGGTACTACCGTGCTCTTTGAAAAGGATTATCCCTGGGCTGATATCACCATCATGGCTCCCGGGGAGGCAGATGTCGACTGTGCTCAGGTCGCAAGGCTCAAGCGCTCTACCGTGCTCACCAATGATTCAGACCTCTTAATTCACAACCTAGGGCCTGAAGGTACAGTGATCTTACTCAACTCCTTACAATTCATAGAGAACACGGCAGATATATCAAAATCCGAGATTCGTGGGTTGATATTACATCCGGCTGAACTCCCTAGTAAACTCGGCATTGTGAATCTTCAAAGATTTGCCTATGAGTTGACCATGAATCATTTTCTGGGGGTTTCGGAACTGATTCATCGCTGTAAAGAAGATCCTGATGTCAAAGATGAACCAGCCGAATACGCTGAATTTCTCCAAGAATACCTAGTCAGCGATGATCTGCCCACGACAAGCCCAGGATTCTCTTCACTTTCGCTAGACCCTCGAATATCCGAACTCTTCTGGCAGTTTGAGCTGCCTAGTGTATATTGCCAGACAGATGATCAGCCACATGTCTACCTAGGTATTCAATACGAGGATCCTACTAGGAGATGTGCTTGGGAACAGGGAAGGTCACATAGGGCCCTTGGGTATTCTCTTTTCAATCTTTCCCGACGAGTAAGGAGTCAATTTGCAGCCATTAAGGAATTTGTACGCAGGGGAGAACGAATTGTGGCTGAGCAAGTCACGCTCAGTAGCTCAAGAAAAGCGTATTCAGATTTGGATTCTCTTCAGAAGGATATCAACCATGCGGAAATGGTGTTTGGAAGTAAGCAAAAGCCGAGTTTTTGGATATTATTTGCCCTATCTGAAATTTACCGGGAATCCTCCAATGCGACAACTATTCCCAACGCTTTGCTGTTGGAACACTTTCTGAGGTACGGGCATATGGGCAAAAAAACAGAATGGGCAGATATCCAGCTTATGGCCCAGATCCAGGCGGTACTATATTCTCTACGAATACTGAGGCAACTCCTTGATGTCACAGACCTCGATATCTCACAACATTACCGGCTGATCCTCAAAGATCTGCCACCCTTGCATTTTCTAATGACATCTCGTCATATGATGTCCCAGTACTTCCTCGACATTAATTCTACCAGAAGTGCAGTACATGCACTGGCTAAAGAATGATTGACATAAATGGCCTTTCAATTTCAGATAGTTTTATGAAAGTCTCCAGTAGCGGAAATAAAGTACACCAAAGTCTCCTAGAGATCTAGCCTGCAAAATAGAGATGAAGTATACAAGTTGACCACTATTTCCTACTGAATCGGTGTTGCAACTCGGATTTCTCAATAAAAGTAGCAGTTCAAAGCAAAAAAAATCAATGTAGTCCTGAATCTGATCACCGACACGTTATATAGTATATGGCCCTTAATCTCACTAAATCTTACTAGTCTTTCGCACAACACAGGCTATATATATTGTGCTTTAGGTTGTTGAGCTACCTGGCATTTTTAAAATGCTGCTCCGCTGGGGAGGCGGTCAATACAGAATCATGCTCAATTCTATACTTAATTCCATTTTCCATTCCATGCTCAATTCTATGCTTAGTTTCATGCTCATGATACTTGATCCTATGTTTGAAACCACAATTCGAATTATGCAGGTTCAATAAAACTATATCTAGTTTATTAACATCTTCAATAATAATATAGTTATTGAGATAAATATGTCGAGATAGACAAGCTGAATTAAATTAATACTCGAAAAGATTTTGAATCAATAAAGTGATTTCTGCGATTGAACTGTTAATATTGTGATTTTTTTCAAAAAACTAATTCAAATTCAACAATGTAATTGATATGTAATGAACACCATCTATTAGATTTTAAAAAATGAAAATGTATTTACGATTGATATAAATCTTTTTAATCAAGAGAGAATGATATTGTAAAATGTCAAATAATTGATTGATATAAATTGTTATTGTAATATGCGAATCGAGATTATTTTGTTTATGATTGCGATTTTATGAATAATTGGGAAGAAGTACTGCTGTGGATAATTATTTTGCGCTACTATATAAGTCGATCCTATGAGATTATAGTAGTCTTTTGACTGCAGTGGCCAACCTACACGCATCCCAGTGCAGGGTTGTCAGAAAATACATTAATATAAAATAGTGATATTGAGTAAAGTAAATCACCACCGAACCGCTATCACTACCGAGCCTCCACCTCAGAAAACCATAGTAAACTTGAAAAAATTGAATATAATATTTGAACAACCACCAGTTAAAATGATTTCAAGTCTCGAAATCGGATTATTACTAACGTGATTCTCCATCTCCCAGGAAACACCAGCAACCGGGAAACCCCACCAAATTGTCAAAAAAACGCATCAAATTTAGTTCCACTTTTAGATACAAAAACATAATAAAATAGACTAAACTAGACGTTTCTGACACCGAGTGTATGCCCTTTAGTCCCATGACCTGAACAGGTTACTTGACGTCGAACAGGAGCTAAAACTGGTAATTCTGGCTCAACAGGGTCATTTTGAGCAGCTTCCACACCAAATATATATATATATATATATATCCATCAATAACCACATTCTCAACACCACCAGGATTCGATATCTCCTCTAGACTCCGTAAACTGCCCTCATGAATCAGTTGTTTTTTACTGGTAGCTCGTTTTTTCACCTGTTTTTTGTTTGCCTGCTCTAAATGACTGCAGCGATCATTTAAAAAACAATGTAGTTGTGGACCATCCGAGTAGTAATATCATAAGCTCTGGTAAGCTCTCTCTTCATAGGCGATGGTATTGAGCTTGAAGATACTAGAACAGAATCGATGCGAGATTTAGACTGCTCTAATTTTTTGATGTTCCAAATTGTATCATCGTCGTCGTCGGTACCAGGAGATAGAGGGCGCTCAGGATTCAGTTCAATGTCAGACAGACTTTCAAGCTGAATATTCAGCTTATCAAGTACATTTTATGGGTTTAAAGGCACTAAACCAGCAGCTCTAAAGCTACTAATTATAGCGCTAGCTTTAAAAGCAATATTGTAGTGGTCTCTATCAATTCAATTCAATTCAATTCAAAGTTCTATTAACCCGATCGAGCTATACTAGTCGCGTATATGCTATGCAGGCGCTTCAACCGTCCGAAGCAGGAACTTATGCCCAACGCCATTTAGAAATCAAATACAAAAGAAATAGGACTGCTGTCCAACAGGTAAATTCCGAATCCCACATTCCTTCTCCCGGTGCCAAACTTCTGTAGAATCTTGTAGTGGTCTCTTGGCTCTAAATCCTGATGCGAAGCCTTTAAGCCAAGATTGGGTTAAACGGTTTCTAAAACGAAACCCTGCATATAGAAAGAGACGCCGAAAAGCTCTTGATATTGAACGCTAACAAGCCTTTGATAAATCAACGATTCAAAACTGGTTTAAAAGCTATGAAAAGCTGATTGAAGATGCTGGTATTGAATCCTCTGATATCTATAACTTTGATGAGACTAGATTCCAAATTGGGGTTGGAAAAGACCAATGGATCATTACGCGAGAGCCCCGGAAAAAAATTATCTCAGGGACGAACACAAATCGAGAGTCTGTTACTATGGTTGAAGCCATCTCAACTGATGGTTTTAGTGTTCCACCGATGGTTATCCTTACCGCAAAACAACTTCTCTTACGCTGGTTTAATAACCTAAATGATGATGATATTAGTCTAGCTGTCTCTGAGAATGACTATATGACTGATTTATTGGCATTTCAATGGATCCAGCACTTCGAGAAGTGTACACGATCGCGTACTAAAGGCACCTGGAGGCTATTATTATGTGATAATCTTGGATCACATCTTACTATGGAATTCTTGGAATTTTGCGAAAAACATAAGATTCAGACATTCTTTATCCCACCACATTCGAGCCATCTACTTCAGCCTTTAGATGTTGGTGTATTAAATGTCTATAAACATTGGCATTCGGAAGCAATCGAAGATGTAACAGAGTCTGGAACAACCAAATTTACTAAAGATGATTTCTTGGCTGCACTCTATTCTATTCAACAGAAGACCTTTAAGATATCAACTATTTATTCGGTTAGGTTTTCGATTATCAGGGATTTGGCCTATCAATTCTGCTTTAGTATGTGATGGTCTACCTGATTATAACCAGATTGATCAACCCTCAACACCAAACGAGAGTGATTCAAATGATTCAACCGGCTATAAATTCAGTACTCCAAAGACTGATGAGCGCTTCAGAATTGCTGGTTCTAAGCTTATTAAAGCTAGTCGTAGCGATAAGACTGGTATAAAACCAGCTATCCTTACTGGCAAGCTTGTAAGAGGCGCTCGTAGTCTCCTCTTTGAATTGGAAGCTACTCGAGCGGAGCTTGATAAGTCTAGGGGGCTATTTGAAGCACGCCAGCGGCACCAGAACCTTTCTCGTAAAGCCTATCGTCGCCCTGGAATCATTAACTCTTCAGAAGTGAAAAAAATGAAGCGATTTGAGCAGAAACTGAGCAACATGCAAGCTTTACATAAGTTACGACTGGAAGATTGTGATGCAAGAGCTTAAACAGGTGTGTAAGGCGCAGGGAAGAAGACTACGGCGTTAAAGCTAGCTAAAATAAAACTTGAATCATTCAATTTCACCTTTATAATAGTAGTAATGTTATATCTCTAGATTATGGTTACTAATTTAGTAATAGAAGGTCGAAAAGTTGAAATATTTTCATTTGGGTGCGGGACCCGCGTGAGCGCGGGTCCGTAATAAATTGGTATTTTATGAAAGGGGCCGGTTAGGTATAAAATAGTCCCTTAATTTGATTCTATTGCCTGCTAAAATGGAGAGACTCAAAAGTATACCGATCGCACGATTAGAATAGTTCATCGTATTTTTTTATATGATCGCTATAGTTATTTAGAAGAGATGAATAAGAAATAGGTGAAAAAGGGAGTAAGAAGTAGACTGTTCATAAGGAAAGCCTATGGGTTTAGAAGAGACTCAGAATAATATTAGTGGTAGGAATGGTGGTGAAGCTGCTCAGTATACTAAACCTAATTTGCCTATAATGCCTAATTAGGCGCCAGTGAACCTCCTGTAGGTATGATTGAATCATCTTTTAAGTATGCCTGATATGTTATGAATTAATTAGGTTGGGCTAATTAGAACTATACTGAATCCTCTTATATGTAAGGGGACCGAACTTATCAGCCATAAGTGTATTTAATAGCACTATTTAATCTTTATTATCTAAAGACATAATATAACATGATGGTGCCAACCTAGTTACTCCACCACCTCACCAATGATTTCAATAACCGTATGAATTTTCATTCCATATTTAAGCAGAAAAAGGTGATAAAATAGACTAAATACACGATTCTTATATTTAGTAATATCATTGATATCCTTCTTTCCCGAACAGATCATTTGACGCCGGACAGAGGATAAAACTAGCAGTTTAGTATCAAGAGGGTCATTCTGAGCAGATTCAACACCTGACATATATATCTATCTTTTCACCATTTTTCTCAGCAGTAGGAGTCTCAATCTCTCCTCAACTCCTTAAACTACCTTTCAAATACCACATGCTTTTTACTAGTATTCATTTTTTCACCTATTTCTTATTTATTTTCTTTAAATGGCCACAGCAATTATTCAAAAGAATATATTGGTAGACCATCCGGATTATGGTGTCATACTATATCTCTTCATACATCTTTTTACAGGCAATGAGATAAAAGAAGATATTAGCTCATAATCCATGCGAGATTTAGTTTCATCAGTTTTTTCAAGCTCCAAATAGCATTTTTGTCGCTTTTAGGAGCTAGAAGAGATCGGTCGATCAGGAGGCAGCTCTAGATCCGGTAGATACTAAGCTCAATATTTAGCTTGTTAAGCACTTCTGATAGTTTTAAAGGTACTGAAACTAGTAGCTTTTAAAGCGAATCAATTATAGTATTCGCCCTAAAAAGCTTTTTTCCACGTGTACCAGAAAATATCTCAAGGAAATCATCTTTTTCGATTAAGTTAACTCTAAACCGCATCAACTCCCTAACACAACCGCCATAATATTTTTTTCAGTAGCCTAAAATAGCCCGTATCTACAGGCTATAGATGATGCGGTATATGTAAAGATATACATAAAGCAATAATATGATGTTTATC